GGCAGACGAGCATACGGCCCGCCTGATGGTGAGTGGTTACCGTCGCCCATAGACTTCAGCAATGCCAGGGGCAGAGCCAAGCCGCTGCCTACTAAATACTCATAGGCCACCTTGTGTTAAGAAAGCCGAGACTTTTTAGCAGTGTTTTTTTATTTATTGCTAGATAGGTGGACGAGCTCGCATCCCACCTGGTGTTAAGTGGTTACTGGAGCCCATAGGCATCTACAACGTAAAAGGGCTGCCCAGCTTGAGATATAAGTTCTAAGATCTCAGTATAGTTACAACGGCTGCCCTACCCTTCAGACCGAAACACATGACTGCTTCACGGCAGAAATAGGCAGGGCGGTGGTACCTACCCGCGAGGACTCACAAGAGGTCCTACCACCACTGCTCATTTTGTGCTGCAGGCGTATAAGCTACCGGTCTAATTCGTCAAAGCGGCGCGACACGAAAATCTTCTTATCATGGCCGCCGCTAATTACTTATCCGACCACGATGTGACAAGGCAAAGCCGCCGTCACCCGAAACCTGTCTTGTCGGATCCCCCGAATTCACTGTTGGTGCTTTTAGGTCTCTCAAGCACTGATCACCGTCCTCATCGAACTCGTCGATTACGACGAAGAGTACCGAGAGACGATCCGGTGGTAGAATCCGCGAAGCATTGCTAGGGCTAGTGTTAACAAATTCTCTGAGGTTGAACCCGTGAGCTCACCTACCCTTCCGGACGTAGCTGGAATAGCCTCATAGGCAAGAGTTCAACTGCTATTTTTTATCAAAACTTATTATAAATTGCACTGCAGACGATTTGATAATATTTTGTTAACCAAATTTGTGTTTTGCTGTCGGCAGAAGCGTGACTTTGTCGATGGTGACAACTAACAATGGTATGAAATAAACTTTGCATGCCTTCGAAGCTAAAATTAAATGCGAACCCGCTCCTATTTTTCTACTCGAAATAAAGGGTTCGATGACGAACGAATTCGATCGAAAAATCACAATTGTGATTATGGCCGAGACCCTGGAGGACGTCAGTACAATGCTCAAAAACCTCAGTAGGGCTTTTATGCGAGTGAGTCTGAATATGAACATGGAAAAAACAAAAATTATGTTGAATGCTCATATAGCGCCCACTCCAGTAAGATCGGAAGCTCTACACTCGTCAACGTAATAATTCGGTATTTCGGTATTTTTTGCCATAAAAAAATTTCATGAGCCACCAAACCAAATCATATTCATTCGGTTTTTGCCGGACTGACCGTTCCCGATACAAAAAAAAGCCCTTGTGGGAATTATTCGCGAGATGATTTCTCAGTAGGTGATATCCCCTTTCCGCAGCACCTTGAGGCCAATCTATTGTGTTTGCACAAAGACGAAGATTACCGGATCCAATAGTAGACGCCACTTGTATCTTTGTGGGAGTTTTGATGGAATCATTGTTTATTGATATAAAGTCTCTTGAGAAACTCTAAAAGTGAACGATCGTAATAATTTAGCTATTATTTTCTTATTCATATTTGTTCTTATTATTATCTGTATTCTTAGGTATATTTTTAGATTAAATGTTAATTTTTTTACTTTTACACAATACCTCAAAAAATACCAAAAAAATATTCGAAGTCATCATACAAAGAGCTAAAAAAAAGTTGATTGCCGTACTGAAAAACCATAGATGAAAAACAGAAGATGACAACTATCAATGCGAAAGGAAATGTTACTTTCCCCTGTTTTCCTACGGCACTGTGAAAGCATGGCCAGATTGCCAAAAAATAAATGAATATATCTAGTTTAACCTTTGTTAATTGTTTTAATGTTTGGTATTTAAATGGCGATGATAAGAATTACCGAAAACGAAATGCGGGCGGGGAGAAATTTGAAAATATTTCTTTTAAATGATATTTGCACTTTCAATGCCTTAACAAGTAGACCGAGAACAGTACTACTCCAGTTCGCAGTGAACCTATAACCTATACTCTATGTAGTACAATCTACATTTGACTTAATTTCCTATTCAAACTTTTCTATTTACTGTTGCTGTATTTCTAACGGAATTCTGTTAAATTTCGGACATTCCTAAATCTTTTTTTTCGTATAATTATTGAAATATGCAATCTACCTAAAACTCCATATCTCAAGGTGGCATTCAGGTCGGTTTTTTTTTATTGTCCTTGTAGGCAGATGATCATACCACCTGATGGTGAGTGATACCATCGACATGGACTTCAGCAATGCTAGGGGCAGAGCCAAGCCGCTGTCTACCGCGTTGTCATAGGCCTTTTTTCCTACCTTAGCTGATAGCCTTGACGTCAGCGTAACCGAGCAGTGATCTACTATGATCACTTAACACCAGTTGCACCGTGAGTAGTCGACTCAACGACTGTAATATTAACAAAAGATACATAAAAAAACTACAAATTCCCATATTTTTTCTATTACGCGCACAGGTGAATTACATAAGATCGAAATTTCTATAAGGGCATTTTTAATGCAGAATGTATATAAATTTTGTTAGGGTGACTGGAAGTTTGAAAATTCATAATAAAATTGATCGCTTTTTTTAACGCTGGGGAATCCATTTACGGATTATGTCGGGTTATGTCTGACTCCGGCGCCTCCAGAGAGGAAGAGGGGGACAAGAAAGGGACCGAGGCTCTCCCTCCCCCCATTTCTCACAGGAGACTACGCTTTGAAAAAGGCGCGCGAGACATTTGCCCCGCAAAACTGACTACCTACTAAACCCCATCAAGCTTCACCACACCGACTACACCAAACCCACGGTACCGCAGTACGTGTTGAAAGTCCGCCTTCGCCGGTACCCGTCCTTATGAATAAAAAAATAAAAAAATCTATCCTAGGGACGTAGCTACAAGTTAAGTCGCGTACGAAACAAATAAAAAAATCCTTGTACACCTTATAATTAATCTTTATTTGGTTAAAACATAAATGCGATTTACTAACATTTTTCAATTTATTTACACAAATTACAATAAACGAATTAAGTAATAATTATTTATATTATTATTCGTAAAAAACTGACCGTTAGCTAAGTTATTGTAAGCTTGGTTTAATTTTTAAATGCAAACATTAAATGCACATTATTATACATATTAATCTAATAAATGCTTGTAAAACCATATTTAAGAGAAAAATGTCAACATTGATTACACTAATAAGTAATTATATAGTAGTTCCGAGAAATCATTTGCACATTACTCAAAACTATATGGTTAATTAATTTTTTTAAACGACTATTTTGTAAACATTGAACACATTATAATTCAGTTATAATTCTTCTTTTAAATCTTACAAGCATTCGTTGTTACCAAAATACAATTTGAAATGTCTTATGCATATTTTTTGACGATAAGTATATTTAAAACAAAAAAGTTTTCAGTGGTTAATGTATTAGATGATTTTTTATAATAATTATGGGACGTAAAAAATTACAACTAAACTATTTTGAGAAATTTTAAATCTTGTTTTTGTTGTTAATGCAAAAATACCTTTTTTTTAAAAGGAGTCTGAATTTTTATTTATAGATACAGTATGGCTGTTTGAAAATGATGACAATTCATTAATTTAGATCAGTTGAGGCGTCCAAAGATTTTTCGTTAGTAACTCTTCGTCAGAGCAACGCACACGACACAAGAAACATATTCAAGATATAATGAAATACCAAATTTCTGAATTAAAAAGAAAGAAACTTTAGTCACAGAGGACTGTCATTCTTATTTGTCGTCAACTGTAAACTTTTAACACACTATCATATCCTATGTTATATTATTCCAAACTCTTCATCTATTAGTGTCAAATTATTGGCAACAACAGGCATTATTTATAACATTCGGTCACTGTGTTAATAAAACTAAATAATTTTAAAATTACATTTCTAACTGGCACTGTTTTATCACAGGTCTGGCGATTTTACTGGACATCTGGGATCTGGCATTCTATTTGTAGAAGGAACGTCATTTTGTTTATATACAAAATACGAAAGGTATCTTACATCATTTCGCTTTAAAAAAAAAAAACAATTTGAATAAAGTCAAGCAATTTTCGCATAGATTAGTCGAAGTTAAACACAACGGTTCTTGTCAAGACCATTCAGATAATAGACAAACTTTTTTTTTTTTTTTTCGATAAAAATTAACTTACATTCTTGAACATGCAAACTAAAACTAAATTACAATAACAAAAAAGGAAGACAAAAAATTGTACCGTATGAAATTGTAAACATCCTTTTCTTTTAAAATTTAACTAGGACTCGAACAATTACAAAGAAATATTAAAAATAAATTAAATCAATTAAAACGTACAAATTAAGTTTTATATAATAATATGAATTACCTATCTAAGTTAATTTTTTTTCGGACTTCAACTAACGAGGTTTAGCTGTAGCGAAAATTAAGGTTCTGATGTATTCTAAAAACTTATAACAAACAACTTTGGTCTTGATCCACAGCCACTTTTTAAATTAATACCTTCAATTTTAAAACATTTAACTTTTAGATTTCTCTTCGTTATCAACGGAAAAACCAATCGGGCGGCAGTACAGAAATTTCGATTAATTAACTTACGTCATAATGAAATAATATCAATCTTAATTTTTTTTATTTTCTGACAACAACATTAATTTTCATAGGAAAACTATTCTATTTTGAAAAAAATGGGACATTTTTTCTTCAAAATAGAATTCAGTTTAAAATTCTTTAAGCAGCCTGGACGTGAGCGAAACGTAACAAATAAAATGATAACAAAACAAATTGAAATGAGGATATTGAAAATAATTTCGCTAATTTGTATGATGTAGTCAAATTAAATGATTTGCTATTGTGTTTTTATATATATTAAAAATATACCCATTGATCAATTACAATTTATATATACGTCACGCCTTAAAAAAACAGCAGTGTGCTTAGTGCAAGTTTTTTACCTTTCTCGATAGCGTTAAAGTTAGGCCAATTTTGTATGCAGTTGGAACAGCGCCCCTAGCGGCAAACGTAGGCAAACGATCCCATTCCATACAAATATGAGCTAACTTTTACGTTATCGAGAGCGTTAAAAAACTCGCACTAAGCACACAGCAGCAACCAAAGAACGTAGCGTAATAAATCGACATCATACAGCTACATAGGTACATCGGCCAAGTACTCTATCCGGAACAGCATGTCCATGACCTCCTGGGGTCTGAACCATTTCCAGGGAACAGGCTCGCGCCCGCACTGCGCCTGGGTCCGCCTCGTCACCCCGTACAGCACGACCACGGCGCACGCGAAGCATATGATAGCGAACATTTGGAACAGGCACTTTATCGAATCCCTGGAATCATAATGGGGAGAAAACGTTAACATGACGTGTAGTCGTCGTGGCCTAAAGGTTAAGACGTCCGGTGCATCGCTACACACGAATGCAATGGTGTTCGAATCCCGCAGACGGGTACCAATTTTTCTTAAAAAACATACGTACTTAGCAAATGTTCACGATTGACTTCCACGGTGAAGGAATGGTAAAGTGTAATAAAAATCAAAATAGCAAAATTATAATTTGCGTAATTACTGGTGGTAGGACGTCTTGTGAGTCCGCATGGGTAGGTACCACCGCCCTGTCTATTTCTGCCGTGAAGCAGTAATGCGTTTCGGTTTGAAGGGTGGGGCAGCCGTTGTACTGTAAAAACTGGGACGTTAGTACTTATATCTCAAGGTGGGTGGCGGCATTTACGTTATAGATGTCTATGGGCTCTCACTTCACACCAGGTGGGCTGTGAGCACGAACACCTATCAATGCAATAAAAAAAAAATGTGGGGAAATTGTGACAAACAGTATAGAGTACACAAATGCCTAATAATATTTGGCATTTTTTTTACATTGGCAACATTTTCAATTGTCACTTCTTTGATAAATTCTATCATTCAAATACAAAATTTATTGGACTAAATAAAATACGTTATGTTATATGGATTTAAGTCACAAAAAATTATACTCTTTGAGTTATTAGCCATACTAATATTAATAGAGACATATCTGTTTCTGGCAAAAAGAAATAAATTTACACTTGACTTAATAGGATACAATTTCGAGACTACTATTTTACGTGTCAAGGGTAAGTCGCTTTAGAATTCTACTTTAACGCCAAATGAACAGTGACAGCTGTATTTATACTAATAAAAATTACAATTTTCCTGTGATCTAAATGATATTACTATAAGGATTTTTTTAAATAAATATTCAACAACCAAAAAAAACCCGCTAAATTATTTTTATTTAAATAAATATTTACTAACAATCACGCCACATTAACTGGTCCCGTACTAAGTTCGTAAAGAACTTGTATTACAGGTACCAGATAACGGAAATAAATGTAAGATTTTTATTATACACATACATATATTTAATAAACATCCATAACCCTGGAAAAGACATTTCTACATTTATCATACAAATATCTTCCCTTGGCGGGATTCGAACCCGCGACTCCCTTGTGTAGTGACCATGTCACTTACCACTACACCAGACGGTTTAAATTGTAACGAAACTAACAACTTCACCTTTTGCTACCGGTCAGGATATTATAGCGATATGCGTCTGTTAATTGTCAAGTTAATTGGACGTTTTGAAGTCAGTGAAACAATTCCGCTACATACAAACAAACATACCGAAAGCTTCTTTAAAAACAGATTATTATATTTACCAAAAAAAGCTTCTCAGACTTCTATTAGCAGTAGTGGTCAGTCTTCTCTCGCAGTCTGCACATGGCTGGTCTACTTGTGTGGCCACCGATGTATTATCTAAAAAATCATGTTCATATCGTTACATACATTATACATATATTTTAATATTTAAATAATTCTTGTCCGTGTGCATGTTAGTGAACTCCTCTTAAACGACTGGATTGATTTTGATGAAGTTTTATAAGTTTGTAGTTTGTTCCAGTGAATTCAAGAATGGCTTTCACAATACAGTACTTTAATAATATTTATTTAAAATAAAAATTTCATCAAAACTGTCCAGATTGTTACAATTTATTTAAAGAAGTTTTTTATTTATATCTGAATACAAGACGTGTTTACTGAGTAACGTCTATCGAGTCCACTATTATCTATATATCGAGGGGTGAAGGCGAAATTTATCTTTGTAATTAAAGATGCGTTTTATTTTGTATTAGCATCAACAATTTGATGTTTTTAATTGATCTTCATTTAAGCTTACTCCATTTCAATAACTGAAGAAAATTTTTGTTATACATTTTTTTCCAAAATTTAAATGGCTCTCCTGTTTCATTTCAAAAATATCGCTTAAAACAAATAGCTTTTCACCTCTCGAATTATATATTATTTAAAATTCTAATTAATAACCTAATATATTATAATCCACCAAATCCACTATTAAACTACAGTACATTACTATTTCTACAAACACACATCTAAAATCAAATACAATCTACATTGGAACCGTCCCAAGACAACAAAAGACTAAACACAGTTCTCTACCATCACGTTTCAATTACCATTTATCTTCTCATGTCGCACATAAGACTTTGTTTCAAGTTCGAAATTTTCAATAGATTCCTTTTGTGTCACACACGCCTTCTCTAGTACAAGTATTTTTGATTGTAACTCTTTAACTGATGTTCTTAATTGATTGTTTATCGAGTCATTCTCGTCTGCGTAGTTCTGTAGCGAAGCTAAACTGTCCTCGTAGCGACGCAATTCTGTTTGTAGTTCGTCGAGACTACGACGCGAATGTCTCAGGTCCCTTTCCAATTTGGCCGTATAATCACTTTTCCTTTCACATTCAATACATTTTTGAGCCGTAACGTTATTGACATTAGAATCATTTTCGTCGGTCTGCGTTACGATCGATCGCGTTTCAGTTATACTTTCATTGGGATAACGTTGCGTTTTATATTCTGTATTCGTTGATTTGTCAATTTTAACTTTATGACTATTGTGGTAAGAGTCATTTTTGTCGGTCTCAACTATCCTAGTTTCTTTATCGATTGTATTAATTACAATACTCATTGTTTGAGTTCCGATTGTTATTGAACATCTCCGTTTGGCTTCGCTTACGTCCACCACGCTACTCGCACTACTGTTTAAATTCTCACAAAGATCGTTATGTACTCGAGTGCAATTATATACAAACTTTTCTTCTGCTGTGACGTCATTATGTGATGCTGTATCTTCGTGACATTTCGTTTCAGTTGTGATGACAGTTTTGGGATTAGAATCGGATGCTTCACGGTTGTCGGTCTGAGCGAAGACGGCAGTGAAGGAGCTGTCATCGTGACATTGACATAAGCTCCTGTCAGTGAGCACTCCGGTGGCGTTGTGACGAGAAACGTTGCAGAAGCTGAGCCGTATCTCGTCGAATAGGGACATGTTCGTTGAGCGCCCCTGGTCATCTCTTAGCGCGTTCGCAAACGACTCCTCGTCTAATATACGATTTTCTAGGAAACAACGTTACACAGTTTACCTAATGAGCTGATATTAGCAAGCAATAAATTAATGAGAATTATAAGATAATAATAAACATATGTTTGACTAACAAACATATATTTTTCTATACTTGTCCTATAATATGTTAATTGTTATTAATGGTTCCTTCTCGCATACATACATCCAATTTTATCGAATTTAGTTAATAAAAATATTCATTAAAACATTATATACTGCTTTAAACATACAGATGAGCTTCAGAGTCGCCTGGTGTTAGGCACCTACCCTCAAAGTTCGTAAATTAACTTGTTGCATGAATAATCTATCCTTAGATACAATTTTCATGAACAAATCCCAGCATATATACGCATTCATACTTGTTGATACTAATGATACAACAAAGCCCTAAATTTAGTGCACATAAGGCACAAAATCGAATAAATAGAAAATATATAAAAAAAATGGGTGCAATCCAGAGGTGGTAAAAGTGAAACCTTCAAAAATTAAAATACAATTATCCTAAATGTCTAGTATATGTATAATTTTGTCATGAGTAAATAATAATTGTAAATCATCTTTTATAGTATGAGGTAGCACCCTCTGTGAATTGATATTTTAACTTCACGTATAATCCTAAATTAAAATTCACTACAAGAAGTTTCATACACACGTTAGTATTAAATAACCCCATAGAGGGCGCTGTATTAAAAAAAACACTACAACGAGAACGTCTATAATGTGTTCTATCTCATTCTCTCGCCGGCTGAATCCCATACATTTATGTGTTTGTCTCTCTATGGACTTATTTTTTCGTTTCATCGAGTTTGAAATCACGATTCTAAAGAAGTTACGCTTCAAAATATTGTCGTTATTAACTAGCTACCTTGAGTGAACCTGCTGTCAGCGTTGAGACTGTCCAATGCGGTCAGCATCTGATCGTCGGTGTAGCTGATGTCGATGGAGCGGTCCATGCGCGTGTGGGTTTGGTTCGATTTGTTGAGAACGTCTTTCAATTCCATCTCTAGCAGCACCTGGAATTGTATTACCAGAATTATGCAGCTGTTTCATATATGCGTGTACCAGGCTCACCACAAACCGGGAGGAGTGGCGATTGCTCGTGAGGCACATAGCATCTGCCCACAGCAACGATGCTGGATGACGACCACGACCGCTCTGACAAGAGTGATACGACATACGATACGATTCATATCGACGTTTGAAAGGCAAACGTGACTAAGCGACAATAACCGCTATATACATAAATGATAGGCAATAACCATATTCGATGCGCAAAAAAAAAATATTTCTAGGTCTATTAAAATAATTTCAATCCTACAGCTAGATTCGTTAAAATATTTTTTTTTCCAGGTATTTCGACTTTAAATTAGTCTACTGTAAAGTTCACGCATTGTCGTTTAGTCATGTTTGCCTTTCAAGCGTCGATATATTTTTATAAATTCTAAATGATCAGACGAAGCGGCTCAGTACATGATTTTTCTCTTCTTAGTCGCATAATTTATTGCTATTTTTACTGGTGGCAGGACCACCTTGTGAGTCCGCGCGGCTAGGTACCACCGCCTTGCCTATTTCTGCCGTGAAGCTGTAATACGTTTCGGTTTCGGATAGATGGCGTGGATTAGGAAAAAGGGAATTTTAGTCGGTTCCCTAACAGTTATTACGAGATTAAATTATACGTTCGTTTGTTTTCGTGAGCTTGTGGTGTAAACAGTGTGACCGTACCTTTTCCTTGATGATTTGCTGCATGAACTCGTTGTGGTCCTGCAGCCGCGCCGTGAGGTCGGCGTGCTCGCTCTTGAGCGTCTCGTTCTCCTCGAGCAGCGCGGACTGTCGCGAGGCGTACATGTCGTTGATGCGGTGGCACTCGTCCTTAGACTTCGACAACAGCTCTTGTAAGGTCAATTTCTGAAAGGATCCATATACATATTAACACCTGAAGCAAGAAAAGGGTGCGTGTACTTATGTACACGCGTAAGAAGTTATACTTTATTTTTATTAAATTTATTACTTTTTTTTTATTTAAATTTTAATCAATTTGAAAAAAAAAACGATTAAACAACATCCTCAAACACGCATATTGGACATTCCTTTTCTTGACATCGTATAAATTCGGTAATTCTCGGTACGGTTCGGAAAGTTCACCTGCGGCTATATTCAGACTCGCCAAGTTACGTCGGTCGGATTGTAATGGGCGATTTAGTGGGCAACTTCATTCTGTTAATTTTGTGTCACGGTGCGCGCGCATCGTAAAATTTCACTCTCATCAATTTTTCATAACGCGCTTAAAGAAGTATAACTTCAAAAACTTTGTACCCCTTTTAACGAAAATTGTGCAGACGGAGGAGTATGAAATTTCCCACACTTATATAGAATATAGAAAAAGAGTGCAAAATGTTAATGTTTTTTTAAATTATGCATATACATTAAATCAATAAAAAAAACATTACACACCACGTATGACGCACACACGCATGCATACTATTTGTTTATTGTCAAACTTTTCTTATTGCTTATAGTCTGTGGTCAAATTGAGATTAGATTAAATATTGTTTGTCTTTATTAACATTTGCCTAAAGTGTAGTGTTGGCTAAATATGTGATTATAGAAGTATAATATAGTATTTGACAATAGAATCACAATAGCGTACAAACCTATAATTTCAATTAATTATAGTTGAATTTCAATCTGATCTGCTGAGACTAACAATAACTTTGATTTACGGATACTTTTATTTAATCACCGTCGAGGATAAAAATGTTCACCTACCCTCCAAATTTTAATTTGTTTTATAATTAATATTAACAATGTTCAAAAGTAAATAAAGATTTCTCCCTTAAGTATCATTTATTTTGATACTAGCTGACCCGGCAGACTTCGTAGTGCCTCAATCGATAAATAAAAGACCTAAACGTTTGTATAAAATAAACTTATAACAAACAAAAGGAATCCGTGTGACGGGGGACTCATCAAAGGAAAAACAAAATTGTTATTTTTATTTAATTCCGAGCATTTTCATATTTATTTACCTTTTGAACTTATTCTGGACTTCCACAAATAATTCAAGATCAAAATTAGCCAAATCGGTTCAGCCGTTCTCGAGTTTTAGCGAGACTAACGAACAGCAATTCATTTTTAGATATAGAGTTTTAATGGATGTACGTACTTGGCTACTCCTGTAGTATTATTTCAGACTAAGAATAGATATGAGAATGAGATAGAAAGATGGTGAGGTGTGACAGCGAGCTCATCCAATTAGTTTCTAATTTCCAAAGACCACAACGTGAAGTGAAATATTCACAAAAAATCATCATCAGATATCTGGTCTACACAACTCTTAGAGGTAGGGATAGTAGAATGGATCATAACTCGATGTAACCGAGACAGATGTGAAATCTTAAGTGTTTTTCTTTTTTGTTCTAAGCAGTCCATCTTTACAAGTGGAGTGCATAGGAGTCATAACGTGATTATTATCAGTGCACTGCGACAGTAGCAGGCACAATGGCAGTGCATGTAGACTAGTGAATGTCTTCGTAAGCATACCTCATTCTCTAAAGTGGTGACTTGTTCGTGCAGCACCCTCGCCCGGCGCCTGCTGGTGTCCAGTTCCCGGCGCACGTCGCCCAGGGCCCTCTCGCTGGCCAGCAGCCGGTCGGTCGCCTCCTCGTAGTCGCGTCGGGCGTGCGTCAGGGCCGCGTTCTCCTCCCGCAGGCTGCGCGTAAACATTACGACTTTTTGGCGGAAGCGCGAGGAGTGAAGTTGTGTGATTTGTTTTATTTTGTATATTTAGTGTTTCTTCCGTTTGATATTGTTACGCCGGTAAGAGTAACGTCATCTATCGCCGAACAGTCGAACGAATATCGAAGGATCTAGTAAAGCCTAGAACGTCCGAGAAGTACAACGCCATCTATTGTCAGATAGCGGAAACCACGACTAGATATGTGTGGAATATTCTCGATAATTCTAGGGATAAGGTATCGGCTATAAAAGCGTTGCAGAGATGGCGCGCAGTCAGTAATCGGAACTACACGAAGCGAAACAGCGAACAAGCGAATTGAGAGTTTTAAAGTGTTTGTTGAGTGTTTTAAGTGTTCAAAGTGTCGAATACAGTTCTCAGTTGTACTTTGGTGAAATTTTATTTATCCCGAACCCTCAGCGCGTAACAAACAATATTTAGTTCGAATGCGGCCTGTAACTTACATGCTGAGATGGGATCGCATGGAGTCTCGCTCGGCGGTGAGCGCGGCGAGCGCCTCCTCGTGCTGGCGGTCCGTGAAGTCGAGCTGTGAGCGGAGCTGCTGGGCCAAGTGGGCCTTCTCCCGGAGCTCGCTTTGCAGCTCCTCCAAGAGTTGGAACCCTACGAGACCAGGCTTACGGTTAGTAAGGTTTATTAGGCTTCAGGTACCACATCTTGTAAGCGAAATCTGATATTGGTGCACTCGTTATACAGTATCCAAACATTAAATTTAGAAATTTATATATTTTTGTGTGTAAATTTGATGTTTTTTTTTTTGTTTGTATTATTATGTTGTGTAGTTTTTTTTTTAGGATTGAAGTTTTAACTGGTGGTTGGACTTCATGTGAGTCCGCGCGGGTAGGTATCACCACCCCACCTATTTCTGCCGTGAAGCAGTAATGCGTTTCGGTTTGAAGGGTGGGGCAGCCGTTGTAACTATACTTGAGTCCTCCGAACTTATATCTCAATGTGGGTGGCGCATTTACGTTGTAGATGTCTATGGGCTCCAGTTACCACTTAACACAAGGTGAGCTGTGAGCTCGTCCACCCATTTAAGCAATAAAAAAAATAAAAAAAAGATCACTGGTGGCCCGGAGGCCTTTCCAGTTTCACCAGGACAGGTGGGCGAATGGTGGCAGAAGGGGTGGGATTTGCTAGCAGCTCTCCGAGCGCCTCCGAAGGCCTCCGAACTCAAGCAACTGCTTCGCGAATGAATCTACTACCCAATCGGAATCGCGACCCGCTGAGAAGATCCGGCGAGAAACTCAGCGCGCTGATTCATGGGTTAGGTTGCACGTCGAACTCTTTGTCGAGTTCAACGAGTACGGTTACCGGGGTCCCCAAGCCTGTTCCTAGTGTTAAAGCTGAAGGCGTCTAATACAAAGGATTGGATTTGATGGATCCGTAAGGACGTGTCTAGGGCGTCGACGGTTCGAATATCCGCGAATATAGAAATTGGATTGCATTTTTCGAATAGAATCCATAAAGAGGTTTTTCATAAGGAGTTTTTGACTGTATAGATGTGAATATTATCTCACCATCTGTTGATATACCGGAATCCGAATCCTGGGGCGCTTGTCCACTTTTCAAATTAAAACTGCAATAAACAACGAACAACATAAGTTTCTGTTGCATAGAAGGGCTGCAGATCTAAAATCATAATTTATTCTGTGTACCCACCCGCATTCTCGGACTAATTATAACCAAACCGGCTTGAGCAATTATAATGATACACTAATTTAGAATTGCTTAGCACCAAACTGTCCGCTCACTTACTTATTTATCCATAAATTATGTGAAATTTAATACTGACATGAATGAAAATAAATGCGTTAAGTGGTTGCTACCAAAATTATGCTTTTTTTTGCATTTATTTTTAGTACACTATTACAGGTACGTATCTCATTAAAAAAAATATTTCCAGCTTGCGGGATTCGAACGCCGGCACCGTCGCATCGCTCGATACGAATGCACCGGGCATCTTATCTTTTAGGCCAAAGGACTGCAAAAGTAGTTACTATTGGAATGCGACCTTGTTATATCATCCCACCAATTTCTATCGCGAAGCAGTCATACTTTCCGGTTCGAAGGATGTGACAATGTGACTTGAAGTTGGTCAATGCAGTTAACGCTACGACCTTAAATTTTAATGTGACTGGCTGTGTCCAACCATGTCTATAGACGCATTTAGTGCAAGCAAAAACGAGCTCTATATCTGCATTGTAATGTTTAAAAAAAAATTAGGCGAAAACTCTAGTGACATGTGCACTGCAAACAATATTATAATCTATATAGAATTAACCTTAATTCGTAAAACGGAACCAGCAACGGCAAACTATTTGCAAACCGTTACACAAAATAATGTAAACAGTTTTAATCGGTGGAATGATGTCATGTATGTAGATATGATGTATTTCTTCATGGGAGACGAGCCAGCGATCTAAACGCTACCCATGACACGCCAATCACAACAGCATCGGAATAATGTAGATTCGATTTTTTTCTTAGTCTCGAATCATAGATTAGGTACATATTTTTGCAATGATCTACATAATACCTATAGACAATTATTTAAATACAATTTTTGACCAGCCATCTTCTATTATAACTATTGACGACCTTTATAATACCAATTTCTATATTTTCAAAATAATTAAACTTCAACAAAAATGTTTATAAAATGTCCAATTTATAGAATTTTTTTTTTCAACAAGAATAATAAATGATACTGATCAAAATTATATTTAGTTTGTTACAATAGTTTGTTTTTTACGTACATACATCAATTTATCATGTCCTACATTCTACAGTATTTGTACTTATTTTTTATTCCAACACGTACATAAGGCAGCCTTATTATACATATCGACGCTTGAAAGGCAAACGTAACTAAGCGACAATAACTGCTTTGTACATAAATGATAGGCAATAACCATATTCGATGCGCAAAAAATATATATTTCTAGGTCTATTAAAATCATTTCGCTGGATTCGTTAAAATAGTTTTATTTTCAGATATTTCAATTTTAAATTAGTCTACTGTAAAGTTCACGCATTGTCGCTTAGTCACGTTTGCCTTTCAAGCGTCTATATATATATTTAATCGTACCTTATTACTTGCTTTGTGGCTACAAATTACAAAAAAAAAGTCACAGGCGGGCGCATCACGATGGTCCACAATGAGCGATCGACTGAAGGAGGAGGATTACTTGCCTCTCATCGAAATCGAGCTTGGTCTTCTGGCTTTCGCTGTAACGATGGAGAGCTGTAGCTAGCTTTGTAACGCTTATCTCGGGGTTATCCTTGTCCGGGTCCAGTAATGATTTTAGGTACGTGTATTCTGACCTGTGATAATGATTAAATTTAGATTTGTTTTCGTTGTAACATTAACAATTGTTAGGAATGTTTCTTTTTTTAAATGTCATAGTTTTTTAAGCGCATCAGAGGAAGTGTGAAAGTAGCCCCGTAATCAACAAATTAAAGAGCGGACGATTAGCGTGGCATGGACACGTGATGTGTAGAGAGAAGATGCATTTGACTAGATGTGCGAAAATGGTAGTGCAAGGTGGAGGGGAAGAGGTCGACCGATGAGCACATGAACGGATGGAGTGTGTGAATGACGATACGAGAGAGAGAGAGGAGTGAGTGTTGAAATGACGGCTGATAGAAGAGAATGGAAGAGAAAAATGAGCTGTGCCGACCCCACCTAGTGGGATAAGGTGGAGAAAAACAAGAAGATAATTTTTTAAGCGCATAATGAATTGTTTGTTTACGTAATTGATTGCACGAACGTGGGAATTAGATCAAGAAATGCTAGGCTAACTAATGACAGCAGCAGAAACATTTTGGACAAACGCGAAATTAGTCTCTTACAGCAAACTTCATTTGCACACGACAAATTTCTGCAAGAATTTTAGTTCGTACAACCTCGAATTATGCTTCAATTGAATTAAAACGAGACTCTTTGGCTTCAAATACGTTAGAAAGAGACAAAACACAGGGTCAGCCAGTTTCGCTTCGTTTGTTCGTTAGAAAGAGACAAAACACAGTGTCGGCCAGTGTCGCTTCGTTTGTTAATAGCATGATACAATTGGTCTTCTACTCATTTTTTAATCAGTTCCATTAATCTTAATACAAAAAGATCTGTCTTCAAGAATTGCTCCTATTTATGAGCCGAAACGAAATTAACTGACAAGACATCAGTATATGACACATACCACACGCGTACAAGAACATGCATGTAAAAATAGATGCTATAAAATTGACGTAAAAATAAATATTGTTTTAATAAATTTTTTTTACAAGGAAGTGGAGTATGTTGTTGTGAATATTATGTATTTCTTTGCTATCTATGTAGGCACAAGAGCATAGGGCCCACCTGATGGTAAGTGGTTACCGTTACTCATGGACGTCAGCAATGCCAGGGGCAGAGCCAAGCTGCTATCTGCGGAATTATGTTATATTTTGAGCCAGAATAAAAAAATCATAATTATACAAAAATATAACAAAAACAGAAACGAGATTGTAAATAGAAAGGCAATTTTTCAAAGCTCAACGTTTTGAACTGCATCTTTGTTTGTGTGTCAGCGAGATTTACTACCGCAGAAGATAAGAGCTAATTTTGTATATCCAATATATGCTTGTTGTCACTAACAAAGTAGACTTAAACTTATGTGCAAACTTATGTGACTGTAAACTTATGTGCAAGCAATTGAAATCAGGACATGTTAAGAAACACCAGAAAGAGAAGAACTAGACTGTGTAAACCTATATGCAAGAAATTCAAATCAGGACATGTTAAGAAACACCAGAAAGAGATTTTTTTATAGAATGATTTATAGCACAAATAATATCTTACAACACATCAAACTAACAAAACTACTTCGGTAGCATTTGGTTATCTCGGACAATTCCTCGTTCACAACTCACAGTCATACAAAACATAGAGAAAACAGTTTCTGAGTAGACCAAGAGGTTTTGAAATATCTATTCTAAATATTTATACTCTGTATCTATCCTATCTACTTATTTTTATGAGCTTTACTTATTATACCATCTGCAATCAATACTTATACTATAAGCAGGTGAGAGGTAAAAACTATAGCTTGCAGAGGCCCTTATCCAATGGCATAATCTCTTTGTTTAGCTCTGCGTTTGAAATGTTTGCTATTCTTAAGCGTTGATGTAGAAATGGGCTAAGTAACTTCGAGACTAGCTTAATTGAATATTTTAACAAGCGAGACCTGTACCTAGTGTAAGTATTAACTATTTCTTCTTTTGTGGTAGAAATTTCTGCAAACTCTTCAAACAGGGAACTTTAGTGGTGGTATCAAAAACTCTTACTGGTGGTAGGACCCCTTGTGAGTCTGCGCGGGTAGATACCACCACCCCACCTATTTCTGGCGTGAAGCAGTAATGTGTTTCGGTTTGAAGGGTTAGGCAGCCCTTGTAACTATACTGAGACCTTAGAACTTATCTCAAGGTGGGTGTCACATTTACGTTATAGATGTCTATGGACTCCAGTAACTACTTAACACCAGGTGAGCTGTGAGTTCTTTCTTCCACTCATCTAAGTAATAAAAATAAAATAAAAAACTCTAAAGGCCATTTTCTTAATAGAATAAAGTGGAGGTAGATAATACTTGTGGCCCAGTAGAGAGACAGGCTAAAACCAAATGAGTGGCAAAAAGCTGTTTCTTCGTGCATAAGTCATTCCTTAGGTGTGATGTGCCACTTTTGTCTATTAGCATATATAACTAAATTAGGCCTTCCTTTTTAAGAGCTATTTACCAAAGAAACATTTACACACTAAAGAGTTGAATCAGGTACTTGATGAAGCTTTACAAAACCTTATAGACAAATTAATTCATTATGTTAAACAGTTTACGGTAACCATAAGTTGTAACAAAAGTTAGTCTGATAGTAAATAGCAACAATAAAATTTAACGTACAGTAGAATTTTCAATGTTGTGGAATATGTTATATTATTGAAAATATTATTAATTTAATATTGGTTGGTGGTGGGGGCTTATTGTATTTTATTTAATTAAGACAACATGAATGGAGACTTTTAGAGTCTCCATTCATGTTGTGAAATATGTAGTTGTTCACCTGTGTGTGCATTAAAAAAAGGAAATTTAAACTCACATGTTCCATATCCAATTACCTTAAGCTAGGATATTCTGCTGTATTCTTCCCAGATATGTACATATTCAATATAAGTTTAAGTCACCCAAAATAAAAATGTCATTCATCTCTAAGGTCTAAAAATAGCTACTCCAACCAAGTGAATTCTGACAAATCAAGCTCTCTAGACCTAGCAACTATATAATAAATATTTTCATAGCAAATATATTATGATCTGCAATGCAGCTTCACAAAGATAATAAATAGCATTACCAAAATAATCATTGATCACTACTAATTTTCATTATTACTATTTTTCCTGGCGAGAAACAACATCGCAGTCTCGCAATATAAGTTTTTTTACTCACGTAAAATGGGTTAATTACTTAAATTATCAACGCATTATCACTAACCTGTTAGTTTTTACGAACGGTGCAAATTTATCCATAAGATCGTCCACGCGCAGTGACCCACTCCTTTCTGTACCACAATAGTCAAAAATCTGTAGCGCCGTCATGTAACATTCTGTAATACACTTCTATTATTAGTTTTAAATTTTAACTAGCACACCAACGCAGAGAATACTATAATAAATTCAGCATTACCGTCGACACCAGCCGCTGCCCGGTCCATGTTTATCTTAAGGTTTTCCGTTCAAAATAATACACCGTACAACGTCTTGAATTGAACCCGCATGTGCGCTAACGGTCACCGGTGTTTGTTTTTATGTTTAAAAATACAATTAAATTACAAGTACGTACGACGAAAATAGTTCTCTCAATTTAACCGTTTATTGTTTCGACACTGGTAGTGGTGGGATATCATTAGTGCCATTGTTATAACAATACTAACACATGATCGATAACAAAAACTTCATTCGATTCATTTTAAAGGCAATGAAAATATATAATTAAGATCGGATGAAAAATCAACTTAAATATGATATTTGTTTGGTTACGAAATCGATCGCTAAAATAAATTCAAATAAATTTTTCCAAATATAGCAAGTTGGTGTTTGAAAATGAAAAAGGTATAGTAAACAAATTAAACTGTTGAATACTTACGAAACTCTTGTTATTCACAAATTTACCGATTCATAATTGCTTATCTACAAAGGGCCATTTTTGTTGATTATTTTCATTTTCAAATGTGTGACCGACATTTTCCATTCAATGAAACCGATTTCAAAATCGATTTCATCGTGTAATCAACTCACTACATATGTCAAACGTGAGAAATGTCATTTACAACTATATTTATGAAATAAAGTCGTTCGAAAACAGTTAAAATGAAAATGCTTGTTCAATTTAAATTTTATTATATATTATTTCAATTATCGTTCTTTTATTGTATTTAAAATTTCTCTCAACCCACTGTTTACTTTAAGTGTAGCTAGTTTAACTTCTATCATGCTAAAATCACTTAATTCAATCTGAAAGAAAAAATACACAGTCAGGAACAATATGTACATGCTTTTTAATTATTTTAAAAGTAAAGAAAAATTTATGACAAATAGGTAGTACTTTGCTGTGTTTGGTAAATTGTGGTATACGGATCGATTTTTTAATTATTATTTATACCAAATCAATTTTCATGTTTAAATATAGAATAGGATATTGATATATGTAAGTGCTTATTGCTTACCCCGTCTGGGGGATCTTTCTCTCGAAGCGGAAATCGTCCGTACATGCGTTCACAAATCGCGCACAGACCACACCAAGTTCTAAATTTAACTGTGTGTCCTTCAGGCTGTAACAAAGGTTATATAAATTAGGTAGTATAGTTTGTTATCAGCAGACCATAATTATAATATTCGATATTCGACAAGTTCTCTAAAGGGAATCTGGGAACCCGTTCTTGAGTATCATCAACCTGATTTATTTATCCATACATTATCACTAGTCAGGACTGCCACTGTTCAAGCTTACTGTTAACCTGCAAGGTATGCTTCAACATCCTCTGCATTTATGTATCGAAGTGACCGTGAGTTCCAATTTCAATACAATTAAGATTTCAAGTGTTTTTTGAGGAAGTGGAAATCGTGAAACTTTCCTTTATATATCAGGGGCGACGAGCTAGACTTGTTGATGGTTGACTAAAATCTTATATTACTCAACCACGTTCGATCCTCGAAAGAGGTTCCGGTTCCTAAGCCGGTATGCGAGGAAACATTTGAGAGAGCCGGAAATTAGGCTTTAATACCGTCTCCCCTCGACAACGGCGTATTGAATCAGGGAGAGCGAGAGGGAGATAAAGATTAAAGCTTTATCTCCCGTGTCTCGTCGCAAATCTCTAAAAGAAGGCGTACTCACAGAAGTCAAATATCGCTTATTACGACCCATAATGATTCACCATCAAAATGAACTCCTTTATTTTCAATTTTGGGAAGAGACTTTACGTTGGCTCTCCAAGAAAGGGAGAGAGAGACAGATCGCGTATATGTAATCTGTCGCATCTTCGTCGTATTGGTACAAAGTGTTGGTATTCAACTGTCGATCTCAATAGCAATAAAATAGTTGTTANGAAGTCAAACATCGCTTATTACGACCCATAATGATTCACCATCAAAATGAACTCCTTTATTTTCAATTTTGGGAAGAGACTTTACGTTGGCTCTCCAAGAAAGGGAGAGAGAGACAGATCGCGTATATGTAATCTGTCGCATCTTCGTCGTATTGGTACAAAGTGTTGGTATTCAACTGTCGATCTCAATAGCAATAAAATAGTTGTTAGTTACCTCTTCTGAATCTCCTCCCTCAGAAACAGAGTTCTTCCTGTATCCGGTGTTCAGTAAGGTCAACTTAATTTCGTCCGGTATACTCTCTTCTTCCTCATAATACGTCCAGCTCATGATTTCTTTGAAGTGGTTGACTTGACTTAGTGTCATAATACCACCCATCATTAAGATAAGACCATCTTCTATATCCTAAATAGGCATTTCATTAAGTTAAAACATTTGATTGAATATTTGAGCTATAACTAACCTACAAAGTTATATTTCGTTCATATCTGACAAAATTGACAAGACGCGGTGTAATTAACCTAGCTAGTCTAATAGCTAAAGACTGTAATACACCAGCTATTCCAAATTCGATTTACGGTCGGATCTTTGTACAAGATATTTGGCATTTAGGGACTTGTTCTGGTCTTTTTGCCCATGAGAGGAGAAAACCCTAGTTTTCGAGACTATTCGATGTGGACCATTTAACATTAACTGTTCCTGGAATAAGACCATAAGACGAACAAGCTTCAACAGAAACATGTAATCCTCAGAGACTGGTGCGTTTGCGATCCCGTTACGTCTTGTAATCAATACTTCGCCTTGTTCAGATGACAATATAATCGAAATTTCCTTGTAGTTTGATGGTCAATAACTTCATTTGTTGTCTTACAATAATTTTTTTTATTGCCTTGGTGTGTGGACGAGCTCACAGCCCACCTGGTGTTAAGTTGTTACTAGAACCCATAGACATTTTCAACGTAAATGCGCCACACACCTTGAGATATAAGGTCTCAGTATAGTTACAACGGCTGCCCCGCCCTACAAACCGAAACACATTACTGCTTCACCGCGCGGACTCACAAGAGGTCCTACCACCAGTAATTACGCAAATTATAATTTTGCGAGTTTGATTTTTATTACACAATGTTATTCCTTCACCGTGGAAGTCAATCGTGAACAATTTTTAAGTACGTATTTCATTACAATAAAACAGCTATCAATAGCCTAAGACTGTATCTTGATTTCAATAAGATACATATTTGTATTCGACTTACCTTTATAGGCATCCTATAGCCGTTCGGACGAAATTTCCTCAACACGGTCAGATACAATAATTGCTTTGACTTCTTCAAAGATACGAATCTCGCTGCGTAGTTCATTGGAGTTAAAACTGCAATTAAATTATACACTCAGGTTATAATTATACGTCTTAATACTTCATAATGTTTTACTCTAGTGATGTTTTATTAGGATTAAAGGACCTTTATTGTTGCCACAATTAAAAGGTGTTCAGGCAACTGTTCCCGTAAACAGTTATCGGTTATTTTTAAGTTCGTATTTGGTAAGGCAGAAATCTAAAGCCAATGCGGCTAACAGGCGATCCCTAGCGTCACCTGAGTTTGTTAAAGTCGCGTGGTCCAAAAAAAACTCTATTACGATTTTAATGTTGCCTTATCACTAGTCTTTGTTTTGGAAACGATTCTTATAAGTGCCATAATGTAAATTATGATTTTACTAAACGCAGGGCTTTGGTCTCTGCAATACATCAAATGAAACTGCTATATCTATATTACTCAGATTCGTAGCCTGTTAGGGATGCGTCCCAACGTCCCTGAATTTATCATCAATTCCATCAGTTACATAATCTACATAATAAAGCAGCCCTATAAAATAAATTGTATTTTAAAATTTTAAAGTACCCTCAAGTTCATTCGAATCTATCGGCAATGAAAACTGTGCGTTCTGTCTCGAGAACACTCTTGGTATGTGTAGCCAGTCCCCGAGACTTACAGCTGGAACCTTCAGTTCCCGAAGTAGAGCCTGCATCTCTTGACCTTGAGGACGATCGGGACGCGTGCGCAGAGCTTCTTCAAGGACGTAACGTCTCTGAGGATATACATATTAAAAGCAATGTTACAAAAATTGCACTAATTGTAATTGCTATTGAAGCTAGGACGTGAGCGTCATATCTAATTTGAGAGGATCTAAACTCGCAATGAGTAATTATTTTATCCACAATATCACTTCCATACCACATTAAAAACAAAGATGACGCAATTAATAGAATTCTTCACTATTTAGAGTGGCGGATTTTTCAAAATGCCTTTTATGTCTATAATGAGCCACTGGGCCTGGATTTTCTCGTTCGAAACTGGTAGAGCGTATTCTGAGCTCAGTAAGGTAAGGTAGGAGAAGCATATTTCTGCCGTAAACCAATCATGCGCTCTGCCTTGAAAGGTGGAGCACCTGATGGGCAATGTAAATAAAAGTTCGAATGAACAAATGAATGACTTAGGACGAGTGAGGGTTAGACACATTGGTAATGTTCATCGGTCCGAATAAACACCAAGTGAGATGCGAGTTTGTCTACAAATTAAGTGCATTAAAAAAACCTGGATGGAATTATTTATAAGCGATCCCTTCTTTTAGTCTCGTTCTATTTGCAGGTTCGTGGTCTTAGTGGCGCAAATTACATGAGGTCTATGTTTAGCAGTCGGACAAAGCGCATCTTTAGAATATATTGGATTTTGATTTTAATTAAAAAATGGACCTAAAACAATCCTATTCCGCGACCTTAATAATCATATGACCAAAAGTAGAAGGGGGACAAACATATACATCGGTCTCTTTCACTTCGTCCCCTTCCTTTACGTCTTTTCGGTTTGAAAACTGTATTCGATGTTTTCCATCAAACACATTTTTTGGGTTGGGATTCTGTAATTTTAAAGGTGCGAAATGTAGGCTGATAATGAAATAAATAAATACAAAACATTCATTCACCTTTACATCAAATTCAATTTCGATTGCTTCTTCATCGACTTCTCTGTGCAGGTATTTCAATATATCGTCATCGAGAAATGAGTCGGTCTTCTTCGCTATACTGGTCTTGACAACCGGCGGTACAATGATATCATCATCGGCTGTCGAAGCGACGGAGCCTCGGGAACTAGGGTTCTGTGAGTCAGTTCCTATTCCGGCGATCTAATGAAATGGAAACGGAATTCAAAAAATAGTAAAAAGCACGATATAATTTTAAATAGTCGAAGTCTGTTTTCCACATCCCGATACCACCTTAGCATATGATCTCGAAGCTTGCATTGAAATGAAATAACGAAATACTCAAATTCAAATTGCAACACATAGATACTTCGCGGCAGGAATAGGTAGAATAGTGAATAGGTGAATACCTACCCGTGCAGGGTTACGATATACTCTATCATAAATAAAATCTAAAATCTAGAGCTTTAACTATTTTCTAGGCTTGCTTAGATTTAAATCTCGAGTTTTTTATATCTTCCTTCCGGTACGACTTTATTCTTTGGTAGGTACATACATCATTTTATATCTAGTCATCTCTACTAAGAAAAATCGCCTAAGCGTCAAACAGACAGACCCACAGACAAGCAGACAACAAAATGATCTTTAAAAGTTTATTTTTGCTTTTAAGATCTGAAATGAAATGTGGAATGTTGGAAAACCGTGCACATTAGGTGCACGGTTTTCCAACTACTTACTCAAATTTATATAGTAACTTATGATTGCTATTGTAAAACTGAGCTTAGCATTAGGAGCGTTGAACTGACATGAAATGAAAGCGAAATTACTGGTGGTAAAATATCTTGTGAGTCTGCATGGGTAAGTATCACCACCCTGCCTATTTCTGTCGTGAAGCAGTAATGTGTTTCGGTTTGAAGTGTGGGGAGGCCCTTGTACTGTAAAAACGGAGATCTTAGAACTCATATCTCAAGGTGGGTGGCGGAATTTACGTTTTAGATGTCTATGGGGTTCCGGTAACCATTTAACATCAGGTGGGCCGTGAGCTCGTCCAGACATCGAAGCAACAAAAAAAAACCTTTTAGTTTTAGATTGGCAAGAAGTATTATTGCAATACAATATTTACTTGTGTTTCAGGGTCTTGCTGTGTTTGAGCTGCCAATCCCGCCGAAGTCAAGCGGTCGCTGCCTCCTGGACGTCCTTTGCGACGACGTTTGCCGCGTCTTTTTTGTTCTCCACCACCTGGACATGAAATTAAAACTTCATAATTTAGTTTACTTGCAGTTACTAGTTGTTAGGTTTTTTTAAAATAGAAAATTAGACTGTAATTGACACGATATTTGCATTTTGACGACCAACTCAAATAATAAAAGCGAGCTTGAACTGTTAAAGTATTTTTTATTACATCTACTATTCACGAAAGCTGTGCAAGTCATCTCGGATCCTCCTGATCCACTAACTGTGCTTTTAGGTACCTCAAGCACCAGTCATCGTTCTCGTCGAACCCGTCGCTTGCGACGAAGGGCTCGGCAAGTAAATTGTCCCACAGACACAGCTCACTGAGTTTTTCGCCAAATCTTCTCAGTGGGTCGCGTTTCCGATCCGGGGGTAGATTCTGCGAAGCACGGCTCTTGCTAGGGTTCGTGTTAGCAATTGTCAGGTTTGAGCCCCGTGAGCTCGCCTACTAGTTAAGGTTACGCTAAATAGCCTCTCAAGGTTCTCAGCTTAGATAGGAAAAAAAAAGCTGTGGCAGTCCTAAAATCGACATAATTACGCAGTAGATTAATAAAAAAAGGAAAAAAAGATAAACAGCAGAAGAAAAATTAACATGTCTCTTTTCTCAGCTCAACGGCGGAAAAACACCATTGAAAGAATAGAAACCATTCTGTGAATTTCTGTGCTGTGCATATGTCTCCGTCAACTGACCGAACCAAGATGCAGCGACATCGGGAAGGTGAGTAATCCTGGGTCAGCCAGCCTGATTTAAATAATCCTGCAACGTACTAACCTCCATCATCTACATCGTCGCGAAGAGTTTCATTGCCAGCGTTTACTTCTCTGTCATTCTTGGAACGCTGTGACGATGGAATGTCATTTTTCTTGGTCTTCGGTGGCTTGCCTAAGTTCAAAGCTTTAAGTTGATTCTGAAAAATAAATCACAAATGGCAATGTGATGTATCGAAACGAAATAAAAAAACTCGAGTTTTCGTTACAAGAGGAAAAACATAAAGTTGCAATATCAGTAAATCTTTGATTGATTCTTTAACACATTGACTGCCATGTAGGTTTATTTATTTTGTTTTACCTTCCTTTTACCCAACTAAGGTGTCTTTAAGCGATTTTTTTTAAACGTTGACTGCCACATGCGTCACCAGTGCTCTACGTGGCTAAAGTAATTATCTCGATTTCTGTTACTAAGCGCCTGGATTGCCTTACTTTGCCTTCTTTTGTTTGTTAATCTAAGTTTTAGTTATTTAGGTCTGTTAGAAATAGACTTATTCTCGGCGTCATCGGATTCGTTTTCCCTAGGCTCTACTAGATGTTCGGGCGCCTTAGTAAGAAGATCGAAGAGAGAAATCGTCATAATTACTTCATTGCGCCGCGTAAGGCACCGGTGAAGCACATGGCAGTAACTGTTTAAAAAAAATCGCTTAAAGACACCTTAGTAGTAGTAAAAGAAAAGTAAAACAAAAAATAATGAAATAACAGTTAATTTAGTTTTTAAATCAATCCCAATAAAAGCATAAAACGAAAACCGGACTATTCTTCGGATACTTATTCCCATTACCTCGAGTTTTTTGAAAAAATCCTCAGTTTCGTATATTAAAGGTCTGTTGTCTTTGGTAGTAAATTTTTTCGTCAACTTGACACTGGGTATTTTCATGCGTTTCCTTTGGCCTGTTGTACCCCAAGCCGTCATCGAGAGTAATATATTAGAAGCGCCCCGTTTACGGCTTTTGGGAGCGTAACTAATCACTATTTTAGTCAGGTGCATTAAATTACAATCACACGTAAGGGTTGGGAGAGCCGCGGGCAGTTTCCACGGTCTTCGTTTAATACGTTTCTGTCTCAAGGTGGAGAAGTTATCACCCGTAACGAGGACGCTTTCTTTAGGCTTCTTTTCCTTTGTGTACTTCTTCGATGGTAGCAATGTAGTTTTGGATACTAGAAACGGCAACATGTTACACGTTCTAGCGGCGAATGCTAAATTATTTTCGTGTTGCGTTCGTGGTTTTTAAATCGGCACTAAGATAACACGCTGACGTCAAAGTCGAAACGAAAACAATTGGTTGCTAGTTAACATTGAATATGATTTCCGATATGAATGGTCTACTTATTTTTCAAGTGGGAAAATTACCGCGGCCCTGATTATCCCCGCCTTCTTTTGCGTCAATCGAGGACAGGTGCCTCCATATAACTCTCTCTCTCTCTCTCTTTTGTAATAAGTCCGTTTTTCACGGACACATATTTAAGTTTCACATCTGTCTCTCTCTCTCTTCTGTAATAAGTTGATTTTTCATTGACACTGTTTAAGGTTCACATCTGTCTCTCTCTCTCTCTCTCTCTTCTGTAATAAGTCCGTTTTTCACGGACACATATTTAAGGTTCGCATCTATCACTGTCTCTCTCTCTCTCTCTCTTTCTCTCTTTTGTAATAAGTTCATGGACACTTAATAATAGCTATTAGCTTTTAAGGTTCAACCCATTGGAATAGAAATTTATGATCTCGCCTATTTTCATGACTTATGTCGAGACGATAATGAGAGGAGGAGGCGTCCTAAAAAGACTTGGATGGACTGTGTCAAAGATATGCGATAGAAGGATGTGAGTGCAGAGATAACATATGAAATAGACCTGGTTAGAAAAAGAGGATATGTTGCACCGACCCCATATAGGATAACGGACCCCGGGTAAGGGCAACAAGACGAACAAGGAGAACTCGAGTGTCCTTAAAAGCGATACTTATATTTTTAGAAATATTTAAAAAAAAGAACAAGCCATTATACCACATCGATTCTAATCTAGATTTTATTCTGTATTACGCATACAACAATGACCAGATACAAACATATGCGACAAGAAAAGTATGTCCCGTGAATGGGTCATTAGCCACTAAATCCATAATTCAGCCAATAAAGTAACGGAGGCCTGATTTTTTTTTATTGCTTAGATGGGTGGACGAGTTCACAGCCCACCTGGTGTTAAGTGATTACTGGAGCCCATAGACATCCACAACGTGACTGCGCCACCCATCTTGAGATATAAGTTCTAAAGTCTCAGTATAGTTACAACGGCTGCCACACACTTCAAACCGAAACGCATTACTGCTTCACGGCAGAAATAGGCAGGGTGGTGGTACCCACCCGTGCGGACTCACAAGAGGTCCTACCACCAGTAATTACGCAAATTAAAATTTTTGCGGATTTCAATGGGGCTCAGTCGTCTCGAGGTAAGGCAGTTCACGGCGCGCTGCTCTAAAGCGCCGATAATTTAGACACTCCTCAAAAGAGTAGGACCTACCTTGTATCTTAAATGAATCTCAGCATGATCATCACGCAGTTAACAATTATAATAAATACTACCTAAATGTGGGGTAAAGCAAGTTCTCCCAATAATTACGTAAACAATAACAGCTAAAATTTTATTTGAAAATTCAATTAATGCATCGCACAAGGGCGTTTGTTTTGTTAAAGAATATTATCAAACGTTTACACAATTATTTGCAATTACACATAATCGATCTGTAAGTCTTAGTGTTAGTTCAATGCACGAAAGAAATTTGACTATAATCACTGACTGATTGTATGTTATATTTTGTTATTACCATTTTGAAGAAAACTAACTGACCCATATTAAAAAAGAAACTTTTTTTCCCTACCTAACCTGGTACCTTAAAGGGTTATGCCAGGATAACCGACCGAGTAAAAGAAACTCTATTGATCACATTAAAGCTTCTTATGAGATACACAAAAAAAAATGTTTACAAATGTTTACAAACACAAGAGACAAATTCTGATAACATTCAAGCTCGTCAATACCAAACATACTTGAACAAACCTTCCTGTGATGAACAGGTTTGTTTGTTTGCTCTTTATCCGAGTGCTTATTATCTATATATGTATATATTTCAACGTTATATAAGTGTGTATATGCATGTCAAATCAAAATTGTACAACACCTGCGTGCTACCAGTTCTAACTTATGGCTACCAAGTCTGCCAAAGCGCAAAGCAAAAAATTTGAAACATGCCAGACAGCTATGAAGAGAAGAATGTTGAATTTAAGGTCGCACTAAGATACAAAATGTTTCAACTAGAATGCGCAAACTAAAATGGCAACGGACAGCACATACAATAAGAGGCATCGAAAAATGGAACAAAAACATAGGGTTTTGGTACCCTAGAGATAGAAAAAGGGAACGGGGCAGACAGATTCGGAGGTGGGAAGACGAGATAAAGACGGTAGCAGGAAAACTATGGACAAGGAAAGCTCTAAAGCGAGTAGAGCGGAAAGAAATGGAGGAGGTCTTTGCCAGAGTTGGGCAAACAGACGAAGTTGTTGATAGACTCGGCCGAGTCGTTAATATAAGTTTATTATTTGTAAATATTAATACGCTTTTATCAGCGTCAGACGTATGTATGTTTGTAACGGAATCTTTCAATATGATTTTGATCCCTTTCAAAACGTCGGATTAACTCGTTTGGTATAGTTATTAAAGACTGATGACAAATGAATATTAAAAAAAACAATGGAAAAAAAATATAAAAATAATTGAAATTCAACTAAAAAATGAAAAATAAATAATAGTTTAAAAAAACTAACAAAATACGCTTTTATAGAAAATCCAACTAAAAAGTAGAGTTTTTTTTAATAAGTTTGAATTAAAAATGGTGTAACAAAAAAATATTTTATTGTAAAAAAAGCGTGGGGTGCATGATATCAGTAGTTATAAATATTTTATGAACAGATATGAGTAGAAGGGTTATTTTGATAATATCCTGAAAAGCACAAATTCAAATTTATTAAAAATTTATTTTCTATTTTTTAGTTGGATTTTCTATAAAAGCGTATTTTGTTAGTTTTTTTAAACTATTATCTTTTTGTGTCTGAATAAAGGCTTTTATTATTATTTATTAGGGGAAAGTGGGGGAATTGGGAACACCTAACTTCAAATGTTCAAAATTAATAGAAAAAAGTCATAAACATAATCAACTTTTATTGAAACGTAAACTTTGCTTACCTGTCTACTTATTGATAACAAAGAAAATCTCCAAAATCAACGTTTTATTAAAAAATTTAATAAACTAAAAAAACAATAGTGTTCCTTTTTACCCAATACCATATGGGGTAATTGAGATCGTCCCGCGGGGGAAATGGAAACGGCACGGGATAAACAGGATGGATACAATTAAAGCTCGATAATAACTACAAATTGTTTGATCGGCACATATCTCATATTAACCTTGACTAGTCTCCCCGGCAGTGCATTTTTCATGTGTTCAAGAGTTAATGTACATGGTGCACATGATCCAATCCTCTGTCGGTGGTGACTCTAATTTTTCGTTACACATTATGCATTACAACTCCTCTTCGTTTTCATTTTCTAAAACCTTCTTCAAATGCAAGATTTTCAATTTTGTATTTTGTTTCAGTCTTATGTACATAATTTCGAGGCATTGCGGGTAATGAAGAACGCAAGGGGTAATCAGAAATGTTCCCAATTACCCTCCTGATGCCATTCCCAATTGCCCGAAGTAGTCAATATAAAGTAAAATGGCCACTATGCTCAATAGAAATTTTGGCGAACTTCAAGTCGCGTAAGGTTTGAAAACATACAGTACGTACATGATAGTAACTAAATGGGTTGCCTTTTGAACTCAATAATTTGATAGTAACATCTATTGTAACACATGACAAAATTTACATAAAAAACGTAATGAAAATTGTTTGATTTTTCGTGACAGCATCTCTCGCTGTTGCCTACGAACTGAGGGATGCTGGAAGCATGCGTTGAAAAATATCGGGACGATCTAATATAGCGGGAAGTAGTACTTACCTAGCTATTCCCAATTACCCGCCGTTCTCAATTACCCCACTCTCCCCTATAAGTGTATAAGTGTTAACAGTCTCTGATTCCCATAGTACAGGGGATCTTAATTGGGGCCAGACAAACGTGACTGATTTGCACCCGGCTACTTTTTTATTCGTTTATTTATACTAAACAAAAAAGAACATCGGTTAATAGAGAAAAAAATGTTACATTACTGTTTTATCTTTTCCTATACATTTATTTATTATTTCCTTAACACAATAACATCGAAATATAACAAATTTTTATTCAAAGCTTTGTGGCGGGTAGCCATCATACAGCACAAGATATTTGACAGATGCCTGAATCTCACTTAGGACATTTTGAAGATAAGCTTGCATATACTCGTATACAAGTTCTGAGTGCTTAGCGCGAGTTTTTAACGTTCTCGATAGCGTTAAAGTTAACTCAAATTTTGTGGAGTTGGAACGTTTGCCTACGTTTGCCGCTAGGGGCGCTGTTTCAACTGCATTCAAATTTAAGTTAACTTTTACGCTATCGAGAACGTTAAAAAACTCGCACTAAGCACACTCAACGACCATATTCGGAACGCCGGTCTACCGAGTAATATCATCCCCTCCGTCGTTAAAGGTTCTATTACTAATTTACAAACAAAATACTAACCTTTCGGGCAGTCCTGACACTAGCAATCTCCTTGAGTGGCAAAGACCGTTTGGCTAAAACGAGTGGAGAAGCCAGCGGCGGTAATTGCTCACACTGGCCTTTCAGCAAACGATTGTGCGCACCCTCGGACAAGTTCAGTGACGGTAGCGTGGAACGATCGTTGGTGGGACTCGTGTTGGGTCCGGCAGTGGTCTCCGAGGTCCCATAACCGTGATAGTACAGTGTCTCCTACGGTTAAAGAATTTTAAGAAAGTTTATTAGCTACCTAACGAATGCTTGATTGATTTAACATAAAAAGCAGACTATTTTTCGCCACATAATTCTTCGACAGTGAGTTTCCAAAGATCATTTCAGCCACGTACCACCCGGCTTTGGAATGAACTTCCCTCCACGGTTCCTCCTTTGTAGGCAGACGAGCATACGGCCCACCTGATGATAAGTGGTCACCGTGGCTCATGGACATCGTTAATGCCAGGGGCAGAGCCAAGCCGCTGCCTACCTTTAACCTACGGAACTACTACTACCTACGGTAACGTAAATCTCGAAAGCTGTTTTTTTTTTTAATGCTTAGATGGGTGGATGAGCTCACAGCCCACCTGATGTTAAGTGGTTACTGGAGCCCATGGACATCTACGACGTAAATGTGCCACCCACCTTGAGATATAAGTTGTAAGATCTCAGTATAGTTACAACGGCTGCCCCACCCTTCAAACCGAAACGCATTACTGCTTCACGGCAGAAATAAGCAGGGCGGACTCACAAGAGGTCCTACCACCAGTAGCTGGCTATCGAGTACTTCCATCTAATGTAATGATCCGTCTTCGTATCGAGGACTCGATACATTTACATTACAAATTCGATAGATTTTCGTGTTTGACGTACCTACAGTACTAACATTAATCGCGCTGTTGTATAGCTAAGTCTATTCTTTACAGGGCTACTAAATATTTTAATACGTCATAGCTTTTCCACAGCAAATTTGGACGCGTTTCAAATCTGGCCTTTTTAAACTTTATGTGCTAGGTTTAAGCGACTTTGTCTCCAGGTACTCGGCGACACGGAGGTCGTGTGAGGTCAAGTGCTATTTCGGTAAACGTTTATTTTAATAGACCAGAAGATTATCAGCCCATCAATTTAAAAAAATCATTAACCTGGCTATGACTTCTCCTCAAATCCAAAACGATGGCGGTCCTCTGATGAGGCTGGTCAGGTGTCAGACATCGGCGAGAACCTCTGGACTTTCCACTGGCGAGGGTCGGAGCCGGTGTCAATGGCCTCGAGTCCGTCTCAGCATATCTATAATTTACAGTGATATTAACACTTTGATATAACTTAAATTCAGGATGGGGCAATTAGCCCATCAAGCCCCAAAGAAATACCTACAGTACCTAAAAATCTGATCTGTCACATAACACCTTAGAGATCAACCATACATAGGAGTAAAGAAAATAATATTTCAAAATTGTAACAAAAAAAAGAAAACCAACTTCATACAAAAAAAGCAAGAGGTTTCAAATAAGGTATTATCAAAATCGATTCATGTAGAAAAAAGTTTTGAACTAAATCAAAGTTTTTAGTCGTCGTGGCCTAAAGGATAAGACGTCCGGTGCATTCGTATGTAGCGATGCACCGGTGTTCGAATCTCGCTGGCGGGTACCAATTTTTCTAATGAAATACGTACTCAACAAATGTTCACGATTGACTTCCACGGTGATGGAATAACATCCTGCAATAAAAATGGAAACCCGCAAAATTATAATTTGCGTAATTACTGGTGGTAGGACCTCTTGTGAGTCCGCACGGGTGGGTACCACCGCCCCGCCTATTTCTGCCGTGTAGCAGTAATGCGTTTCGGTTTGAAGGGTGGAGCAGCCGTTGTAACTATACTGAGACCCTAGAACTTATATCTCAGGGTGTGTGGCGCATTTACGTTGTAGATGTCTATGGGCTCCAGTAACCACTTAACACCAGGTGNGCGTAATTACTGGTAGGACCTCTTGTGAGTCCGCACGGGTGGGTACCACCGCCCCGCCTATTTCTGCCGTGTAGCAGTAATGCGTTTCGGTTTGAAGGGTGGAGCAGCCGTTGTAACTATACTGAGACCCTAGAACTTATATCTCAGGGTGTGTGGCGCATTTACGTTGTAGATGTCTATGGGCTCCAGTAACCACTTAACACCAGGTGGGCTGTGAGCTCGTCCACACATCTAAGCAATAAATAAAAAAAATTAAAAAAAAACTACCTACCACATATAAAATACAATAGAATTGTATTCCTTCTCCTTTTTTGGAAGCTCGCTCATCCAGCTTTACAACCTCTCTGACGGTAGAATTCAGTTCTAATGTCCATGGTTAACAGCTCTGTCCTGTCCCCCTCTCTATCTTATCTCTCGTATTTAGAGTAAAGTATGTAGTAACGTAGGAAGATGTTGCAAATTATGAATTCAGAAGATGAGATACCTTCGGAACATGTCCTCAGTAACGATATCGTGTGGCGTTCTAATCTTCTCAGTGCCGTTCTGTTCTTGGAACTTCGAAAGATCCTCTTGAAAACAATGAGATTTACCCTCGAGTAACTGTAATAAACAAGACATTTTATTTTTCAGAGAATTAAATTAAGCTTAAGCTAAACACATATCGATTTACGCAGCAAAGGAACTTCTGAATCGCGTTGGCTTAATTGGAGATTAGAGCAATAAAGCCTTGTTTACAATAACACATTAGATTATACCACCGCTGCGCTATCCCATTTTAGCTGGTTTTCATGACAACTGCGACATCAGCTTGAGGTCTTAGGGCGGGTGGCAGAACTCACCTTTGTCGTCTATAATCTAAAGTTCAAAAGCAGGTGGATCATGAATTTGTTAACCGATCTATCTAAAAAGGTCTGGTCTGTTGGTGCGACCAAAATAAAAATACATTGATGAATAGCGTTAGTTGTTATGTGCGATTTAGGTACGTTAAACCATTGTTATTTATGCGTATCATCTTAATAGCTTCAAATTTCGTGAGCCCCTAATGTAATGAGCATTAACTTACAGACGCACCCCTTGCTTTTGAGACTAGATTTCGCGCGTTGATTTATGCGCTTTGTTGCGTGCATATTGTCGGAGAGGTTACAGTTTAGAGAAGCTGCCCCCACCGACCCCACCCCCTAAATATAGAATATGGGATCTGGTTTTTGAACAAGAAGATTGTTATTATATAAATCGCTTTACAATTAGCCGCTGCTTATAAAATGTAAGTCAACTTTTTTCTAGTTGTATGCAAATTAGGATCTCGAACGGAAAGCACCATCCTACAAATGACTGCCGTGAAGCAATTAGGCTTTATTGAGTTTCGTATTGGGTGAGAGGATGCATGCTGTGATACTAAAGACTCCGATAAACACTCAACACGTGCTCGTATGCCCATCTGCAACTATAAAAAAAAACCATAGACGAAACAATTGAATGATATTTTTATACAGGTTTATGAGTGATAAAAATATAATTTTCATTTTATATGATATCATTCACATATAATTTATTCATTATTTAATATTCTCACATTTCCTTCCTCGTAGATTAATGAATACGAATAATCAAATAACTGGACTTTATAGACATTAAATTTAAATTATTTAAATTCATTATCATANAAACCATAGACGAAACAATTGAATGATATTTTTATACAGGTTTATGAGTGATAAAAATATAATTTTCATTTTATATGATATCATTCACATATAATTTATTCATTATTTAATATTCTCACATTTCCTTCCTCGTAGATTAATGAATACGAATAATCAAATAACTGGACTTTATAGACATTAAATTTAAATTATTTAAATTCATTATCATAATCAGGCATTTGCGATTAGGTGGTTAGAGTGATTTTTTTTTATTGCTTAGACGTGTGGACGAGCTCACAGCCCACCTGGTGTTAAGTGGTTACTGGAGCCTATAGATATCTACGACGTAAATGCGTCACCCACCTTGAAATATAAGTTCTAAGGTCTCAACTATAGTTACAACGGCTGCCCCACCCTTCAAACCAAAACGCGTTACTGCTTCACGGCAGAAATAGGCAGGGCTGTGGTACCTACCCGCGCTGACTCACAAGAGGTCCTACCACCAGTAATTACGCAAATTATAATTTTGCGGGTTTGATTTTTATTACACGATGTTATTCCTTCACCGTGGAAGTCAATCGTGAACATTTGTCGAGTACGTATTTCGTTAGAAAAATTGGTACCCGCCTGCGGGATTCGAACACCGGTGCATCGCTCGATACGAATGCACCGGACGTCTTATCCTTTAGGCCACGACGACTTCGAGTATGATTCAAATATATTTATTAAGAGACAATCCTCATGCCCATCATTTATGTAAATATTATTATTAAAGCAGTCAGACAATTAACTTGTAATATAATTCATGACTTAAAACTAGTTTTATGACTATAATAAACTACTGTTTACATTCGCTCTGTGAGAAAACGCGTGGCGACCGCACATTTTCTAAAGGTGGCAGACTTTGTCACGGATTGAGCGGAGTTACAATTCCTATAATTTGAAGGCAGAACCAGGACGATCTCTGAAAGGGTACTGGATAAAGGAATTTATCTATTTTATGTAAAGCGACGATTATGTGACATTGTAGTAATAAAAGGAAGTTTAACTATCTATTGGCACCAGAATTTTCGGTCTCAGCAATGTTTTGGAACGAAGTTCCTTAGGGGACGATGCGGAGGGCTACCCTAACCGATTTTTATTATTTATGTATAGTCTTAGTATGACCTGTACGATACTGTATAGCCACAGTGTCTAATGTAGGTATAGTCTACGTGAAGACTGTTATTATTAGGTATTATTCATATAAATAGCTGTTTCTTTGTATATTATTATTATACATTTTTTTTAAATCATTGTGAGTAAAATAAAGTTGATAACTTTGTAAAGTAGTTTTTTTATTTTTATCAATAAAAATATGATAATAAAAAATGTATACCCGAATAATTATTTTCTTTATAGCTCGAATAGAACTTAAAATTAATATTTTTATAATAAGGAACTTCGTTCCTATGCGGTGTCCCACGACACCACACATCTTTTTTTTACTTACCCAATTATCCTTCATTCTTTTGACATGCTCCTTTGCTTCGGTGTCAGCCGGATGATTGCACAGAACCGAACATCGATGCGAAAACGGATTGTAAATGCCGGCATAAGGACGAAGCATAAACGGCGCGGGTGTCACGTCGCATCTGAGCTCAACCTTTATCTAAAAAAGATATTTCAACTGAAAAATATTATTCACAAAAAAAAAAACAATATTGACAAAGATTGCGTCTTTAAAACGTCACCATCTCTTTTTTTCTGTGGATGGGAAGATAAGCTCTTGATCTGAATGAGTGGCTGTCACATAAACATAATTTTGAAGTTTAACGGTAGGTAGTGGTTTCTTTTTTTAATTAGCAAACTGCCAAATTAGTTGTATCTTCCACCCTTTTAAAATATCAAACCTGTCTCTGTGGAAATTCTTAGTGCTATAACAGTTTACCCTGAAATAGTCTAATATCTAGTGGACGAAGCCCCACACGCTGCACTGATCAAGTGAAAAGCCCCACTTAATGAGTGCGCCAAGTCTTAGTTCGCGAATTATGGAGAACAGCTATCAAGGCTACACCTAATAAATAAGGATTCCACATGACCACGATTGCTTAGCCAAGAGTAATGACTATGATGATGATGAGTCTAATATCTCGATTCAACTTTCTTACGATCATAGATTTATTATTAGAATTCCAATTAAGCGTTCTTTGGGCTTAATAAAAATCAAAATTAAGTAGCTTTTATGTCTATCACAAAGGCAACAACGAATTCAATATCTAAGAAAATTTCATTATCTTGTTAAGTCTTTAAAACTTGAATTCCTGTTGGAAGTAAATGAAATGAATGTGCAAACCTTTTCCTGTGAGAAAATATGCTTTTGCGAAACGCTGGCCAGTAATCCTGTATTACTTGTGAGTCCCATATTATATATAACAAATATTTAAGAGACTGCGAACAATGCGAATAGACTAGATTGAAAATCAAAGACGATATTATCGACCAATCTATCGCTAAGTAACCGCTTAACAAATCTTAAAAACCATATTAAAAAAATCTTGTAAAATTCTTCAAGATAATTCTTCACGCCAAAAATGACAAAGCTTGTTATGACTTTCTTGTTTTTTGACAAGATTTATTTTTCAGATTTGACTGCAGATATTAAGGTATATTTGATGCAACTCTTTAAGCACTCAAATCTTTCTAAATTGAAAGGAGCACTGGGGTCGGGTGGATCTCTGTCATCGATTTAGTTCGGTCATTTAAGGAAGTACTAACCTGGAGATTTGTAATACTGGTCTTTGACCAGACCAGACCAGGTACAGACTTCCAGTTCTTTTAAAAGCTTATTCTAAACTGACACAATTTTGTAAATTTTATCGATGGCTTATGTTGTACATTAAACATTTAAGCGAGAAATAAATAAATATTACTTTCACATTATATTATTCATGTTCTTCTTGCCCTTATCCCCAATTATGCGGAGTTAGCGCAGCAAGTTCTCTTGACATGCTAAATAGAGATTTGGCATGAGTTTTACGACCGGCTTGCCTCACGTCAACACTTCTTAGATTATATCTCTAGTAGTACCTATACCAAATCATTGCAGCATGCCATCGGGAGGGAATTTCTATTTTTTATGGGGAGGGACTTTTTCTTGTTTTCTTCTTTCTCTTTTGATGTTTCTTTAACTGCAACCGTTTCTCGACCTATGCTTTGCTTTTTATTATTTTAAACATTTACATTTAGTTTTCGAAATACCAAAAAGAGAAAAATATCACATTACATCAGTTTTTCATAATAATGTCAAATGTACTTCGACTGAAGCTCCCGAAAAATCAAGTTTGCGGCTTCATTGCGAAGATGATCTATATTGGAATCATGTTTTTTTTACTTATTCTAGTAACCTCGATGGGTTATTCTAGATTCATCGAACTAGTAGGTGAGTTCGCGGGGCTCAAACCGGAAGTGTTGCTCTGGCCCTAACAAGAGTAGTGTTTCGCAGAGGATCAGAGTGAGAAGATCCGGGAGAAACTCAGTGGGCTGTGTCTATGGGTTAATTTACTCGAGCCTTTCGTCGCAAGCGACGGGCTCTGTGAAGACGGTGACCGGTGCTTGAGGTACCTAAAAGCACCGTTAATGGATCCGGAGGATCCGAAATGACGGGGGGAACATGAAGTTAATCTTAGAAGCCTTATTGAACAAGGGCAGTTTACTTTACGGTAATCAGCGGGCTGCATCGGTAATAGCGGTATCACGCGAAGCTGTCAGATAGCAATTCGGCATTAGAAATCATATTTTGTAAAAAAAAATGGTTTAACTCATTCTAGACGAGCGAGGCAACCATTCACTATCAATTGTAGTATCTAGGCACTGTATATTAATGGTACACACTTTTCAAGTGTATAAATACCTTTATTTTTGTATTTAAAATTCAAGGTTTGTTCAAGTCTGTAGATATTTCTATTGTTTAATCCGATGTATTATTTTTAAAGCGTGAAAAAAGGTCGAGGTAGTTCATGTTATGAACATAAAAAAGTAAATTAAATACATGTTTTTTCTTCCACATATATTATTGAAAAAAATTTACACAAAAGCACTAAGACATCGATTCCTTATCGTCTAATAAATCAAATATTTAATCGACACAACTTCTTATTATTTTATCATATAATTTGTCTCTAAAAATAATACTCATTTTCTCTTTCCTCATTTTTCTTTTTAAACATCAGAATTTGTATGTATGGCATTACGGCATAACACCTACGAAGCGACATTGTAAAACTTTAATTCTAGAATAATCTATAACATCTTTTCAACTCTAATTGTCTATTTGTTAAGTAATAAAATTATGTTACATTATAGTGCATTTTAATCATTGAACGTGTTTATATTTTGGGCGTAACAACACAATCTTATAAGAATAGTTTAATTGTAACATTAAGAGGTTTTATATCAACTGACTTTGACATTACAAAAACGCTTGAATGATAATGTTCAAATCTCAAAATCATTTACCGTTATTACAGTATCTAAAAAAAAAAAAATTATCACTTTATTGACTTTAAAATGTATTATCCCTCCATGCTCTTGTACATTTAACAAAGTTGAAAGAACGTTTCAGCTATAGAAAGTAATTTATTTATTTATTAATATGATGTATGTATTCCATCAATATTTCTGTTTCTTATAAGTAATAAGGCTGTTGTTTACATTAGTTTTTAACAATATTTAGAACTCTTAATTAGGTATATATAATATTACTTTTATTAATGTCGATTATTTGTCAGAATTGAAAAAAAAAAAAAACAGATTTATTACAAAAACAATGGATAGCATTTATTGTTATATTGTACAAGAACATTAAAATCCGATTCTATTGATTAACAAATCTACCGCACATTTTATATCTCATTATTACTGAGACAATATAAAAAAAGTGAGAGATGTATTATTCAATTTCACTAACATTATCTTAGCAAACTATTTATTTATAGTTAGTTACCATTCTCTTTTCGTATTTAAACTATTAAAGAATTGTCATATGAAATTCCCTCAATAAAGCTAATATATCTGTTCAAAGCTTTCGAAAGGTACTTGCAGAATACAACCACGAACCTATACTTACTGTACAATTTGAACACTTTATTGCTTATTTATTGAAGACTGTACAATGAAAATTGAAATGTTGAAATTTTAACATCTGGCATTCTGCTGCGACGCCATGACCGTACGTTTGACACGTTGTAAAACTAATTTGTGCCTGCAGTTACACGTGTTAATAGAATACAGACCTTAAGAACAGTAACGTAGAGTTAGCTGTGCGAGAGCATCGTGAAAGCGATAAAAGTAATGTTGAACGTAAATAAACAATGTATGCGTTGTAATTCCGATCGCTTCAGTCGTAGAGTCCTCATTGGCGGACGTTTATTTTAGCTCATTACATAAAACTGGAATTATTTCCTCAAGGAGCAATAACAGCGGTAACCTATAGTCGGCTAATATAAACTCCAAACGAAATCACATTATAAACTAAATTGTTCGTCGCACCGCTATCTCTACGCAAACGTTCAACAAAAGTCGATCGGTACATTCTAAGTAACAAGCCGATCGATTTGTGATGTTGCAATTTTATTTACTCACAAATAACTTGTAATCGATATGTCAATATGTACGACTACAATTATTTTTTTATAAAGAAAACCTGTTTGGATTTTTATTTAATGTAATTACATACATACACCTTTTTTTTTACAAATTAATAATCGTTTTGTGTTTCGCGTTACACGGGCCAAGTCACTACGTCAAAAAGGCAATCGGTTAGAAAGGCAAGTCACAGTCCAAACTACCTTAAAACTAAAATCTCTTATTTAAACATACGCTAATATGTCATGAAAATAATATAGAAAGTAGCATAATGTGGTCCGAACACTAGAACCCTCACCAGCACCCTTATTAGGTAATCGATGAAGCACAAGTTCAAGTCGTGGACTGAAGGCCTTCTGTTTTTGTGATTCTCTATACATTAAGGTCACCTTCGTCAAAATAACGACAAGAAGTTGCTAACATCAAAGACAATATACATAATAAATTGAATAATTTAATACAAAGTATTGTTGACCTAAATTCCAACTCATAAACTCGTTTAAAATAATGTTTAATTATGACTAGTAGGTAAGAAACAATATTTGAGCATGGAAAATAAGCATATTATACGACCATGCAACACNATACATTAAGGTCACCTTCGTCAAAATAACGACAAGAAGTTGCTAACATCAAAGACAATATACATAATAAATTGAATAATTTAATACAAAGTATTGTTGACCTAAATTCCAACTCATAAACTCGTTTAAAATAATGTTTAATTATGACTAGTAGGTAAGAAACAATATTTGAGCATGGAAAATAAGCATATTATACGACCATGCAACACAGAAGATAATAAGTGAATAAGTTAAGACCGTGTCAAATACATTATTATATTAATATAAATAATTACAACTGCACTACACATCACTCATTGTGAGTTTTTGTAGAGGACACACCAGGTCTAAGGGCGAGAGGCCCGCGCCGCCTCCTCCAGAGCGCGTACCTTGAGCTCGCGCTCGCGCTGCTGCCGCAGGAAGTCTTCGTGGTGCGCGGGGTGAAGGAAGCCCCGCTCCCGGTCTAGTAACAGTTGACGCTGCAACTGCTCGTGTGCCGCCGCCTGCTGCGCTAACTGCTCAGCATACGGCCTGCCTAACAGGTCGGGGTGAGGTAGCGGCCGATACGGTCCAAGGCCGAGCGCTTCCTGCTGTGCCGCCGCCGCTTGTTGTCCCGGATGTAAATGCAAGTGCGTGTGAGAGTGTGCATGAGTGTGCGCGTGCGTGTGCGCGTGATACTCTGGATTTATCCCGGCCATCTGCAATCGCACCATCGGGTCAGCGGCTAGAGCGAGACGTTCGGCTGCTTCGAGTTGAGCCGCGGCGACGGGGTGCGGGTGATGGCCGTGGTGTGGACCGCCACCGGGTCCTGTGGGACCGGGACCCGACGGAGGGATGCCGAGGCGCTCGAGTCGCTCGCGTTCTAGTTGAGAGAGCGCCCCGGGTGCGTGTCCGCCAGGATATAGGCCGAACTGCACTGGGATTGCACCCTGGGGCGGTGGTGGCGGCATTCCGTACCGCCGGTGCATCTCGAGCCAGTGAGGATCGAGTGCTCGAGGTCCTACGTTGTTCTTGAGTAGTTCTTCCTTCAACCGATCATTGAGCTCGCGTTCGCGTAATTCTCGAATTTCCCTATCACGTTTCTCTCTTTCGAGGTGTTCGAGTTCTAATCTTTCACGGGCCCCGGGTGCGCCGTACATTGAGCTCAGTTGATACTGCAACATCTGGTCCATACAGTGACGAGGCAGATTGCCCGGGCTAAAGCCGGCGTGAGGTCGGGCATACTCAGATAACTGACGCAACGCAGGCGTGTCGGGGTAGCCTGGAGGTCTAGGGAAACGGTCGTATGGCGATGATATCGTCTCTATGGCACCGCGTGACGGTGGTTTCGTGTCCGGCTTCTCCGGCGTCGCTATTTTTCTATGTGCTTGCTGCGCTATCTTCTCCCTTTCTTCTCTATCACGTTCCGCTTGTTTCCTCAATCTTTCCTCTCGTTTTCGAGCAAGTTTTGATTCAGGTACCGGTTTGAATGTAAGATCAGTTCGCGCACAAGAATTATAGTCACCGCGATTCCAATGTCTGAGGAATATAGCAGACTGTGATCTGTGACATTCGGTATCTTCTATTTTTGGCTCTGGGCTAGGTCCGTGTGGAATGTGAGCCGGACTTGGAATTTCTTCTTCTTCCGGTTGTGATTGTGTCTCAAGTTTGAGTTCAGGGTTTTCATCGGGAATCTGACGCGGCGGACCTCTTAGATGAGGATGACCGTGTGGCATTTGATGAGGTGATCCAGATCTCTGGTGAGTCGGAGGCAGTCCTGCTGCAGCTTGGGCATGTAATCGTAAACTTTCTATCGAACTGGGACCTGGCCCTGGTGGAAGCCCCAAGCCCATTGGATGTCCCATTGATGGTGGTGGAATCATGAGATGGCTTGGATTTCCGGGTAGCATTTTAGGATGATGTCGGAGCAGCATAGAGTCCGCAGGAGATAGCCTTTCCGGATGATGCGCAAGATGGTGGGAGTGGTGGTGCGTATGGTTGTTGGTGACATTCACGCTTGATGATGAACTAGTGGTCTGAGAAACACTTGCTGATAAATGGTGAGGTGAGCTTGAATGTCCCGCAGATTTTTGTTGAGTGTTAATTTTATGTTGTATTGACTGCGAGGAGCTACTCGAAGTCGAATGTGATATTGATAACGTATGATTAGTGCCTCCTCCTGCGTGACTTGGTTGCTTCTCTGTACTTGTATGAACTGCACTGTGGTGGCTTGTAGAATGATGATGGGTCATTGTCGTTTCGTGCAGCTGCCTTTCAGTAGTGGCATTCGGGTTTCTCGGGTCTTCACTACTTTCCGATATCTCCCGGAGAGATCTTGTGGTTACTGAAGAACTGGTACTGTGATGAGAACTAAGCATTGTTGTTGATTCTATTGTTGAAGGTTTTACTGGATCGTGACGCCCAGCCGTGCTGACTGCAGGGTGCATAGGAGGGATCGGGTGGGGTTGTGGCAGAGGTCCGTAGGGATAAGGATAAGGCATTGAATATCCAGGGTGTGGATGTGGATAGTAAGGATGCATAGCGTGTGCCGCTGCTGCTGCAGATAGTTGAAATATTGAGGGATGATGAAGCAAAGGGTGAGGGGGGTGATGCAGAGGTGACGCAAACGGATGTGGAGGTGGGTGACCAGGTTGTCCAGAGTGCATAACAGGTCCCGGTATCGTTGCTGCTATCGAAATAGGCGTAGGATTCATCAAGTTTAAGGCAGAATGAGAAACTGGAGTATGAGGTTGAACTGGAGAAGCAGATATTTGCCTTGGTTGTGATGGACTTGTCAGATGTCTCGAAAATGGTGAAGTTGTGGATCGATGAGAGCCATGAGGTGTACCATTATGACTTGGTTGACTCTTGATAGGTGTAGGTGTATGTGGACTTTTTACTGGAGTTATAGTGTTTATAGAATCAGGTGGTCCATGGGAGGTAGATACTGGAGTAATGTGGGGTTGATGTAAAAATTCCGGTTCCTTTTTTATACTTTCAATTCGAGGACCGAGGAATCCACTGGGCATATTTGTACTTTCATTTGTCGGTTGACTTGGTGGTCGACTACTGTTTTCAACACTAGAAACAGATTCTCGATCTCGTTCCGTATTCAAATGTTGAGCAATTGCACTTCCTATAGGATAGCCTGGAACTTTGACTTCTTTCAGAGATTGCAACGGATCTGAAGGGTGTGTTGATAAATTGGCAGGTATATTGTCAGGTACTTCTTGTTTAATTTTCAAATCTTGTGGCATAGATGGATCATTTTGATTAGATTGTTGTTGTATAGAATTACTGCTAGGATGACCATGTGAAGGCGGAATTTGTTGCATAAGAGGTGGCATTGAACCTGGTTTTTCTAATGAAGGATGCCCTGGATGACCATAGAGAGACGTTGCCATAAATCCATACGGACCAACATTTGCACCACTACCTACAGTTATCAAAGGACCTGGGTGCAATAATCCTGATATGGAAGCTTGACTTAAAGGTGGAGGAGGCATGTTCTGTCCGGCAACAGACACAATGGTAGCTTCAGTTGTTCTGAGTCCCAAATTGTCAGGTCTTATTGGATGAGCAAAAGCTGGTGGCCTCAAGCTGTCTCTTTGATTTTCAGGTTTTGATATATGTTGAGTTTTCAAGTCTGTTGGTTGCTTATCATCGGTATCTGATTCTTTTTCTTGTGAGTTTGCAGGTGATATGGGTTCAGTATTTCCTATGGCAGTAGGATGTTCCATGGGTGGTGGTGATGCACCATGTACATTTGATGGTGAAGGACTAATCCTTTGTAAGGAATCCAATCTTGGTGTGTTTGGAGAATCAACCTTATTTCCTGCTGATATTGTAGCAGTGAAAATTTCAGGGGCGTTTTGACTCTTTAATTCACTTGTTTCATCTCTTGGTTCCAATTTTATGACAGTTTTCAATGGATTGATGCCATGAGGATTGTGTTTTCCAGGATCACTGCCAAAACTAAGATTTGATGAATAGGGAAAGGGAGGAATACTTGCAGAATACTCTTTTGAATTCCTGATTATTGTACTTTCTTTTGTTATATTCATTGGGTTGAAAATATTTGGGACACCTTCAATTTTAATACCATGCCCAAGTTTAGGATTGTATATGTGACTATCTTTCACAAAAAAGTTAGTATTTTCTAGATTTAGAGGTTTATTGGCTTGAGTCATAGGATGTCCTGGGTAACTGTGAGATAACGGGTCTTTCTGATACTCATCCTTGTGTAGATTAAGAGTTTGATCTTCAGGGTCTATTTCTTCCTTGATTTTTATCTTTTCCATGGCTTCAACTGTCATTGGTGTCACTTTAGGAATTATTAATTCTGTTTTGGGGAATACTGAATTCTGCATTGATAGTGGTCTCATGTCCACATTTTCAGGATTTTTAGTCACATTGGTATCCGTTTTTAAGTCCAAAACATTCTTTTGATCTTTATCAGTAGCCAGTTTGAATGTAGGAGCTATAAGGTCTTTTTCAGTTTTAATGAGTGGTTCATTGTTTGCTTCTACTTTAACTTGAACTTCAAGATGTTCATTTGGTTTTGACTGTTGTTGCTCAGATTCAGGTTCTTTATTTTGTTCTACACTTTCTTTATCTGTTTTGTTGAAACTGAAGTTACAGGCTTCCGGTTCTTGTTCTTGAGTTTCAGTCTCATCCATGGCTGGGAAACTATCATTAGTTAGGCTCTCCGAAGGACTTTCTGGAGGGTCGGCTCTCTTCTTTTTCATTTGTACATCTCCATCCATAATTCCATCCGGTTTCGTATCATCTGGCAGTCGTTTCTTCACTTTAGATGCATCAACTTTTCCATTTGTCACCTTTTTCTTAACTTCTTTACTTACAGGTGAAGAAATTACTTTATCGGGAATATTGTTATTATTGCTTTGAACAATAGCTTTTGGTTTAGGTTTTGCTTTTTGTTCAATATCACTTTCCTCCGGAGCTTTCTTACCGTTCGGTGTAGTTTGTTCTTTAGATTTATTTCTTGTTCTCATTCTGCTCGGTGAGTCATCAGGGTTTTCTACAATTCTACCATTTTCACTCTTGGCTAAATCACCGGCATCTCGTGAATCACTATCATCTTCAGAAATTTCATCTTCAGTGACTGAACTCATTTCTCCGGCTTCCTTTGGATTTGGTGACGGTCTAGAACCATTTGTCTCTGGCAAAGCAGGTACAACTTCAGGCGTTTGTTCCTTGGGAGTACCTGCGCGTGAATTCCTTGTATTACGGACTCTCCTTAATGATGCTTGTCTTCTTCTTCTGTGAGGTCTATTACTACTAGCACCCGGAGTCTTTTTCCAGAGATAATAAAATTCAACAAGTTCTGCAGTGTCTTTATGAGGCAGTAGGTCTTTTCTAATTTTGAAAAAATTCTTGCCAAATTGCCGTATCCCTTTAACAAAACGTTTTGTTTCGTCTTCTGACCACTTTTTCTCAATACCTTTGGGTACCGGACATTTCACGAGAGCTTGTAACGCTCGACCAGGATCGTAGCCAGAGTCGTGCAGCACGTCAAGAGCATTGATAGTCGTATCGTCTCGACTGGCGGCAACGCAGCCGTCATCAGGAGAGCCACCATCACACATTCCCGCAAACGCTGCCATTGAACGTGCGGCACGTAAGTACATTACAAGGTCCCTGTCCGTAGCCTGTGCAGGCAGCCATCGTAGATCTTCACCACCTGGACAAGGATCGTCGGGTCCCAGCGGCCCATCAATTCGCATCTCCGGCAAGCAAGCATATATATCCTTATCTTTGACGGGTTGACTCGGAGTACCTACTGGAACTTCTCCTTGATTTTGAGCCATCGTTCACTAAGTAGTATATTTACACTGGACACTATCACGCAAGCACATGTAACAACACAACAATCCGTTTACATTTTTATTTTCATAAAACTTTAACCGGAATTCCTCAAAATCCTTTATTATGAGCACATTTTATGGTTCGTAAACCAGTAAGTATGCCAATATACATAATTATTGCTTCTAATGGCCACCATCACACGATGCATTGTGCTTCATTTCACGATACTAATTGATACAACCGTATTACAACTGTTTAGTTCATTTATCTGTACAACAATTTCAACTATTCTTAGTTAGTAAATAAGATTAATTTACTAATATTTTAGTAAATGCTATCTACATGCTACCCTTTTGTTTAGCTTCGCCTTTCTTTGACTCACACCATAGACAAATCTCGGTCTATAAAATGGCAGCCACGACAGAGATTTTGCAAAACATTGAGAAGCAAGTGTTGTAAATTCGTCGAAAAATAAGAAAGTAATGAAGATTTAATAGTATGGGCTACATTCTTTTTGCGTGTAATGGTATACAAATGAAAATAATAAAAATAGACTAGTTCTTTTTGTTACCTATGCCTTTTTAATAAAATTAACCTGCATTTATTTTTAAGAGTGAAAGTGCTGTAAGTGTGAAACAGTACAAGTGTTCAATACAATGAAAATTAAATAAATAGAGAGCTTTTATAGGCTTCCAAGATATTTTCAAAAAGTTCATCAGTGTCGTCGAAAAATCTCATCCCTTGACAGAAAGAATACTTCATTTCAGTTAGTATGATTTGATTGAATTTTAATAATTAATTCATTTTAGATTAATCACTTTTGTTGCACTTATTAAATTTTATTTTTTAGATTACAATAATAACTTGAAAAAGACTTGGAAGCTACATTCTAGAGAATTGCGGACTGCCAACCTTTTGCCTATTCATATGGACAAGTCAAACAAAAAACCTTCTTTAGTCCGGCTGTCAAAATTGAAAGTCTTATAAACCTAGGTCTGTGATTTATTGTCTATGCTTGAAAGTGTCATGCGATGTTTCCAAAAAAAGCGAAAAAACTTCTGAAAAATATTTTTGCTAAATAAGCTCACTCCTTAGTACATTTGATAAACAAATTTGTTATTTATATATATTCATTTGTTCGTTTTATCGTCGGAGTAAGATATAACATCAGACTCGGATCTGGTAGTAAGTTTTAAGAAAATACAATTAAAAAAATATATTTTAAATAAAATTCGGAAAAAACTTAACAGAGTCGTGGCTAAGTTTTTCAGTGTATCAAAGTAATATGAGAATAATATGCTCACTGCTAAAGCCTAACAGGAAATAAATATTTATCTACTGAGCCAAGATGAGTTCCGATTCTGAAGACGAACCACTTTCGGTACTAGCAGCAAAAAGGAGAGCTCACCCTGAGACCAAAGAATTGATACTGCCGGAAGCGATTGTCATAGAAACGAGAAAGAGAAAGAAGAAAAAATATGTCAACACTAAAGGCCTAAGTATTAGCATTCAGCCAGCAAAACCGATTATCATTGAGAGACCTGTAGATGTTTGGCTGTATTTAAAAGATCTCAGTCCGGCAGGCCCTTATAGCTGCTTATTATGTTCCTTTTGGTTCACAAATCGCTCCAGACTTGTTGTTCATTACATTTTGAACCATAAAAAGGATTTCTGTGGAATATGCAGGCAAGTTGAATATTAATTAACTTTAATTTGGATTATCAGCTTACTTTTCCAGTGTAATGATTAGCCATTACTGTGCTAACAAATTAGAGCTTGATTCTTGTATCTGAATAATTATGTGGGCAGTAACATTCCTGTGAAAAATAATAATAATAATAAAAATTTAGTCAAGCTGCCTTTTTTGGATAGTAGGAATAGCGGAACTTCTTTCTTCCATTCCCACTCCTTTATTTCTGTAGCACTAGATATAAATGCTGAATTTAGAATAGTAATACTATATTTATTTATATTTTATGTATTTAGTTTTTGTTAAAAATGTTTCTGTAGCATTTTTTAGACTAAAGAACAAAAATATTGTTTCTGTTACAGATATTTTGTCCCGAACCGAGAATCATGGACTTCTCACCTGCAGTTTCATACTCCATGGCCATGTTCACAATGTATACAAAACTTTGCAACTGAAAAATTACTAAGGGATCACATGAGCACTGCACATAATTTGGTGCACTGCCGATTATGCCATTTCCGTGTTGCTGATGATGACCTTTATAATTCACATTTATTTCAAAAGCATAATATTACAAATACATCAACAAAATCGAGCGACATTCTCTGGGATATTCAGTACAAAGGTGCTCCAAAGTTTGCTTGTCGTTTATGCTCCAAACCCAACGTGTTAAGTCGTACCTTCTTTAATCATTATATGGGGTACCACCATTTCACGCTTAAATGCTTCACTCAAATCATATCTGGTACTGATCCCCCATTTGATGTAAACGGCGCGGACTTAAGTAGCGAGTTTGTGAGTAATGAGTTGAGTACTAAAACTGCAGTAGGCTATGTAGATCTTGATAAAGAAACTCATTTAAAAATAGCGATACAAGAGAAGCCCCAGATTTCAATGGATGTGAAAGATGAAGTGGTGAGCGATGAAGATACTAAATCAGAGGAAGTGAATGCAAAATGTGAAAAGGAAGAGAGTATAGTAAAGAATTACAAAGGAGATGAAGACTTTGATGTGACTCTTATGGAGATGATAGTTTTGCAAAAATGCTACTTAAACCACATAGATGAACTTTTAAATGACAAAAATGGTGTTACGAAGAATTCGTATATTGCTTATGACAAGGCATTGGACGAAATGGAAAACTTTGAATGTGCAATATGTAAATCAATAATGACTGATGTCCTAGATTATTATCACCACCTTACCAAAATGCATATAACTAAATGCACACCATACTATATGTGTAGGGTTTGTTCTAACACATTTGAAACGTTATCTGATTTGGAAAGTCACGTAATGCAGGAAATTGGTGAATTTGATGACCTGTGGATATGTCAATTCTGCGACAAAGAATTCGAAAATCGTGTGANTAAATCAATAATGACTGATGTCCTAGATTATTATCACCACCTTACCAAAATGCATATAACTAAATGCACACCATACTATATGTGTAGGGTTTGTTCTAACACATTTGAAACGTTATCTGATTTGGAAAGTCACGTAATGCAGGAAATTGGTGAATTTGATGACCTGTGGATATGTCAATTCTGCGACAAAGAATTCGAAAATCGTGTGAACACTAGGCGGCATCTAGAAGATCATTTGCAAGAGATGGAATATGATAATTGTTTCAGTCCTCATTTGGGTTTTAAATGCAGATATTGTCCAATATTGTTCTGGAATGAGGGAGACAGAGAAACTCACCAGATTAAAGTGCATTTCAGTATGCACAGAGACGATTATTATAAATGTGAAAGCTGTGATAAGCTTTTCAGTGATCAGGTAGGCATGAGTGGACATGGTGTTGAAGTTAGTGCTGTTGAAAATGGAAAATAATTACTTATGGACTGCCAAACGTGAGCATATATGTTAGGCAAGGGGAATTACATAGATGAGTGTCAGAATAAATGAAAATTAACCACCATATTTTATAGGCTACAGACTTGCAAATTTATTACATACACTAAAGAGCTTTCGTAAAACTGGATTTGCTCAAGGACCTTTTTTTGAAGGATCAAACTTAAACTTTTAAAAAGTAGTCAAAGCAGGATTACATTTTTTATAATTTATTGATATACAGTTTAATAACTGCTAATGCCACCAATGCACCATTTTTGCTAATGTGTGTCTGTTTGAATCTTTGTGTGAATTGTGTGTGTTAGGCAAAGAGTTTGTGAGTAGGCGTCTTTATGTCCTTAATTCAGTGAGTTATTATAATTGGTTATCTGACATATCCAGCGTCACACATTATTGAACGACCGCAATCACCAAAGGCCATAATCTGTAGTGACTTAATATTTAGAGGGTGTTATAGTTACTTTGTATGAATCTTTCAAAACCAGTCAACACAAATTAGAATATTAAAGTCATATGTCAAGGTGGGTGGCATCATATATGTTCGGTCTATGCCAATAAAAAGATATGTCACACCTCTTGGTGTTAGAAAACAGTTGTATTACCTTTAAAATTTATAAAAGGTTGGTTTAAATATAAACCAGTCTTAACTGTCCATCGTTCTACAAAGCTTTAAATTATAATTTTTCATTTCTAGGTTTGGTTCTTACATCATTACTTGTCGGAACACCAAGAAAGCAACAGTAAAACACCAACATTCCTTTATAAATGCTGTTTGTGTTTATTTTGCTTCCCGAGCATTGATGCTGTCCGCAGTCACTTCAGTGCTGAACATCCGGAAGCGAGGAAGGTCTTCTGTTCGCTACCCCCTTGTAAATATAAACCACTGAGCCAAAGGAAGTCTTTTAAAATTCACTTGAAGGTAGTTATTTATTATTTTTTTACAACTAATCTGGGGACTTTTTGGCGGGAATGCAAGGAGTGAAGTTGTGTGGTTTGTTTTATTTTGTCTATTTAGTGTTTCTGCAGGTTTAAATGTGTAATAACGGTGGTTTATTAACCGTTTAATATTTGTGAAAGTACACAAATGTGGGAAAATGAAACAAAGCCACTGGACGTAACTTCTCGGGATCTTCCAAAAAGTCCACTAAAAATCTCATTAAATGAGCACCATTTTACTGAGATTATATTTTATCCCATATCATCTCATTTCATTTAATTTCATCCCAGTTGATTAATGTCTTAAATTAATCATCTTCATTTCATATCATATCACTCCATATTATAATTTTTCATAAAAACAAGAGTGTAAATTGAAATAAGACATGACTTAAAGGTCTCAGTTACCAGGTCATAAAATCCCTTTAAAAAAACAACTAATCCATATTGCAGTGTGATTATATCTTTCAGTTTCGTTAATGCTTATCTGCTTGACGGGTAGAAGACTTTGGTATCAGACCATCAGGATAGGACTTGTGTAATAATTATATTAAAATATGTACCATGAAAGCAATAGCAGACTGATAAGTAATTTGAGAAAACCATAGTTTTGTGGCTGTTAGAGTTGATTAAAAATAATATACAGTGTTTGGAAAGAAATTTTCAAATGAGTGTAGACATTTAATCCTAAATTATGAGGAGAAACAAAATTATAAAATTTTCACACAAAATATATGGATATGATATTTTTTACCTATATGTACCTATATCTGGCTTAGAGAATAGCTTCCGAAAACAACAGATAGTAGAGACTGACTTGATAAGAAAGAAACAATAGACTACCCATTAGATTTACTAGATGAATGTTGTACTGTAAAACCACAGAGTTAGAACTCATATCTCAAGGGGGGTGGTGGCATTTAGGTTGTTTATGTCTTTGGATTCCGGTGACCTCTTGGGTCAGGCAGACACATCACATGGGCTGTGAGCTCGTCCCTCCATCTTAGCGATAAAAAAAAGAACGCTTGATGCTCATTGTCAATAGCTCTTGTGTGCAATGACACGAGAGGGCCACCTTGCCTCACCCTCACCCTCATTGCGGGCTCACCGAAAATAAACAAGCTAAGACTTTACGAGCGAGTGAAAATTGAATAATTTTAATAGCAATTGGTACTAATGTCCAATAGAATTGTTTTAGAATACAATTTCTTTGGTAAATTTGTCTGAAAATTATAATGGTCTATGCAAAACGCAGATATGATTTTGTGGTGTTAATGTTACATATCGGCTTCCGGCACCCGCGTTACTAATTCAAGTTGTACTTTCATCACCAGACCCTGCACTCTCCGAAGTCCCGCGGCGGGGGCTTAGTGGAATGTCCCGTCTGCAGTCGAGATTTCAAAAGTCAGAAAGCTTGCAACGCCCACATCACGCAAATGCATGGCATCGGCCGATACAAGTGTAAGCTGTGCAAGGAATCCCTTCATTCTTCGGATGAAAGGTATGAGTGCACCAAAATAAAAAAAATAAAAAATGCGGCGCGTGCAACTTGGTGCACGTGAAAGAAGTTAAACTTCTTTTGCGGTGTGTAGTTTTGTGGTTTTCTTCATTTTTTCCGATTTAATACTATGATGTTTTATAAAGTGAAGAGATATACATACAGGCACACGCATGCGCAAACACACGGAGTGAGAGGGAGGAGGAGAAAATGGTAGGGTGACAAAGTGCAAAATTTAATACGAATTCTTTAACAATATAATTTTAGTTGATTTCCGAAGTATCTTCAGAAGCATTGGTTGATGCCGCAATTTACCGTAGTTACTATTGGATTATGATGACTATAATAATAACATATATATGTATTCTAGATTCAATATTTTCCAAATATCTGTAGAAAATACCATCAGTGGTAGTTCCGGATTGAGTTGTTGGAATGTTTGGTTCGTTATTCATTCTTAAATCAAATTTCTCTTGTAATAGGGAATGCTGTGTATAAAAGAAACGACATAGCTCGCTTTGTCCGTACCCTCTCGCCACGTTCGAGTGGTTCGCGAGACGTTCTGTCTATTTTCTCACTCTCGCTCGTCCTAAATTGTATCTTTTCTCTCTAGCCGTAACAAAAATGTCGCGAGTTAAATTTTACTCTAAAGAAGTTTCACTTCAATTATTTCTGATGTATATCCGTAAGTCGGAAGTTAATTTACCGATTTGAATTTACAGGAAACTCCACTATCTGATCCGTCACCCGGGGCAGCACCCGTACACGTGCACGCAGTGCGGCAAGTCGTTCCAGTACAAGTCATCATTGTACATGCACAAGCAGGAGCACATGCCCAACAGACAGAACTTAACGTGCAATTATTGTAACAAGGTGTTCTTGGTGAGTCCTCTGAATTCTGCTCCGTGCTTTTTGTATTGAAGTCATTCCTTGTAAGGAAGGCAGGTTTTTTTATTCAGACCAGGCCAGACAGACCAGCCCAACTGGTTGTGAAGTGGTTACCGGAGCCCATGGACATCTACAACGTAAATGTGCCACCCACCTTGAGATACAAGTTCTAAGATCTCAGTATAGTTACAACGGCCGCCTCACCCTTCAAACCGAAACTCATTACTGCTTCACGGCAGAAATAGGCAGGGCGGTAGTACCTACCCGCGCGGACTCACAAGAGGTCCTAACACCAGTACCGATTGTACCGATATTCCGACTCTAATTGAATATGCAATTTCGAAAAGGGCACATGTCGCATATTTTGTCAAATACGTTTTTTCATATACATGTAGTTTTGAGGCTTACCTACACCCATTTTATAATAATTCCAGTAATTTTCAATTGCTAATTAACACTAAAATTTAACTCAAAAGTTAATATTTTAAATTTTACACTGCTTTAGAAAATAATCAGTTTTTTTTCATTTCCTGAACATTTTACATTTTCAGAGATGTGTCCTTTTCGAAATTGCATATTCAATTATATTTCGCTGTGAACAGAAGAAGGACTCGTTCCGCGAGCACCTACTGATCCACGAGGGTCCGCAGCACGCCTGCTCCTACTGCCCGATGCGGTTCGTGCAGCGCTCCAACATGCTGCGCCACGAGCGGAGACACACCGGCGAGCGGCCCTACGCCTGTCCGCACTGCGATCGGACCTTCGCGGACAAGGGAGCCTGCAACGCGCACGTCAGGTTAGCGGGGGTGAACAGGTTGGGGGGAGGTTCAAGCCGTGCGTCAGGTTAGCGGGGGTGAACGGACCGGGGGGAAGTGCAGCCCGTGCGTCAGGTTAGCGGGGGTGAACGGACCGGGGGGAAGAGCAGCCCGTGCGTCAGGTTAGCGGGGGTAAACGGGTTGGGGGGAGGTGCAAGCCGTGCGTCAGATTAGGTGGCTTACGAAGCTCACAGTACCCCATTGGGAATATTGCTGCAAACATCACGCGAGGCACTATTTGATGACGATATCTGATGACTTATTGATATCAAAGGCGCAAGTCCTGCATGAAGTGGACCTGCCTAGATTGATAACAAGCTCTTATCCATTTTATCTGCCGTAGTGCTAGTTTTCATTAAATCTGATTTACAAAAATCTTTCGCAGGTCGCATTCCAGAGAGACTATGTACGCTTGTATGTACTGTGGTCAGACTTTTGTACAGAAATCAAAACTAACGTACCACGTGAGGAAACACACGGGGGAAAGTAAGCTGAATAAATTAATTATCTTTTTATATAATGTTCCGGACAGACAATAGTATTGCGTAATAAATTATAATTAAATTAATCATCACAAGTGTTCCCAAGTTTATTTTAAGTGACCACCAAACCCACGAAGAACACAATGTGAATGACATTAATGAATGAATGAATAAGATATGTGTTTGTTAGTCAAGTAAGTTTTTTTTTTATTTGTATCTAGTAAATCTTGGCCACAAAAGAAACAATTCCATAGAAAAAATATACCAGAAACAAAAATCGCACGCTTCATAATAATAATACCATACGAGAAAATTTTGAAAATTCGAAATTTAAAGTTGGTGATTCCCCGGATATAAATTCAGATTTTGTTTTGTTCATCAGATCTAGAGACGTGTTCCGTGTGTTCGAAGTTGTTCACAAGCGTTTGCTCCCTACGCGAACACATGAAGACGCACGAAGAAAAGACATTCAACGTTAAATGTCCTTTATGTGGTAAGTCTTTTTATTTTATTGCTTAAGTGGGTGGATGAGCTCACGGTCCACCTGCTGCTAAGTGGTTACCGAAGCCCACAGACATCTACAATGTAAATGCCACGATGCCAAATGCTAGTTTTAGCAAATTCGTCAGGATAGAGCTTCGTGAGCTCACCTACACGCTCGGTGAATCTAGTATGACCCCTCGAGGTTACTAGAATAGGTAACAAAACAGCTTAAAATGGCGGATGTATTCTAAAACATAATTTCATATTGAACTAAGTACTAAATAGAAAAAATAAAAATAAACACACGTCACCACTAATTATTTTTCCACGTGTCCGTTTGTATAATCTGTGTGCCTGTGTTGCCAGACAAGAAATACCAAGACGAGCGTTACATGCTGCGTCACCTGCGAACGGCGCACACGCGGGCGCGCTTCCCGTGTCCGCTGTGCGGGAAGTGCCTCAGCAGCTCCGTCGGGCTGAGGCTGCACGTCATCACGCACGCTGAACTCAGCATGTTCCATGTCAGTTTGTTTACTAATTATTATTTTTTTAGGGTTTTATGACCTGGTAACTAAGACCTTTAGGTCAAGTCTTATTTTAATTTATATTCATATTTTTATGAAAAATGATAATATAGAGTGGAATGAAATGAAATGAAATGAGATGATATAGGATGAAATATAATCTCACTAAAATAGTGGTTATAAGGGATCCCGAGAAGCTACGTCCAGCGGCTTTGTTTCATTTTCCCACATTTATGCAGTTTCACAGATATTAAACAGTTAATAAACCACCGTTTTTACATATTTAAACCTGAAGAAACCCTAAATAAACAAAATAAAAGAATCACATGATTTCACTCCTCGCGTTCCCGCCAAAAAGTTTTACTTTCAAATTCAAATTCAAAATCATTTATTTCAACTTAGATGTCAGTATGACACACTTGTTGAATGTCAAAATACAAATAACAATGTTAACTCTACCACCGGTTCCAAAAAAAGCCACAGTCCTGAGAAGAACCGGCGAAACAAACTCAGCGGGCTTTTTTTTGTTTTTTCTCAAATATTTTCTTTTTTTTAAATAAATAAAAATATTTATAATAAAGGAAAAAACAAGTCAAAAAATACAATTAAAAATAATAATAATAATAATAATGATAATAATAAATAATAAAAAATAATAATAATAATAATAATGACCTCTTTGGGGAAACCGAGGGTTTTGTCTGTGCAATACAGGATCAGGTTATCAGGACGAACAACTATAGGAAGCACATTCTGAGGGATGGGACAGCTGACATCTGTCGATTATGCCGCCGACCGGGTGAATCCCTCAGACATGTCACCTCTGGTTGTTCTATGCTTGCTAACACTGAGTACTTGCACAGACATAACCAAGCAGCCAGAATCCTCCACCAAGAGCTCGCCCTTAAGTATGGCCTCATCGAACAGAGGCTACCGTATTATAAGTACCAGCCGGACGCTGTACTCGAAAACGACCGTGCCAAGCTCTACTGGGACCGGCCCATCATTACGGACAGGACTATTCTTGCGAATAAGCCTGATATCGTGCTGATGGACCAGACGGAGTCTCGGGTATTTCTGGTGGATATCACCATCCCCTACGACGAGAACCTCGTGCGGGCCGAGGCAGATAAAAAGACCAAATATTTGGACCTGGCGCACGAGGTGACCGACATGTGGAGGGTGGTATCTACAGAAATAATCCCGGTAGTTGTGTCGGTGAATGGTTTGGTCCCTAAAAGCCTCTCAAAACATCTCGAGAGGCTTGGTCTCAACAAAAAGTCGGTGGTGGCCCAAATGCAAAAAGCAGTCTTGCTCGACAATGCCCGTATAGTTCGCCGGTTTCTCTCCCAATAGTCCCTAACGCTCCGGCCGATTGTTGCCCACCTCGCCGGAGTGTGTCCTGCCGTCTTCCCAGGCGTGGCAGTGTTTAATACAATAATAATGAAAAATTAAAAGACCAGGAGCGAGCGCCTCATTCCCACGTAGTGCCATCTAGTAAATAATCCTTAACTTTATAATATGCCTTGTTGCACAAACGTTCCTTGACAGTTTTCTTAAATCTATGAACAGGTAGTAATTGAACGTATAGTGGGATCTTGTTGAAAAGCTGTACACCCAGCCCTCTAAAAGAGTTGCTTATTTTCTTAATTCGAGCCGCCGGCAACGCAAGCCTATGTTTGTTCCTAGTGTTCACATTGTGCAAATCGCAGACTCTCGGGAATTCTTCAATGTTTTTACGCACGTACAATAAATTTTCAAAAATGTATTGGGACGCTAAAGTTAGAATTTTGATTTCCTTAAACTTGTCCCTCAAGGATTCCCTCGGGTGCATATTATAAATAGCACGAATAGCTCTCTTCTGCAGGATGAAAATCGTTTCGATATCTTTTAAAAGATAAGAGGATAAGCAAATGGAAACTGCCTGTAATGCCATAAGCATTAATGCCGAAGCAAACAGCCGACTGTGAGAATTCGTGATCAAACGCCTTAGATTACGTAATAAAACTTTCAATACCAATGAAAACTTCAAGCGTGAAATGATGTTAATTTACCAAGCTAGGCGATAGGCAAACAAAGACTTTATGTTTTTAGTTAGTTCTCGAATATGTAAACTGAAGCATGCGTCACTAGTTACTGGAGAGCATTGACCTAACCCATCAATGGATTTTGAATTGTTGGTCATTGAAGTGAGCACGTAAGGTAACGTGAAACATGAGTAATTAAAGAAACAGGTCACTAAGAGTTTCGAAAGTAGATATTGTATAAATAGACAACGCCGCCGATTTAACACAATTTTTATCATGGTACACATACGACAATACTTTGAAAATAAAAAAATAAAAATTTTCAGAGATTTATTAATTTTATTAAATCTTCTTCCAGTGCAAGGTCTGCCCGAAAGGTTTCTCGGTGAAGAAGACGATGATGAAACATCTCCGTCGACGTCACGGCCTCAAAGGGACCGAATTGAACATTACGGATTATTATAACAAACTGGATCCCAGAGACTGCAAGCTCGGCCTCGACGAGGAGGTGATGACCAGCATCTTCGGTCCGCCGAAGAGGATCGTTAACGACGTCCTGGTCGGGGACTTTGTTACTGTGCACAACCAAAGGATCTCGAAGGCCGCGCGTCAGGCCGAGACTTCCAAGTCTGATGAAGATGATACCGAGGAAAACGAACCGACAGACAACGACGCGCCCGAACCGGAGGAGAGTGACCGCGAGAGCCAAGAGGAAGTGACCAAACAGCATTTCGTCAGCATCAAAATGGAGAAAATTGACAGCGACACGGAAAACACACAGAACACAGTCGAACTGGAGCCCACTGATTTTGTCAGCGTCAAAATCGAACCCCTAGATTCGATTGAGGATATCAACGATTAATGCGTTTCGATTTGAAGGGCGGGGCAGCCGTTGTAACTATACTAAGAACTTATATCTCAAGGTGGGTGGCGCATGCACGGTGTAGATGTCTATGGGCTCTAGTAACCACTTAACACCAGGTGAACTGTGAGCTCGTTTACCCGTCTAAGCAATAAAAAAATTATAATTGTTAATGATGTGATTTGTAAAAATATACTTTAAGTTACACGCTAAAGTTAGGTGAATAGTTTACTAATTGGTCACACACCGCAGTGAAACGTTGAGTGTGGGTTATAGGAATCGTGTCGCAAGAATAGAATAATTGTAAACAATACCTAATCTATAAAATGTTCTGTGAAAATTAGTAGTAGGAAGGAAGGAACACTATATGTGAGAGCAGATATATACAACACAGCGAAGTTGATAATACTGGTTGATTTTGTTTGAGCTATAACAAAAGTGGGTAGTTAACAAATTTCAAGAGGTAACGGATAATAGCAGGTATTTATTGTCTGTTGAAACATTGTATACATTTACTTGGGTGAGAATAACTTCTTATCGTTTTAGCATGCCTAAAGGATAAGACGTCCGCTGCATTCGTATCTAACGATGCACCGGTGCTCGAATCCCGCAGGCGGGTACCAATTTTTCTAATGAAATACGTATTTAACAAATGTTCACGATTGATTTCCACGGTGAAGGAACAATATCGTGTAATAAAAATCAAACCTGCAAAATTATAATTTGCGTAATCACTGCTGGCAGGACCTCTTGTGAGTCCGCGCGGGTATGTACCACAACCCTGCCTATTTCTGCCGTGAAACAGTAATGCGTTTCGGTTTGAAGGGTGGGACAGCCGTTGTAACTATACTTGAGACCTTGAAACTTATATCTCAAGGTGGGTGGCGCATTTACGTTGTAGATGTCTATGGACTAACCATTTAACACCAGGTGGGCTATGAGTTCGTTCGCCCACCTAAAGCAATAAAAAAAAAATTATATTTCGTGAATTCAAAAGTAATTTAACTCAGCCGCCACTAGGTTACCAGCTTTGTAACTGGGTTGCGTTCATGAGAAAAATAAGAAGAAACAAAGTAAGAAGATAAAAACATAGGTTATGTGTACTGTAGTAAACAACACTGTATACACTACGGAGCATACACTATAGGTATCCGAGCTCAGTGGAGCGAGAGAGACGGCTTAACGCCGGATCGAGTGGGAGAGAATCGCACAGTCGATTGCGCATGGCGACGCGTCGCCACGGCATGCGTCGCCACGCCAGAAATCGGTTTTACGTGCGGCTATAGATGTTTCACATCAAAAATATTTATTTAAATAAACATAATACAAAAGGCTTTAATAACGAAAATTATTTCAATTAAAAAAATGTTAATGACAAACAAAACAGACTTTTCTTTTTGCATATTATATAATATGTCGTAGGTTAGATTAGGTTGTGGTGATGCGCCGCTTTACTAGCACTTGTGATTTCGTACTTTGTATGCCATGCTCACATTTACCAAAACGACATGGTCATTGTGAATTCAATGTACATTTGCCTTCTTTGAGCTTGTAAATGTTAGTTGAATGCACATTACCCAAACGAGGAGGCAAATGTGCACATGTACCGGAAAATGTTTACATTTGCCGCAATATTTACTTTTACCGTATCATAATATATATATCTTTACTGTTATAAGGTGCGCTTCTATCTACTTTAGTGTTTGGGAAGATTTTTGTCACGCCGGTAAATTATGTGATGCGAATATCATATCTAATAATTTATAAATCAAGTTTTGTTAATGATAATTATTTGTGAAACTACGTTAATTAATAGATTAGTATTGTCTAGTTTAAATTTTCATTCAATTTAATATATTTTCATAGTTTTCCAATGTTTCAAATGGTGAACAAAAAAAAACAGTTCTCATGACCATAGCAGACCAATTCGAGATTTAATCATGGTAGATCTATGGGCTCTAGTAACCACTTAACACCAGGTGGGCTATGAGCTCGTCCACTCATCTAAGCAATAAAAAAATAAAAAATAAAAACTGTTTTTTTTTGTATTTCATTAATGTTACTATTAAATAAAACTCAATTCTTGAGGTTACATAGACATTTTTCTTTTCACAAATACGGTACGTACATAATGAGTTGAGTATTAAGTTGTTAAAGAAAACGCACAATTATTAGTATTAATAGGTAGATAAAAACAGCGCAATGAACAACTAAGTTTTTTTTCTGTCCATCATACATTTTTAATTATTGGGTTTGTCAGAAAATTGACGATATTTTTTGCCATGAGAAGATTAACCATTAATATCGTACATTATCATTATTTTTGTGATAATTTAACATCTTCCTTCGACCACGAACATTAAACATCTGTGTCACATATAGATTTTAAAATAGCAATATCATTTCAATGGGGGTTATTTCTCGGATTTAATTGATTGTAAGTAAATTACTTTATGTATGAAGTTAGATATAGCAATTGATAGTGCAATGCAGTGATTAGTTTTAAGTTAATTTTCTGATTAAAATAAGCCTGTTAAAGTGATTTAGATGTTAATAAACGTTATTTTAATTTTCATCTTAATTTTCTTTGTATATAATATATTATTCTACTGTGTATGTGTTTTATTGAACTCTTCCTAAACCAACTAAACGGCTGGACCGATTTGAATGAATTTTTTTGTATCCATTTGGGTAGCGTCCTGGATGGTTTAGATTCGCTAATCAGCGAATGGCGCTGCAGTCGCTATCTAGGTTAATTATCTATAGTGCAACTATACGGCTGGATCGACTTAAATATTCTCACGATACGATCCATGAGTATCCTCATGGATCGTTTGGAACCTCTGAGTCTGCGGAGGGACTTCGGTTCCCGGTATTTTATACCGTACGTTCCATGGGGAGTGCTCTGAGGAATTGCTTGAGATGCTCCCTTCATCTCCTTTTTATCATCGCACTTCCCGCCATCGGAGCAGAGTTCATACATATTATCTGGAACCGCTGCGTTCATCGACGGTGCGTTTTCAGAGGTCTTTTTTGCCACGTACCATCCGGCTATGGAATGAACACCGCTCCACGGTGTTTCCCTAGCGCTATGACATGTCCTTCTTAAAAAGAGGCTTGTGGAGAGTATTAAGCGGTAGGTAGCGGCTTGGATCTGCCCCTGGCATTGCTGAAGTCCATGGGCGACGGTAACCACTCATCATCAGGTGGGCCGTATGCTCGTCTGCCTACAAGGGCAATAAAAAAAAATGTGTGCATTCACAGGAAAACTTCTGTCGGGTCGGTTAGGTTTAATACATAATAATAAAAATACAACGTCTTATGTTAAGTTAAAAAAACAGTGCACGTGAATGAAGTGAAACTTCTTTTTCGATGTGTAGTATTGTGGTTTTTTTCATTTTTCATCCTTAAATCAGATTAATGCACCATGTTTGGAATTTACATATACCTTTTCTGCCACGTGCCACCCGGCCATGGAATAAAATTGATCCATGGTGTTTCATGAGGACCATGACATGTCTTTCGTCAAACGATGTTTGAGAAAATTACTCAGTTGTAAGCACTTTGTTTGCCTTTGTACCCGTATGGTTATCTGCTTATAAATGTGATTAAAAATAATAAGACACACCCCATATGCCAAATATCTATAAATAAAAATCTAAGAAGTATAGCGTAATGTTAAGGTAGTGAATGGACATGGCTCCAGTCGTCATAAGATTGGTGAAAATAATAACTTATGTATTCTGGAAATAAAACTACTTCCACTGGTAAACTTCTTGTGTATTATTTCCAACGCTTACAGCTCTCATGCCGGCCACTGACATGCGCGCAAATATTCGTACATTGTACAAATGTTTGCGCGCATGTGAAGGGCCGTCCTCATTCATTCGCAAACCTAGCGGCTGTGCAAATGGGTTCGCATACTCAATTTGCGAACCCGTTTGCGCTTCCTCCTACACTTGTTTACGAATATCTCACGAATTTCTCCTCCTTTTTAATTCGTCAATAGAACATTGAAGAGAAAAAGAGTTTTTAATTCTTTCCCAGACATCATTAACAGCCATGCTGTTTTTATGGGATTTCTTTTGATGAAGATACGCTACACAGTAGACGTCACAAACTATGAAAATGGCGTATAGTATATGTCCGTTGCCTTCGCAATCGTCGGCGCAACTGGGCAAGCGAATGTGTGGGAGACTACGCGAAGGTTCGAGGTTCGCGCGCTTTGATGTCTGTTAAAAACCGACACAGCTTGGAAAACCACGAATGTAGCGAAAACTTTGCATAATCATTTGCAAATGTCGTCCCACACTTGCGGGTTTGCGTATTCGTGCGCATGTGGGTGACCGGTGTCATGGTCATGTATGACTTTTTTAATGCAGCTAGTCAGAAAAAAGAATTGAAAATGGCAACAATTTTGACAATCAGCTGAGTAAATAGAAGTGTCAAATTTTGAAGTCAATTTTCAAATAGACTTTGAACTTCATTTTGTTATCATATTTTATTAATTAATGAAAGAAATGATAAATAAAAATTTATAGCCATTGGCTCTTAAGTTTTTAATGTTATTTATGATTTTGTAATATTTCTAAGCGACACAAGTCATGTATATCCCTGAGGTAACGGTTAGAAGAATTGATGTCTTGATGCGTATTTTAAGTCATCGTAAAGTGATTTTAACTGCGAATCCCGTCAGAGCGTATTCCAGTGACGATAAAGTGATTATAGGAGATGTGACCAAAGAGATTTCGCGTCCGAAAAAGGTCGAATACGTACCCAGGAAGTATCGTAAGTAATTTATGGTTCGTAACCTTAACTATAAAAACAACTGTAAATTTTAGATCATTACATTGTTTTTTAAGATATAATTATATTAACTTCGTAAACAACAAAGCTTAAATGAATTTTAACCAAAACACACCACTTATTTCTTTCTAAAAACATGTTGTTATTTTAGTAACAATAGAAAATACGGAAATTAAATCATTATCACAAAGTACCTTGAGAAATTTAAGATGGATGATGCAAAAAGATTCTCTTGGACAAGATATGTTTCTTTTAGGAAGACCTGGACCGAGCAGGTATGTTGAAATCTTTTCACATGATTGTAAAATAAAACATTGATACAAAAAAATTCATACAGTCAATCAAATGATCATCTTGTTCCCTGTTAATTAATATTTGTTTATTAAAAATAAGATAACGATAGGTACTTGTGTATAGTTAGGTTTATGTGTGCAATATACTGTTACAATTACTACAATAATTACAATTATTAACTTTATAACTAGCTATGGCAAAAATTGTTTGGACAGAAAAGAGCATGTTAAAGCCAATTGAGTGTAAGTGCCAACACTATTGATATATTGACTTACATTACATTGCATTACATTTAGATTGTAAGTCAACAATGATAGAAACTCATGCTATCTCAGTGAGTTGCAAAGGTTACTGAACAATGGTGCATGCCTTAAACTAAAAAAAAATTTGTGTGGCACCTTAACACTGAGCATTGTCATTATCATAGATAATACACTTAAATTAGTTATAGATAAGCACTCAACAAAAATGTTTACGGGCATCGGCCAGTTGATGGTTTCACTTTGATTAGTTTCTCATTGCTCCTGTAGATGGCAGTTACGTATTACCTATCTTATATTTTATTCTTAATGAAGGATTTTATAAATTTTCAGAATCCACAAATTGATAAAATTTAATCAATTTGTCAATAACAAATAAAGACTTGTATGATTTATTATTTTTTATTTTCTGTTTTTAACATATAAGTTTAGGGGCATTGGCTCCAAGATGTCGCTTGTCGTCAAGATGTTTCCATACAAGAAATATTTTTCTTAAAGTATCACAGTTTCAGGGCCCTGGTCATCATGAAAAACATTTTTATTGTTATGCCATTGCTGCATATATTGCACATAATAAAATATATAATGTGCTCTTATTTTAGGAGAAAAGTAGCATTACAATATTTAGAGTTGACTCAAAGAGAATTAGAATATGTGGCGCTATCAAGGGATACCACAGAGGCAGATCTCAAACAGAGAAGGGAGATACATAGTTCCACTGCCCAATATTTTGATCAGGTAAAATTAGGATAAATTATTTTTACTTAATAGTTCTGTAAGAAACAAGATCCAAAGAGACATTTTATAATTCACTGGTCAAATCTGGCCTAGTTTGGTAATTGATTTTTTATTTGACTTTGATCTGATTAATCCCATCTTCCCAGGTTCAGCCGTTAGCACAATAAAATATAATTGAAATTCATTTACTCATTTCGGAGTCTGTAGAGAACATTCATACAGTCATTGACTTTTATTTATATATAAATTATAGAATCATAGGAATGATTGACAAATAGATGAACTACTTTCATCATTTTATCGCCCCTCTTGTTGGGTCTACCTTAATTCTTTTTATTTTATCTGGTTGGACATTCAAGCATCGATTTTAAGATCAGCATTCATTCTACGTCGAGAGTCGTAAGTGGGGGCTAATTCTGACTTGCGTGAGTTACTGTACCTCCATAGGCAGCGGCTTGGCTCTGCCCCTGGCATTGCTGAAGTCCATGGGCGACGGTAACCACTCACCATCAGGTGGGCCGTATGCACGTCTGCCTACAAGGGCAATAAAAAATAAATATATATAAAGGACGTCGGCCAAGCGTACGTGCTAGCACCAGCAATAATGACATAATTATATTAGTTAATTATTTATTTAGAGCGCAGTTAGAGCAGCGGTCGAAGGACGTGTACTCGTGTTGGAAGGCATTGAGAAGGCCGAAAGGAATGTCCTGCCAGTATTGAATAATCTTTTGGAAAACAGAGAGATGCATTTAGAAGACGGCAGATTTCTGGTACCTCCGACGAGATACGATAAACTTTTACAGGTATGTTTTTTTTTAATTGCCATGAGACAGACCCGAGTATAGACCAGCGATTGGTGAGTAGCTGACAAGTAATATCAAGGCATTGTCAAGCAGCTGCCCACCGCTGTGGACTCTCCTCAAACCTCATATAGAGATATGTAATAGTGCTCAGGAAATACCGTGGAGGGAAAGTCATACCAAATCCGGTTTAGCAATGCTCAAAAAGCCCAAGATGGGGTATTAAAAAAAAATATATATTTCGTCATTTCCAATGCTGAACATTTTTTAGGAGCACGGTCCTGAAGAAGTTGCTAGATGGCGTTTAGTACGCGTCGATGAGAACTTCAGAGTGATAGCCCTAGGACTCCCGGTGCCGCGGTACAGCGGGCAGCCCTTAGATCCTCCCTTACGTTCTAGATTCCAAGCCAGGGATGTTGCCACTATTGGATATGGGGTAAGAAACACGTCGTTAATATAACATCGAATGCCATTACTAAAATTAGTGCCCATAAGCTCACACCATATTATAGACAAGCGGCCCGCTCCGGCTCCGCTCGGGTCTTTAACAAAAATTTTAACGATATTTGACGTTGTTTTATTTTTTTTTAATAAAAGAACACTTATTGCGGCATAACTATAATAGTTAGCCATATGCTGTCGCGACACTTTTTGTAAATAATAATGTGTTCTACAAAGTCGTAGTACATTATTTTATTCTATCATCAATAGTTTTCGCAGGGCACGCGATGTAAAGAATATTTTAGGTATTTTTTGTACACCTTGGGTTACATTATTGGAGTTTTATTGAAGGATCCCTAAATTTTTTTTAAAAAGGTTATAGCCTATGTCACTGAATAGTGTAGCTTCCAAACAGTGAAAGAATTGTTCAAATCGGTTCAGTAGTTTCGGAGCCCATTCAATACAAACAAACAAACAAATCGTTCCTCTTTATAATATTATTATAGTATAGTACGTAGTATTAGTATAGACTATGTTTGTACAATATATTTGAATTTTCTGAAATATTAATGCAGTACGATGATTTCTCTCCTTCATGTTGCCGTAGTGTTTTTTTACTTATTGCTTAAGTGGGCGGACGAACTCACGGCCCACCTGATGTTAAATGGTTAACGGAGCCCATAGACATTTACAATGTAAATGCCGCCACCTACCTTGAGATAATAGTTCTAAGGTCTCAGTTTTTACAGTACAACGGCTGCCCCGCCCTTCAAACCGCCTAACTGCTTCACGGCAGAAATAGGCAGGGTCGTAATACCTACCCATGCGGATTCACAAGACCTCAACGACTCTATCGTCACAATATACTTCTATGATTAATCAGTCATTCGTGAACCACGCAAACTGTAAAGTATACGAAACGTCGGGAATAATGTAATAACAATCAAAAATAGCGAAAATTGACGGTAAAAGTATTTTTTCATAATTATGTTTACGGCTCGCGGAAACGTAGCAAAATATCAGATTTTCATAAATACAATTAAGAAAAGTGATTGAAAACCTACATCAAGAATGAAATACCTACATAATTTAACGATAAAAATTGGACCACAAACATCGAAGTAATCAAATTTTGTTTAATTTCTTTTTACGTATTTTACATTTACAAATGCAGAGCACGTTCTTCATTTTAGAGTCGATTATAAAGCAGAGTCATCTTTGGTATTTACAGAAAATAAAATCATCTAAGTTTTAATAACTACTATTAGATTTTGAAACTGGACCAAGGTGGTCACGACCCTCAGCAATGAGGAAACGACAGAGAAGAAGAAGAAGAATTAGATTTTACCCTTAATATAATACTGGGTAAGAAAAGAAGAGAACGAATGAAATAAATTATAGCTGCCCAAAAAAAAAACCAAAAAAATCGTGAATATTTATTTAGTCAATGCTTGAGCGTTTTCAAAGAAGCTTGCGACAATAAGCTTTCAGATAGGCCGCTTCCATCAGCCACGTTTCTCTTCGGCACATCGGGCATAAATATGTGAACTTGTTTCTTGATTTTCTTATCGACGTTCGGTATTAGTTTCTTGTTGATTAATTCGACGTATTGTTTTTGTATTGCGTTTCTTTCGTTGACCATCTTCAGTCTCGTCTCGACTACGTTCGCTTTGATGTCCTTCGACTTTTTATCTTTTGTTTTCGCTGTGGCATCGTTACGTGGCGTGATCTTGTTGTTCCGTGACTGGCGTGCGTAGTTCTCGATTGTGTTCGCCGTAGTCGTCGTCACACAGAAATGGTGACGATCGATAATTGTTGTTTGTTGCGCTTTTGGACCTTCCGTTTTCGGTGAATCGACTTTACGTATGTCTATAACGGTCCTGGATTTTGTTAGGTTGTGATTCCGTCTCTGTAATTCGGGGCAACTGTGCCTGGGCTGCGACATGCGTTCCGCGTTTTCTGGCGCCAGCAAATCGACCTTTCCAGCCAGATCTAGCCACTGCAGTACTCTGTCGGATAGATCTGTGTTCTCCTTCAGTTCGGTCCTGGCGGTTTTGTTTAGCCTGATGCTCTTCATGTCTGGACCGGATTCGTAGCTCGGGCCTCCGGTGAAGTCGTTCAAAGGCTGCGGGCTCGCTTTCAATATGAATTCGTCGTCTGAATCTTGTTCAACGTCGCTCAGGTTCAGTTTTTCGATGGCCACTTCATTACTTTCGGATTTGCGTTTCTCTAAGATTTTATCGTTTCTGATGACGTAGTTGAACTTCCTCAAACACTCGTTCAGATCTGAGTGGTTGCTCAAACGAGAACCGGACTTATCCGGTTTGGAGCAGCTCGCCGACGAATGGGGCCTTCGTCTTTTTAACTTAATTAAACAGGGATCGTCGTGCGACAGTATGGCGTGTCGGAATCCGTCCACCCACACAGTCCTTATGTACATAGGCCGTAGGGACGATTCCCATAGAACTGGCATATTATATGCCACTCGAAGTTCACTTAACGTGTTCCGTCACGCGATTCTTTCCATTAGTGCGTGCAAAAGTTTGCTTTGTGTTTTATAATTGATAGGTATCATTCCTTTAGTCGCGATGCTTGGCTTCGTTCTGCAAACAGACATTAAAAGTTTATATTATTCACGTTCAGTTTCTTAAGGTGGCTTTTATTTGCGGAAAATGGTGGCGGAAATTGCGAATGGTTTGGGATGTACTACAGAAAAAAAGACTCATATTTTAATAAATGGCATTTATTTTTATTGCTTAGATCAGGGGTTCCCAAACTTATTTTGTCTACTGCCCACTTTGAGAAACAATTATTGTTTAACGCCCCCATTTTTTCACCTACTTAAATACCACTATACCGAGAGCTCAGTCGGTGTCTAAGGGTCCTCCTAGATGAAATTACAAATCACCTTCAACCATCTACACAACGCTCCCCTTATTTTTCTAAGTCTCTTACCGCCCCCCTTTAGGCCTGCAGCGCCCACAAGGAGGCGTTATCGCCCACTTTGGGAAAGGCTGGCTTAGATGGATGAGCTCGTTCACATGGTGTTAAAGGAGCCTTTAGACATCAACAAAGTAAATGCCGCCACCCATCGACATGAGTTCAAAGTCTCAGTTTTTACAGTACAACGGCTGTACCACTCTTCCAACCGAAACTTTTTACTGCTTCACGGCCGAAAATAGGCAGGTTGGTGGTGCCGACACGTGCAGGCTCACAAGACGCTCTACCATCATTATCCTATAATTTATTTTATACGTGTTTTGTTATAATTTTACTAAGATCATAAATCTTTCAAAAATTTTCGTATTCGCTTCTTTTAATCCGAATTCTTCGAATTTCTCTGTCACTATAGAGTTGTCACTATTGATTTACAAAATATCGATTTCTAAAATATCGTTCATTTTTAGTCATAGAAAAATACAGGTGAATGGATATTTTGAGGAATAATAATAGCTTAGCGTGATATTGGCATATCGACAAAACATGGAAGCTAACCTGGAACCTGTTGCCAGAGTCTTGCATAGTTATTGTAATTAATTGGCATCGATTATGATGATTCGGTGATGTGGCTAACACGTAACTTGATTTATGAATATATGTACTATGCTGGATTGAATTCTAATGTTTTTGCGAGGCTTCGCATAAGGCGTGTCAGTTTGTATCCCTCGAGCTTTGACCGTGATTCCAAGGTATTATAGAACACATTGTGTTTAGAGCACATGGGAAGCAGATTGGAATTTATATGGACGTAGTCTCCCAGTACTGATATCGAATTCGTATGTGCCACCAATGAGGATGGTGAATATCTCTAACATGGTATTTTTAGATCTCAAGCGATCAAATTCCAATTGCTATGTCTTTCTATTAATACGTGTATAGCAGCTTGGGTTTCTGTAGCTGCTACTACTACTGTCCTGTCTCAACCGCTATAGCAGTCAGGAGACTGCTATATATGATATAATTAGGGATTAGATTAGGAAGTCTAATCCCTAATTCAGGGCATTTACAATCCCGCACGATTTCGTACCACCATTTTGCTTATTGTAATGTATGGCTTGTTGAAAATGTTTTGAGATATACGACAAAGGGAAGATCTTCCACCGAGCGTATGAAATTGTTCTTTTTTTTATTTTTTTTATTGCATATATGGATGGACGAGCTCACAGCCCACCTGGTGTTAAGTGGTTACCGAAACCCATAAACGTTTTTCTCTTATTGTGCTTTCTTCGGTTTTACGGTTTTATTATTTTCTTTCGGTCGCTTAAGCAACAAAACCCTTAGTATTTATAGCAGCCTACCTCTTTGTTCGGTACGACTTGTTGCTCGCAAATTATTAATCACTTCCGGCAGCCGCGTGACTTGATTAATCGTTGTAGTTACATGAATTCATTACTGAAATGCGGTTTGTTAATATTTCTGTAAGCGCGCCAGTTGGGACTTGTTAAACAGCTCACTGATCCTCTGATGTTCGATTTCACCAGTTTTTGCATTGAAGTTAAATTCGTAACCGTCTTTAATATACTCGGGTAGGATGAAATTAGCTTAAGAGAAGACTAGGATACCTCGATTAAGGGTAGGTTCTGACCAGCTTAACAGAAGACTAGGACACCTCGATTAAGGGTAGGTTCTGACCAGCCTAACAGAAGACTAGGATACCTCGATTAGGGGTAGGTTCTGACCAGCTTAACAGAAGACTAGGACACCAGGATTAAGAGTAGGTTCTGACTAGCTTAACAGAAGACTAGGACACCTGGATTAAGGGTAGGTTCTGACTAGCTTAACAGAAGACTAGGATACTTCGATAAAGGGTAGGTTCTGACTAGCTTAACAGAAGACTAGGATACCTCGATTAAAACCTGTAGGTGGCTATCTCGTAACAATTATATATGTATTCATGCGAGATAGTTAATCGAGGTATGCGGAGTGTTTTCATCGGTAACCAGAGGCGTAGCTGCACCTTAGGCATTGCAGGTAGAGATGTGTAGCTCCTGAGTGAGTGACATAAAAGATACATATCACTCACACCGATAGAATGTATCACTAACTCACACGGGCTCCAAATGTATCAGTAACTCAGTTATAGCTCACTAGATCACTAGCTCACTTGTCTCATAACATGTACCTATCTTATTTTTTTTTCTACCTATGCTGATAACCTTGAGAGGCTATTTCAAATTCACTCTAACGGGTGTAGGTGAAGCTCACGGGGCTCAAACCGGAGTGTTGCTAACACTCACCCTAACAAGAGCAGTGCTTCGCAGAATCTACCACCGGATCGGAAACGCGACCCACTGAGAAGATCCAGCGAGAAACGTGTGTCCAACCTGTATCGTGAATTGATGAGCGAATGAAAGACAAATGCATGAATGAGATTGATGTATTGGCCGGCTGACGAGAATGATCGTTCACTTCACGCTAATTTTGTTTCGACGTATTGGGTTGTCAAGGGAAAATGTACATTATTTCTATGGGAGCAAAGCTTAACATAACTCATGTATTTTTGAAAGTAAATTTATATTTGCTTTATTCTTACATAAAAAGGTAGGCATTCATTTGCGAATTTAATATTACAAATAATGCGATGCTATATCTATATATTTTTTTCTAATGAAACGTGTACTCGACAAATGCTCACGACTGACTTCCATGGTGAAGAAATAAAATAATCGTAGGATGTCTTTTAAGAGCGCACGGGTAGGTACCACCACCCTGCCTACTTCTGCGTGAAGCAGTAAGGCGTTTCGATTTGGGGCAGCCGTTGTACTGTAAAAACTGAGAATTTAGAACTTCTGTCTCAAAGTGGATGGCAGCATTTACGTTGTTGATGTCTATAGGCTCCGGGAATAACTTAACACCGGGTGGGCCGTGAGCTCGTTCACCTATCTAAGCAGTAACAAAATAATTATGTTTGCATACATATAAACTCTGAACATTAAAATTCGGCGTTCGACGCAAGATCTCTTAGTGGTTTCCTTAGAACTTATCTATTTAGAAAAATCGTTTTTTCGCGGGATTTGAACCTCATTATAATCGCATTTCTCGATACAAGTATATCGGGCACCTGCGTTTTACTTAAGAGAGGATGGGTAAATCTAATACAATTATAGTTTGGCCAGCTGATAAAAATGAGATTATTTGATCTCTGCCGCTTCCATCGACAATCCTAATCAAATCAAATCAAATAAAAAAAATTTTTTTTTTATTCAACATAAATGAAAGTACATACTTGTTGAACGTCAAAAGAACTACCGCCAATTCACAAAAACTAACCTCCGTCCTGAGAAGAACTGGCAATAAACTCAGCGGACGTGACTTTTTTTTAAATATTAGAATATTTTTTTAAATATTAGACTTTTTTTAATTTTCATTTTTACAATGAGTATTATTACGTAACAATTATTGTAATATTGAAATGCCCGGAGCGAGCAACTCGCAATATACCCCTAGGGGTTGCCTCTTAATTCTTATCCTGTGTGACAAAGCTTGCTTAAGCGACAACTTTACAACTTTGCAACTTTACAGGAGAGCCATTTAAAGTTTAAAATTTGAAAAAAATATCAAAATAACACAAAAAAACTTATTCACCTATCTGAATCGGGTAAACATAATTGAATTTCAATTAAAAACATCGAATTATTGATACTAATCTATACTTCTATACTAATATTATAAAGAGGAAAGATTTGTTTGTTTGTATTAAATAGGCTCCGAAACTACTGAACCGATTTGAAAAATTCTTTTACTGTTTGGAAATTACATTATTCTCGAGTGACATAGGCTATAATTATTTTTGAAAAAAATTTGGGATCCTTACTAAAACTCCAATAACCCAAGTTGTAAAAAATTACCTAAAATACTATTTACATCGCGTGCCCTGCGAGAACTGTTGATGATAGAATAAAATAATGTACTACGACTTTGTAGAACACATTATTATTAACAAAAAGTGTCGCGACAGCATATGTCTAATTATTATAGTTATGCCGCAATAAGTGTTCTTTTATTTTTAAAAATTAACGTCAAATATCGTTGAAGTTTTTGTTAAAGACCCGAGCGGAGCCGGAGCGAGCCGCTTATACCAAATAAGACGGATATTTAATTACAAAGATAAATGTTGCGTATTAAGCGGAATGTCGCTTAAACCGAATATCCTTTCACCTTTCGATATAAATAACACATAACACATATTTAGCGGGATACCGGGCGAATTCAAGTTGGTAGCAAGAATTTTAAACATTTTATTTCAATCAATAACACTGAAATTACTAAACGAAATTTAATAATTGATTACTTGATTAATATGAACATTATTCGTACTTGCCTGACAATATCTATATATTAATACGTGAAGCAAAAATTTTGTATCCCTTTTTACGAAAATTGCGCGGACGGAGGAGTATGAAATTTTCCACACTTATAGAGAATATATAGAGAAGGAGTGCACAATGCTAATATTTTTTTAAAATAATGCATAAAAGATACATTAAATCAATAAAGAAAACATTACACACACTACATACCATGTATTTGACGCACACACGCATGCATACTATTTATTGTCAAACTTTTGTTCTTGCCGTCTGTTGTCAAATTGAGAATATATTAAATATTGTTTGTCTTTGTTAATATTTTTTATAATGTAGTCTTGCGAAATTTGTGATTATAGTAGAAGTATAAAATACAATCATAATAGTGTACAAACTTACAGTTCCAATTAATTATAGTCGAATTTCGACTACTGCGGGACCTCTAGTTATGATTAATATTCTCTCCGTAGACCTTGTGCTACGCTAATCGGCTACGTATTGTAGCGATCACGTAAAACTCCGTAGCTCTACTCATCTAAATTCACTGAGGATTTCTCATTTGTAAATTATTCCGTAATTTAAATATCGAAACATTGGAATTTAAGTTATTGTTAGAAGCGTCCTACGGAGAGTTCGGCTGTCGTGTGACTGGCATTCACTGGGAAACGACGTTCGGTTTTGTCGTGAACGTAAGGGTCTGTGCACACGCGATGTCATTACCCGTTCTTCTTTACACCCGGTTTATACGTAATCCGTTCGCGTACGGTGGATTGTGATGCGTATAAAAATGTTTATTCGTAATTCGAAGGAAGACGAATTACGGTACGTAAGGTCGGTTGTAAAATGCTTTTTTTTTTGCTATATCTTTGAATCGATCTTTAAGAAATAATTATTTATTATTTATAATAGAGAATGCAAGGACAAAAAAACATGCACATTTTAAAATAGCACTTATAAAGAGTTTAACTCATTAACGAGTTTTCTGGAAGCTAAAGAAAAAGCGACAGAAGATTTAAAAATAATGTATAGTGTCGAACATCTTAAACTTAAATACAGTGAAATAAATATAACCGATACATAAGAAATACTATATAAAATACATACAAAACAAATAATAAATAAATAATTAAGTAGCTTCATCGTTTTAATAACATCGGATCTATAGTGCTTAATAAAACCTTAAAAGCTTATTTAAATGTCATATTGAACCAGACGAGATAATTGAAATTTGATTACCAGCAGAGTAAAGGTTTCACTGAAGCATCCTCGTAAAGGAGAACCGCCACTTACTGCTTTTAAATTTAATATAACATTTATAAGCACGTGTAAGAATTGTAAATATATTTCACGCTATTTACCCACAAACCCATAGGGACATTGACAAAGTACTAGTAACAAGAATGTTTAAATCATTTTTTGAAACAAATAAAATAAAATATAATCCATCAACTTACACAAGCCCTAACTATTGTCACAGACAGTATCTGGCCACTATTCGATTTTAACAATAAAACTTAACGTAAACCCATTTCTAAGTCGGAATTGCAATTCGTGGAATAGCTGGATTCCGTTGCAATGTAATTATTGTGTAACATGCAATATTTCTGTAAATTATAAATCAAGTTAAGGTACAGTAGAGGTACGGGGTGGCGCCGCGTGTCTGGTTGTAGTGTTGACCGCGGGAACCCCTCTACTCTGACTGGGTTCTGATCCCGGACGGAGATCGGACGTCGGGTGTAAGAGTACAGGGGAGTCGTTTAATGCGGTAGGCCCCTAAAATTTATTGGACCCGCGGTCTGCTCCCAACACCTGCAGATCTAGTCCCACATACCCCGCGCGCCCCCTAGGCGCGGGGACCTCGTAGGAGGTTCGGTCACCAGCCCGAAAAAAAAATTGTGGAGGTATATGGTAAATATACCTAATACCTACCCACAGACTAATAAGTCTGTGCAGTCTCTTCTAGGTTTTTGATGTAATCTATGCGTTGTTTTTTTTGAGAGTCAGGGGTTCAGACTCTAAGCTTAATGGTGCCTGTCCACCGGAGCGGAGCGGAGAAACGGAGAAATAATAACCAATAAGATTGCACAAAATCAAAATCATAAGATTGTTAAATTATTTTGTGCAATCTTATTGGTTAATATTTCTCCGTTTCTCTGCTCCGCTGCCTCGCTCCGCTCCGGTGAACAAGCACCCTTAGAGGCTTTTTTTTCATGGCGCGAAACGATCTTAATTTCCGATTTGAAGGTTAAAATTCCAGTGCTGTTAAGATTTAAAATTTATTCTTCGAGAAAGTAAGCGAACATCTGTTTCCAATCACTAGTGGCATAAATGTCTCGGGATATCTTTGAATTTAAAGGGCTTTTTGACGGACCAGTGTCAAGGTCCCTAAGGGGCACCAGAAATACGTAAAAGCAAAAGTCTCACTTAACCTAACCTAATGCCGTAATGAGTTACGCCTTAAAGAGTGGGGCAGCCATGTTGTATTTCTAGACAGACTTGCACTCATGTCTGAAGGTGGGTGGCGTAATTTCTATCGTTGATGTCTACGGGATCCGGTAATCACTTTACGCCAGATAGGACGTGAGAATTCGTTCATTTGTCGTAAGAAAAACAAAGTCTTTAACCATGTTATTGACTTTGGCCGGCAATCGAACCTTTCATATCGAACTGTGGTACATGAGACTAATTTACAAACCACTCGACTAATAATTGCGAATATATGCAGTTGTTATGAGATTTGCTGAAATCTTAGTAAGCAATTCGCACATACACTTACTCAATTAGGGGCAGAATCGAAAGTAATATATATAATTTTTTTTTTTTTTATTGCTTAGATGGGTGGACGAGCTCACAGCCCACCTGGTGTTAAGTGGTTACTGGAGCCCATAGACATCTACAACGTAAATGCGCCACCCACCTTGAGATATAAGTTCTAAGGTCTCAGTATAGTTACAACGGCTACCCCACCCTTCAAACCGAAACGCATTACTGCTTCACGGCAGAAATAGGCAGGGCGGTGGTACCTACCCGTGCGGACTCACAATAGGTCCTACCACCAGTGGAATATTAACCAATAATGTCTTGTAACTTAAACCTGAAATACAATCTTATCTATTTGATACTTTAAAATCATTAAATACGTAACCCGGTACTGCATAGACAGTAGATTTTGAGCCGAAATTTACATAAAATAGGGAAATTGGAATCATTTGGCGCACGAAACTCCAACGGCTTTATGTTTGTAAATTAATAGTTTCCAACGAAACATCAGCGTTGTAATGACTGCCGATACGATATTTATTCGATGAAATACTGTATACATAATAATATAGGTCAAATAGCTAACGGCCCACCTGATTTTAAGTGGTTACCGGAGTGCATTGTGGGACATCACAAAACTAAGGTTGGCACCCAACGTGGGACTTGCGTTTTAAGTCTAAGTTGTATAATATAGGGTTGTCTCGTCCTTCAAACTGAAACGCATTACTTTGTCTCGGTTAAGTCAGTCGAGTCTGCTTGAAAAGGCTGGCAGGCAGGTCTGCATAAAAAGGAAAAAACCATATTATCTGGAACCGCTGCGTTCATCCACAGAATAAAGTGGTAAAATCTCTGTTCAGAGATCTTTTCTTCCACGTACCATCCGGCTTTGAAATGAGCTCCCCTCAACGCTGTTTCCAGAGCGCTATGACATGTCCTTCTTCAAACATGGTTTGCAAAGAGTATTCAATGGTTGACAGCGGCTTGACTCTGCCCCCGCTATTGCTGACGTCCATGAATTACGCTAACCACTTATATTAGATGGACCATATGCTCGTCTTATCAGCGCCATTTGAAGTCGTCGTGGCCTAAAGGATAAGACGTCCGGTGCATTCATTCGTATCTAGCGATGCACCGGTGTTCTAATCCGAACGGTTTGAAAGGTAGGGCAACCGTTGTAACTATACTGAGACCTTAGGGCTTATATCTCAAGATGGATAGCGCATTTACGTTGTGGATGTCTATGGACTCCAGTAACAACTTAACACCAAGTGGGCTGTGAACTCGTCTACCCATCTAAGCTCTAAAAAACCGGTGGCTATCAATCAATACGAGGCTCGTATCAAACTAGCTGAACAGGTGATTGCCATCAAATTTTTTCTGATCTAATATGTTTTTATCCAAGTAGACTGTCAGATAAGAGCGGTTTATTCAATCTATTGTATGTATAAACTCTGCGCTATTGCCTACAGCCAATAGAAGCTTGAACGGAATAACCGAAATGTTTCAGCAAACCGTAAGTGTAAGTCGAAAATAGTTTTGCGAGTCGTCCGTATGTAAATTCGTCGAGCGATCAGATAGCGCGGTACTATATCGCGAGTTCTCGAAGGGCCTTTCTAGTTTATGTGTCGTATTAACCACCTTACCGTGACTTTGGGGTTATTGTATTGTCTCGCCATTTTTATTTGTAAGGCATTTCTCGCGTATTCTTGTCGTAGGAAATGATTAACTACTGCTTAGAATCGTTTTACTGGTGGTAGGACATCTTATGAGTCCGCACCCCGCCTATTTCTACCGTGAAGCAACACTGCGTTTCGGTTTGAAGAGTGGGGCAGCCGTTGTACTGTAAGGACTTTAATACTAATATCTCAAGATATGTGACAGCATTTACGTTGTAGATGTCTATGGGCTCCGGTAACCCCTTAACATCAGTTGAGCTGTGAGCTCGTCCACACATCTAAGCTATATAAAAAAAATTACCTCGTAAATGTGAACACAGAGATCAAAGCATTCGCTCAAAAGAAAAATATGATTGGTTCCAAAAAAAATGGTTCAGTTTTTCGAAATGAACTTGAGTTTTAAGTTGCAGTCCCGAAACTGCGTGAAAGAGACGTGTTATTTATTATTTTTATTTGGTAGGCGAATATACGAAGCCTTTTGGTGATCAGTGGTCTCCGGAGTTTTATAAATATCACAGTGTAAACGCCCAACCGTTTATGATAAATAAGTTTGTTTTGTGATATTTTTTTTATTGCCCTCGTAGGCAGACCGGACCGTTTTACTGGTGGTAGGACCTCTTGTGAGTCCGCGCGGGTGGGTACCACCGCCCTGCCTATTTCTGCCGCGAAGCAGTAATGCGTTTCGGTTTGAAGGGTGGGGCAGCCGTTGTAACTGTACTGAGATCTTAGAACTTATATCTCAAGGTGGGTGGCGCATTTACGTTGTAGATGTCTATGGGCTCCAGTAACCACTTAACACCAGGTGGGCTGTGAGCTCGTACATCCATCTACGCAATAAAATAAAAATAAAAAAAGGCGAGCATACGGCCCATCTGATGGTGAGCGGTTACCGTCGCCCATGGACTTCAGCAATGTCAGGGGCAGAGCCAAGCCGCTGCCTACCGCTGATTATCGTTTTGCCTTCAAAACGTAAGACTACGTGCCTACTGTGTTACTATATACTATATGAGTCGTCTATTATCAAAGGTGGCAATCTGTGTATTTGGACAAAAAAAATTTATTGATATGTCAATTCAGATTGATTTGAATATAATCGTCTCCTTCAAAGAATACGGTTCAAAACCTGCATTAAATAAAGGTTAACAGTTAACCTGTTATTTATCTAAGATGTCGTTCCGAAGAGTTTTGTGACTGCTAATGGAATACAAAGTCAATAATTCGTTTTTCTGATTTACCAATCATTGTCCAAAAGTCAGATTGCCGGCTTTGATAATAGTCGACTCATATTACGTACTAGCTATATACACTTTAATAAGTAAAACACATAATGAATACCTCGACGTAAGTATTCATTTGAAACAAATTGTTTTCGTGCTGAGCCCACCGCTAATGGTGTTCTAACATGCTAGTTAGAAGCTAGAACTTAAATTTTGATATTTATTTTCTTGCCTCTTGTTTCATATGAACGTCAATGGTGGTTATTTATAGAATATCATGAGCCGGTTTGTTTAATGGTGTGAATGAGCGATGCTTTGACAAGAAGTTCACGGCCCACCTGGTGTTAAGTGGTTACCGGAGCCCATAGACATCTAAAACGTAAATGCCGAAGCCTACCATGAGTTATGAGTTGTAAGGTCTCCGTTTTTACACTACAATGGCTGTCCCACCATTCAAAGCGAAACGCATTACTGCTTCGCGGCAGAAATAGGTGGGGTGGTGGTACCCACCCGCGCGGATTCACAAGAGGTCATACTACCAGTAATTACGCAAATTATAATTTTGCGGGTTTGATTTTTATTACACGATGTTATTCCTTCACCGTGGAAATCAATCGTGAAAATTTGTTAAGTACGTATTTCATCAGAAAAATTGGTATTCGCCTGCGGGATTCGAACACTGGTGCATCGCTAGATATGCGAATGCTCCGGACGTCTTATCCTTTAGGCCATGACGACTTTTCAAATTCTCGTCTTTTGAGTTTGTAAAACTAATTATCGCGTTTCATAGAAATTCTAGATCAGAACATAAATTATGACACATTTTGATATTGCGTGTTTAGTCTAGGTTTAGCTTCCACGCACTGTCAAAGATAGATAAACATAGATCAAGTTTTGTAACCTTTTCTTTAGCCTATTTTATTGTTTGGTAAACACTAAGAAAATATTTTATTGGGAATTATTATACACCAAACTTGGTGATTTTTATACCATTATTATGACTATAATAAAATAGATCGAATTAATTACGTTTGAGGTTCACGAAAACCCAAAGAAATCCTTGAAGTGACTCGTTTTTTTCCCCCTACCTATTCCAACTACGCCCGGATGGTTAGGTGAGCTCACGGGCTCAACCTGAGAGAATTTATTAACACTAGTCCAAGCAAGAGCAGTGCTTCGCAGAATCTACCGCCGAAACGGAATCGCGACCCACTGAGGAGATCTGACGAGAAAGTTAGTAGGCTAGTACTAGTCTCGTGACGCTGATATGGTCTCCCTTCTCTAGACCATCAGGCTAGGTAGGAAATTTTAGGCTTAAACGACATTTTTGCAACTTTACAGGTGAGCTAACCAAAGTTTGAAATTTGGAAAAAAATATTATAACTCAAAAACTTATTAAAAACATTGAACTGTTAATGTTTTTTTTCATTCATAATTTGACCGGACCGATGTTGCCATATTCAAATTATGTAAATGTTCCCAAAAACTTTTTACGTACAATTCCAAAAACCTTCTTTACTCAATGCGATTTGTAAAATTAATTGCGTAATTAATTCTGAAATTGTCCATTATTCCTATGAATCACAAAGACCAATAAAATGAGCTTTCGTGACGAACGTAACTAAGCTATGCATAATTTTCGTACCAGAAATGCGATATTAATTCTAAACGACAAACACTGGGATTTGCATTGCCGGAGTTAAGATATCGTGTGTTGTTTAACTAATATTTCAATGTATTGGTAACCCTAATGTAGCAAGGTATTTTACAACACGGCTGCACTCTAAGATGAAAATATTTTTTTCCCGAAACACTCTTAAAACAAATTATTTAGAAAACATTTGCCATTGCATAGTACAAACTCTTAGACAACATTTATTTAATCAAATAACATCGAACAGGTGTGATGTAAGTCATCGACGGCATTCACGCTTTGATGTCTATAGGCTCCGAAAACGACTTAACACCACGTGGATGTGAGCTTTTTCACAGGTTTATGGTTTTTTTTTTATCAGGAGCATTTAGCAGTGTTGAAAGAAGATGCCCCTAATGCTGACCAGACGAAACTGGAGCAGCTCATGTCAGCCGCGTACGCTCTCGTCAGTCCTGAGTTGCTGCAGATCAGCTTACCAGATTTTCCTGTGGATAGTCTTCATGTGGCGGCACTCATACTGGTTAGAAGAATATGTTTATTTCTAGATGATAGCTAACTTAGTACCACTTTTCTACCATATCTAGTAGGTCGGATCTTTTCATCGTGGATGAGAACCAAGTGAAACAAACTGCCTGGCCAAACCTGATAATTGTATGTACAAGAAATTTTAAGTGTCAATAATTTTGTTTTTAGAAAATAAATTCTAAACTTGACTAGTTGCTTCGGACGTCCGTAGGTATCCATGAAAACTGTAAGGTATTCGAATCGTTGCAAAAGAATATAATAAGAATAAATAACGCGAGATTAAACCGTAAAATTAGTGACAATTAAGGTAATTAACTAGTCGTCAAAATCGAAGAAATTACTGTAATTAAATAGTTATCATAAAGAATTTGGCTCAACTTAAATTATGTTAAATAATCGAGGAAAGTAGTGAAAGGGTTGTTACCCTTATATTACCCTCAGACACGGATGTTCTCAGTGGGTCACGTTTCGGATCCAGCAGTAGATTCTGCGAAGCACTGCTCTTGTTAGGGTTTCGAAGTTCGTCAGGTTAGGGCCCCTTACATGTCCGGTTACGCTGGCATAATACTCTAGATTACCAGCATAGGTAGGAATAAAAAAAACACATATATAATCAAGCATCAAGTCCAATGTACTGAAAGTTCTATTGTATTGCGAACCCCCTTACAAAGTTACGCTTCTTCTAACGTATCTCTGCTAAACAAATGAATGGTTTCAGATAGTAATTCGGCCATCTTTTCTTTTTTGTATCAAAACGATCACGCAATACCGTCATCACTGTGTGAACTTGGTTAAATTCAAGGTCTTGTGTGCGTTTGACGGTCATTTTCTTTTTGTTCGCGCGGCCATTTTGCGCAGAAGGGAATCATTATAATAATAATAAAGCTTTTTATTCCATACAAAAATAATTAACAAACAATGTGAACAGACATTAATGGATTAAAATAAATTCTATCAAAATTTTAGTTGCAATAGAGTATGGTAGTTAGTATGGTAGACAGCGACTTGGCTCTACCCCTGGCATTGCTGACGTCCATGAGCGACGGTAATCGCTCACCATCAGGTGGGCTGTTTGCTCGTCTTCCTACAAGGGCAATAAAAAAAAAAAAAAAAGAAATAAAAAAAAACACTACAAAATTACATTCAAATAGTAACCTTGCAGTAGTCCTACTAAGTCGGTCGGATATTGGTAGTGGTATACAATTTTTTTTTCTTAAATTTCATTAATTTGACAAACATTATTGAAGTTTTTCGCTCGTAAGAAAGAATCAGTTTGTGTATTCGTCTTAATTAAAACGCACACAAATCAAGCTAATGGTCCCCTAACGTACTTGCGGACAATTAAACGTTTTTGATTTAGATTCGACAAAACTTTGCCTGTCTAGTCACGTAGCTTGATTCACGACTGTTTGTCCAGATTCGAAACTGTTTGCACACGTTTTTTTATGTTTATTTATTGCTTAGATAGGTGGACAAGGTCACGGCCTACCTGGTGTTATGTGGTTACCGGAGCCCATAGACATCTACAACGTAAATTGTACCCATCCACCTTCAGACATGAGTTCTATGAGTTCTAAAGTTTCGCTTTTACCAGTACAACTCTGTGAATAGTAACTCAAGTTTGTGCAAGGATTTTTGTTAATTCGTTAAGTGCTGAGCTTATTTTCACATATTTTGCATAAATTAATTACTAAAGGATTTTTTAAAAAAAAGTACCTTATAAAAAGCACAGCAAAATAATTTGAAATGGTTATTTATAAAGGTTATTAAGTTATTAAAAATGTTATATGTACATACAAGCACACGCTAAGACAAGTCCATACAGGTCGATACCTAATATCTAGAATCAAACTGCGCAATAGTCGGTATTCCAACGCTACGTGTAGGCATTAATAGAGAGTCGATGTATCGACGGTTCGCGCTGAAAGGTTTTGTGATAATTTTGCGTTGCGTACGAACGCTGTGATTATTGTATTAACACGTGAAGTGGGGGCTTTAACCATTATTTTTATTATATCACTATTATTTTTATTACCTGTCCTGGTGAAACTGGAAAGGCCTTCGGGCCACCAGTAATCCTTCTATCATTAAAAAAATATCGTTTTTATTATGGACCATAAATCCATGTTGATCGACAACATGTTGTAAGATTTTTCTTTTTTTCAGGAAAGAAATCCGAAAATTCCTATACATAAGCTACTATACTTCCTTTACCCGTACAATACATTCCTGACGAGAGATCACGTGAAAAGCGTCGAAGGGGTTCTTCAGAACTTGCAGATGGACACGAAGCCGATCTGCAAGACGACACTGCAGGGTGTCGAGTTCAAAGGATCTGAAGCTTTAGTGAATATGGAAATGGACGGAGCTAAGGCGGAGTTTTGTGTGCCCCGGGGAGGACGGCAAACGGGACGGGAAAGGAAGGGGGTTGTCAAAACTGCATATCAAAGTCGGCTGCTGANCGTCGAAGGGGTTCTTCAGAACTTGCAGATGGACACGAAGCCGATCTGCAAGACGACACTGCAGGGTGTCGAGTTCAAAGGATCTGAAGCTTTAGTGAATATGGAAATGGACGGAGCTAAGGCGGAGTTTTGTGTGCCCCGGGGAGGACGGCAAACGGGACGGGAAAGGAAGGGGGTTGTCAAAACTGCATATCAAAGTCGGCTGCTGATCGAGCTGCTGATGACTCACAGCGTCGCTGACTTTTGCGTCATAGGTGAGTATCGTCAGCCTTTTGATCCTTGCTACTGATGTTTTTAGTGAGTTAGGCTTTGTCTAGTTGTGAGGCACATTATATTAGCAACAACATTTGGAAAGGCAGCAAGCAGATACTGTGAATGTTTTCCCCATTTTACCGACTGTTTAAATAGGGATAGTACTTGTTAAGCCTCTTATCGTGACCACCGCTAGTTACATATCCGGCTCAGGCGACGGGGCAAGGTAAAGCCGTCGGCGAACTAGCCCATAGACACAATTAGGGGGCCCGTGAGCTCGTCCACCCACTTAAGTAATAAAAAAAAACAGTGTCTTGCTTATTGCTGTTAGTTGTTGTAAGTTAGGCAGGAATGTTGATCCAACGCAATCCGGACTCTAGCTTGCTGTAGTCATTTGACACGAATTGCCTTTAGGTTCATTTACGCTAAGCAAATTCCTCAATTTCAGGTCCTAAAGGTTGCGGGAAAAGTCTTCTGGTATCCCAGTTAGCGTCATTACTGGGCTACACGATAGAACCGATAGTTTTGTACCAGGACATGACGGCCAGGGATCTGATTCAGCAGCGGACGACCCTGGACAGCGGCGACACGGTGTGGAGGAACTCGGCTTTAGTCGAAGCCGCCCTGAAAGGACATCTAGCGGTGCTCGACGGGTTGCACAGGATGCACGCCAGTACCTTGGCCGTGCTGCATAGGTTCGTAACGCGTGGACTGATCAATTGACACGTTGACTGCCGCGTAGGTCACCGGTGCCCTAAGCGGCGCCCTGAAGTAATTATCTAGATTTCTCTTTTCGATCTTCTTACTGAGGCGCCAGAATATCTAGTATCTTAAGAAGTCGTCGTGGCCTAAAGGATAAGACGTCCGGTGCATTCGTGTTGAGCGATGCACCGGTGTTCGTAATCCCAGGTGGGTGCCAATATTTTTAATGAAATACGTACTCAACAAATGTTCACGATTGACTTTCACGGTGAAGGAATAACATCGTGTAATAAATATCAAACCCGCAAAATTATAATTTGCGTAACTACTGATTGTAGGACGAGCTCACAACCCATCGGATGGTAAGTGGTTACTGGAATCCATATACATCTACAACGTAAATGCGCCACCCACCTTGAGATATAAGTTCTAAGGTCTCAAGTATAGTTACAACGGCTGCCCCACCCTTCAAGCCGAAACGCATTACTGCTCCACGGCAGAAATAGGCAGGGTGGTGGTGGTACCTACCCGCGCGGACTCACAAGAGGTCCCACCAGTTCACAAACAAAATTTTCTTTTTTTTTTTAAATAAAGACAAGAATGTTAATCTCACTGCCGTACCACATGATCTTTTGGCCATATAAATTATCCGATGCCTAAAGCACAGTTTGACGCTCCTCAGACTGGTCCACGACCGCGAGCTGCAACTGCACGACGGGACCAGGCTGCTGCGTCACGACAGGTACGACGAGCTGGTCGCCGCGGGGCACACGGAGGAGCAGCTCGATAAAAACGGAGTCAAGAGGATCCACCCATCGTTTAGGTAAATACAGAATTGCCTTGTTAGTCAATAGACAAGGCAAGCATCACCACACCTTGAACGGTTCCTAGCGTTATTGTTAACAACTATAATTCAGTTGGTCCTCAAAATTAGTGGGCAGGACCATCTTTTTTTTTTGCTTACCTAAGCTGATAGCCTTGAGAGGCTATGTCAGCGTAACTGAGCGAGTAGGTGAGCTCACGGAGCTCAAACCGGGAATGTTGCTAACACTGGCCGTAGCAAGATCGGCGCTTCGCAGAATCTACCACCGGATCGGAAACGCGACCCACTGAGAAGCTGTGTCTAAGTGGCGCACTTGTTAGTCAATAAACAAGGCAAGTATCACCACACCATGAAAGGTTTCACACATTATTGTTAACAAGCATAATTCAATTGGTCCTCAAAATCACTGAGCATAACCACCAGGAATCTATCGTTATCCTATCTACCTATAGCTATAGTTTGTTTCACTCGCACCCTATATCTTTTTCTTTCGTACGTCAAACGTCAATTTTCCGTTTAACAAAAGTAAACATTTTAATTTGTTAGTGTATTAATTAAATAATAATAATAATGGGAACAAATCACGCACGATTATCTAGCCCCAAATTGGGATCCCCTGTGGCTATGGGTACCAGATACCGATAAACACACTTATATATGTTTATATACATAATAGCCGTACTCGCCTGCTTCGCTGGTCATTTAAAAATAACATTATTATGTATTGTCATTATTATTAGGGAGTCCAACACTCATATAAATATTAGGCTCTCCATTAAGTACATGTATTTTCTACATGGATACCAAGTTTCAAGTCAATCGGATGCATGGTTCAGAAGTTATAACGGAACATCCGTAAAAACCACTGTAGATTTATATATTAGTATAGATAATACATACCCAGATGAAGAGCAAACAAACGTTTATCACACGAATGTTTGCGTGATGCGGGAATCGAACCTGCGACCCTCGGCGCAACATTCAGAGCGAGAGGAGAGATTGTTACAACGTGTTTTCTCTATTTACAGGATTGTTGCGTTAGCGGAACCACCGACAGTCGGTCGCGGTCAACACTGGCTGTCTCCGGAAATACTCAGCTTGTTCGTGTTCCACGAGATGAGGAACCTCAGTAAGGACGAGGAGATATTCATCATCAATACACTGGTAAGGCCTTCATGATATCATAGGTACACGACCAAGCGATTTAAAAATAACGACCTTTTTTTTTTATTCCTTATATGGGTGGACGAGCTCACGGCCCACTTGCTGTTAAGTGATTACCGGAGCACATAGACATCTACAATGTAAATGCCACCACCCACCTTGAGATATGTGTTCTAAGGTCTCAGTATAGTTACAACGGCTGCCCCACCTTTCAAACCGAAACGCATTACTGCTTCACGGCAGAAATAGGTGGGGTCGTGGTACCTAATAACAAGTGATGTTCTAATAACAAGCAACTAGTCAATTAAGAACACGCACGTCATAAAAGTGATATAAATTTGATGAAATAAATAGTTAGCTTTAAGGATGACTTATTCAGAAAAAAATACCCTTTTTATTCACCTAATCTTCGGTGATCTACGAGACGGCTTGTTGAGTATTTCTACAAATGGCCGTACAATTTTCAGTATGGCAACATTTCACCACCGCTGCAGACGATAATCGAATTAGCGGATGAACTTCGCAATTCCGACGATAACACTTTAAAGAGTTTATCTTCTTCGCTGTCCACTCGACAGCTGCTGAGGATAGCCAGTAGGATGTCTAAATATCCCACGGATTCGGCCTACGAGACGGTCCAGCGAACGTTCTTAGCCAAATTCCTGCCTAACTTAGCCAGGCGTGCTTTGGACAGCGTCAGCCAAAAGCTAGGCATCGAGCCGCCGAGAAAACTGGGCATTTTTGGTAGCAATCCTAACGAGACAACCGTGGCGTGTACAGTCAAGAACAACGTTCTTACCATCGGCAAAACCAGCACTGATATATTCAAAACGGACGCTTTGACCAAAGTACCCGATATTTTGTTCTACGACGTACCTCAACATATGCGCTTGTTGGAGTGGCTGCTACAGGACTTCCTGCTCGGCAACCATTTACTGCTGGTCGGCAATCAGGGAGTAGGAAAGAACAAGATCGCCGATAGACTCCTGCAGCTAATGAATCGGCCGCGCGAGTACATCCAGCTACACAGAGACACGACCGTGCAGTCCTTGACCGTACAACCGACCGTGAGAGATGGTGTCGTTATATATGAAGATTCTCCATTAGTGAAAGCAGTTAAATTTGGTCACGTATTAGTGGTGGACGAAGCTGACAAGGCTCCTACTCATGTGACGTGTATTCTGAAGACCTTGGTTGAGAACGGAGAGATGGTCCTGAGTGACGGTCGAAGAATCGTCCCTAAGGATATGATGGAGAGCTCAGGTGGCGAAGTGTCCAGCTTCATCCCCGTTCCCGATGACTTCAGGATGATCGTGTTGGCCAATCGACCTGGTTTTCCGTTTCTGGGCAACGATTTCTTCGCTTCTCTAGGTAAGTATTACGGACTTGCGCCAATAAAGAAATTAATCGAAAATGGCGTCCATGTACCTGCACTGACAGATGGTAGGGTCAACAATTAAAAAAAAGATAGAAAGAAAAAAAATGTTTATTGTAAAAAAAATTTAAAAAACAAATGGGAATGTACTTTACTTTACTTTATGCCCTGGCAGAGGAGGTGTCTCATCTGGGATGCAAACTTGCGTAGACACTTTTGCTGCCAGTCATCTAAGTCGCACAACTCGAAAGTGAGAAAAACTCGAACTCAACAAGAACTGATAGTCAGAACTGATATTTTTTTTTGCATACAGTAGTACGCGCCGTGTGTGACTAAAGACAGCAATAGTTTAGAGCGAGAGCGCATGATCGCCGCCGCCATTTTAGATTCGTTTCTTTATTGGTGCGGTTTATTTAGGAACTAACGATTTTTAGTAACACTGTATAAAATTGCAATTAATCTATATATTAATAAGTGAAGCAAAAACTTTGTATCCTTTTTTATGCAAATTGCGCGGACGGAGGAGTATGAAATTTTCCATACTTATAGAGAATATAGAGAAGAAGTGCACAATGCTAATATTTTTTTAAAATAATGCATAAAAGATACATTAAATCAATAAAGAAAACATTACACACACTACATACCATGTATTGTATTTGACGCACACACGCATGCATACTATTTATTGTCAAACTTTTGTTCTTGACGTCTGCTGTTGTCAAATTGAGAATATTTTATTAATGTTCCAACTGCTCCTTAGCTTCGAATTACCCCTTAAGAGCGTACCAGAGAGGTTGTCATCTTACTCGTACAGGTCAGTTAATCTTTAAAGATGCGTCCCAGGTGATCTGTTCTCGTGTCACGCCGTCGACAATCCCTCGATCGATTCGGAGATGGAGCTTCTCCGCTCGTACGGACCAGACGTGCCTCGGGATGTCATGAAGAAGCTGGTGCAGGCCTTCGCTGTGCTGAGGGAGAAGGCTGATCAGGGACAGTTGACGTATCCTTATTCGACGAGGGAGCTGGTCAATATTGTCAAGCATTCGCAGGTCGGTGATGAATACGGGGGGCTAACACTCTCCTCCCCCCCCCCCTCTCAATTAAGTGTTTTTAAGATTTGTTATTTTATTTTCCTAGGTCAGTGTAATACGTAAATACAACTTAAACTACATACTTTTACGGTTTACAATTTTAAGTCATATATATTTTTATTTTATTTGGTAATTTAACAGTTTTTTTTTCTGTGGCCACGGATAACAGAGGTCTTTCTTATACGTTATACATTAGAATTTTCTGCTAATTAACTATACGACTTTTTGTAGGAAATTTAATTAGCGAAAGTAGTGTTCATTTCTTTTTTTTTTATTTCTTAGTTAGGTGGACGAGCTCACAGCCCACCTGGTGTTAAGTGGTTACCAGAGCTCATAGACATGTACAACGTAAATGCGCTACCCACCATGAGATATAAATTCTAAGGTCTCAAGTATAGTTACAACGGCTGCCCCACCCTTCAAACCGAAACGCATTACTGCTTTACGGCAGAAATAGACAGTGGTACCTACCCACGCGGACTCACAAGAGGTCCTACTACCAGTAATTACGCAAATTAAAATTTGCGGGTTTGATTTTTATTACACGATGTTATTCCTTCACCGTGGAAGTTAATCGTGAACATTTAATGAGTACGTATTTCATTAGAAAAATTGGAACCCGCCTGCGGGATTCGGGCACCGGTGCATCGCTCAACACGAATGCACCAGACGTCTTATCTTTTGGGCCACGACGACTTATTCGCGAATGAATCTACCACCGGATCGGAATCGGCATTAGAGGTCCTACCATTATTAACCTCTATCGTTTCATGTTGATTTCTAGAGATACCCAGACGAAGATCTGGCCACAGCGATCGGCAACGTGTTCGATTTCGACAGGTACAGCAAGGACGTGTCGGACACGTTGTTGGAAGTGCTCCACTCTAGCGGGCTGCCGACAGATGGCGTGCTCGAAGGCCGCTCGAAGGACCTCAAGAAGCTTCAGATGACCATAGAGAGGACCAGCGGGTACGTGTCATTCACGAGTCAATTTCTTTTCGCTTCGGAAACATTTAATTTTATTATTGATAGCCGAGTCCCGCGATGTTACCCGCGGTTATTGTCGTATGCGGGTGACGCTGCAGGGCGAAGCTAGTCTAAAAAAAGTGGCCCACGTTACTCCTTATATCATAAGCTACCTATCAGTGAAAGTCTCGTCAAAATCGGCCGGAACAGCAGACAAAAAATTGTAAAAAATGTTATTTTGATGTACCGTATATACATGCATATGCATGTAGTAAAAAGCGGTTATATCAATATTACAAACAGACATTCCAATTTTACTTATATGTATAGATATACATACAAATATGAACAATGTAATATTAATAATAACATAAATATAACATTAAAAATGTAAATAAATTATTCGTATAGCAAAGACGTGTCGTCGCCGAAGCACGGCAAGGAAGACCCGGACAACAAGCCGCACGTGGGCGGGAACACGTGGGCGGGCGGCACCGGGGGGCGCGACACCGCGGGGCTCGGGGGGAAGGGGGGACCCTACCGCCTGGACAAGGGACACGACGTGCACCAGGTGACGTCACCAATAACTAGCGACATCTAGCGGTTGAAAGGATTGAGTCGTACATTTTAAATCCATTCGCCTATTTATTGGAAAGTCCCGGAATGAAACAAAAAGTACTAAATTAAATAGTGTTCGACACTGGCAACATTTTATTTGTTCTATACTCTTTCGAAAATATGAATGTCCCGTAAAAAATAAAACCTTTAGTATTTTTTTCGGTTTTTGCTAGTACTAGACTTAATTGAAACCACTGTTTCATTGGTCAGTGATACAAAGATCATTTAGCATTCGTAGCGTTCGAATAGTATAATGACAGTTAAAAACAAAAAAAAAGCGAAATTATACTTATAATAATAAATAACTGGGAACAAATCACGCCCGGTCATCCGGCCTCAAATTAGGATTACCTGTGGTTTTTTTATTGCCTTGTAGGCTGACAAGCATACGCCCCACTTGATGGCGAATTGTTACTGTCGCCCAATGAACGTCAGCAATGCAAGGGGCAGAGCCAAACTGCCTATAGACTGTTTACTTATATACAATTTACACATATAGATAACTAGCTTTTGCCCGCGACTCCGTCCGCGTGGAATAGTTACTTTGGCATAACGCTAAATTTTACCCCTCACTTCATTTACGTACAAACTGAAAATATTTTGAAACATTCTTTATTGGTGCTCCACTTGTATGGGTCTCATGATGTTATATCCTTCCTCAATAAACAGGCTATCTAACACTGAAATAATTTTTAAAATCGGACAAGTAGTTCCTGAGATTAGCGCGTTCAAACAAACAAACTCTTCAGCTCTATAATATTAGTACAGATAAACACCCAGACGACAAAGTTGTCCATAACATTAAACTATACAATTAGTTTTAATTGTTATAATCTCTGGTTCAGTTGTCAGACGCCGAGAAGGCCGACGTGCCGGAGCACGTGCGGCGCGCCGCCCGCGAGATGAACAGGAAGGCGTTCGAAGAGAGGCTGAAGGAGATCAAGATGAGCGAGTACGACGCCAAGCTGTACGAGCAGTTCCACAGGGCCGTGCAACCCCAGGTGCGGACCACACTATAGTAGAATTATTTTGTCCGTGCAGCTTGGGTCATAAAACATAGCCCGGCTAGGGCGGGGAGCATGTTGCGCGGGCGCAACGCCATTATCGATAAAAGTAAATGAGTCATCGAAGGCGGCGGCGGGGTGGTATACGAAGGGTGGTGAGACATTGTTATGTTATGAGTCGTTTGTCACTTACCTACAAATTATAGTACATTATATCGAAGAGAAATGTGTTTTTATGCATTCGTTCTCTGAATTTCTTTAGTGACACAATGGCTACTCCTTTGTTTTGTATCAAAACGGCAGAATTTATTCAAAATAATATATGCAGGTCTTGTTATCAGTAATGTGTTAAAAAATTTCACTGAAATAAGAATAGATCCCGAAAAGTTACAAAGTGTTAATTTCTGCCGTTCTCGTTAACTTGCTGCGGCGATATGTGGTGTAAGTGTTCGACTAGTGATTTTTTCTTTCATTTTATCACTAACCCACAAAATGACAAAACTAAATACACTATCGATAACGCTTATCGACTACAATAATGCGCATCACTATGCCCGTCTATAAGGCTCCTGTGTGGAAGAGAGAGCGAAATACTCGCTTCACCGCTCCGATTTTTTATGACCCAAACTGCACGGACAAAATAATTCTACTATAGTCTGTTGTTTTTTCCTCCTACCTATGCTTGAGAGGTCGTCGTGGCCTAAAGGGTAAGACGTCCGGTGCATTCGTGTTGAGCGATGCACCGGTATTCGAATCCCGCAGGCGGGTACCAATTTTTCTAATGAAATACGTACTCAACAAATGTTCACTATTGACTTCCACGGTGAAGAAATAACATCGTGTAATAAAAATCGAACCCACAAAATTATAATTTGCGTAATTACTGGTGGTAGGACCTCTTGTGAGTCCGCGCGGGTAGGTACCACCGCCCTGCCTATGCCGTGAAGCAGTAATGCATTTCGGTTTGAAGGGCGGGGCAGCCGTTGTAACTATACTTGAGACCTTAGAACTTATATCTCAAGGTGGGTGGCGCATTTACATTGTAGATGTCTATGGGCTCCGGTAACCACTTAACAATAAGTGGGCTGTGAGCTCGTCCACCCATCAAAGCAATAAAAAATGCATATATCCTAATATTCTTTTCAGATTGGCGCGCTGCGTGGGGTCCTAGCAGAGCTACAAGCCAAGGCTAAAGAGAGGCAATGGAGCCGACACCAGACCAGCGGTGAACTCGACGACGGGAAAATAATTGAAGGTAGTTAAATCATGTATACATTGCGCCGCATGTATGGGAGACGATGCCAAAGTTGAAACTACATTATTTATTTAACTGATACATAACAGAAAGTAATTACTCGAGACAGTTTCAATGGTGTTAGGATGTATTTTAAGCATGCATGGGTTGATACCAGAGTCTTGCCTTATCATGTCGCCCAGTCATAGGCTTCGACCTGATAATATCTATACTCAATATCAGCTTTATGACAGAAAAAAAACTGTGATCTTGACTCGTGAATAATTTAGATATTAAACATTTAAAGAGATATATATTAGTATATATTAGGAGAGTATTAAGCGTTAGGCTGCGGCTTGGCTCTGTCCCTGACATTGCTGAAGTCCACCGGCGACGGTAACCACTCACCATCAGGTAGGCCGTATGCTCGTCTGCCTACAAGGGTAATAAAAAAAATATACATATGTACATATAACAGGTTTGACCGGAGAGAAGACGATATATCGACGCCGCACGGAGCAGCCGCCGCCAGAGGGCGCCCCGCCGGACAAACCGAAACGGCTCAGACTAGTTGTAGACGTTTCCGGCAGTATGTACAGGTATGCACATGATTATAGTCTAGTTAAGTGAGGTATTTGATGGATTGCATATCGTCGTTATCAAACCAAAATCTGCTATGTGCACTTTTTGACATTTTTACTTTTTGACCTTTTCGTATAGTTCACAGCCCTATCTACCGTATAAAAAAAACTGTTATGTGTCTATAGCTTTAATATTTATCTATAGCTTTCATTTGATATATGTAGTTCTTAAAAATTCACCTTCATATAAAACTTTATACGAAAATGTTTTTACTCGTTAAATAAAAATAGAGTTTTTGCACATAGCAGATCTTGGTTTAACAGCGACGATATCCTCTTTTGTTTTTTATTATTAGCATTACGAAAGAATAGTGACAGATTGAAATTCAAATATTGACGCTAAAACTCTTTAATATCTACAAATTAAAAAAAAAGAGAGTCGGCTAATGTACACAAAGGGAAATCGTACTTATTCAGATGTCTATACGCTTCGATAACAACTTAACACATGAATGTTGAAGGTTATCTCTACTATCGGCTCCAAATTGTTCGATATGGTGGGCCAGTGTTTGTCTCCGGTATTTATGTTGGACTAATTTGGACTAATTGTAAAAGCCCAGGGAAATTCTAAAAAAATATATCCCCTGCATACAAAAAAAATATATATGACGTTGTCAATATATAGATATTGGCGTTCACGGATACTGTATCTAATAAATTGTGCATGAAGTATATTGGGACTACACTAAAGGTGGCTTGTTGGGGGTTGATGCTTCCCGCTTCCGTAGGTTTAACCCGCGATTCCCTACAAGTAACCCCTGGGTGGTGCTAAACGGGAGCCGAAAACACAATCGGTGGTAGGACCTAGTCCGACTGGCTGGCGACCACCCTCCAACTAGAGTCTGCCGCCAAATAGCCTAGCTGTGTTCCGGCATGTGGGTTGGAGAGCCAGTTCTATTCCTTTNTCCACTGTACGCAAGCGTACTTTTGGGAGCAAGCGGAATGAGGGCGCGGTGCGGGACGCAAGGTTCGACTGATCTACCAATAACGCGCTCGATACGATTTCCCCTGCCGTCGCGCCTCACCCTCACCACCAAAGTGACCTAAAATTCGGTTCTGCGCAGTCAAGGTCATTTGCTCAAGAAGTTTGCCGATTACTATACCAAACATTCGTAGCGTGCGAATAGTATAATTACAGTAAAAAACGCAAAAAAAGAAGAGATTCTATCAATAATAATTAATAAATAAATAAACGGGAACAAATCACGCACGGTCGTTCGGACCCAAATTATGATTCCCTGTGTTTTTTTTTATTGCCCTGTAGGCAGACGAGCATACGGCCCAATTGATGGTGAGTGGTTACCGTCGCCCAATGAACGTCAGCAGTGCCAAGGGCAGAGCCAAGCTGCCTACCGTATGGGGACCTGAGACATACATACTTATATACGCTTTACACATATAGATAATAAACACCCAGACAAATAACATACAATCTCTTTTTCTTTTTTTCTTTTTTCTCCACCTTATCCCACTAGGTGGGGTCGGCACAGCAAATTTTTCTCTTCCATTCTCTTCTATCAACCGTCATCTCAACACTCACTCCTCTCTCTCTCTCATATTGTCATTCACACACTCTATCCATGTCTTCATCGGTCGACCTCTTCTCCCTCTACTTGCACTACCATTTTCATAAATCTCCTAGTCACATGCATCTTCTCTCTACTCATCACATGTCCATACCACGCTAACCGTCCGCTGTTTAATTTGTTGCTTACCGGGGCCACTTTCACACTTCCTCTGATATACTAATTCTTTATCTTGTCCATTCTTGTCACTTCATACATCCATCTTAATATTCGCATCCCCCATGCACACAAATAACAAACAATGTTGTCCATAAAGTTAAACCATTTTTTTACTGGTGGTTAAGACTTCTCGTGAGTCCGCACGGGTAGGTACCACCGCACAGCCTATTTCTGTCGTGAAGCAGTAATGCGTTTCGGTTTGAAGGGTAGGGCAGCCGTTGTAACTATACTGAGATCTTAGAACTTATATCTCAAGGTGGGTGGCATATTTACGTTGTAAATGTCTATGGGCTCCAGTAATCACTTAACACCAGGTGGGCTGTGAGCTCGTCGAACCATCTAAGCAATAAAAAAAAATACAATTAGTTTTAATTGTTATCATCTCTGGTTCAGTTGTCAGACGCCGAGAAGGCCGACGTGCCGGAGCACGTGCGGCGCGCCGCCCGCGAGATGAACAGGAAGGCGTTCGAAGAGAGGCTGAAGGAGATCAAGATGAGCGAGTACGACGCCAAACTGTACGAGCAGTTCCACAGGGCCGTGCAGCCCCAGGTGCGGACCACACTATAGTAGAATTATTTTGTCCGTGTAGTTTGGGTCATAAATAATCGGAGCGGTGAAGCGAGTATTTCGCTCTCTTTTCTACTCACGAGCCTTATGGACGGGCATAGTGATGCGCATTTTTATTTTCGATAAACGTTATCGATAGTGTACTTAGTTTTGTTATTTTTTGTGTTAGTAATAAAAATGAAAGTAAAAATCACTAATCGCTTTGTAACGCTTTCTGGATCTATTTTCATTTCAGTGAAAAATTTTAACACATTGTTGATAACAGTCGTCGTCAAAGAAGTCGTCGTGGCCTAAAGACCTAAAAGATAAGACGTCCGGTGCATTCGTGTTGAGCAATGCACCGGTGTTCGAATCCCGCAGGCGGGTACCAATTTTTCTAGTGAAATACGTACTCAACAAATGCTCACGATTGACTTCCACGGTGAAGAAATAACATCGTGTAATTAAAATCAAACCCGCAAAATTATAATTTGCGTAATTACTGGTGGTAGGACCTCTTGTAAATCCGCGCGGGTAGGTGACACCACCTTGCCTATTTATGCCGTGAAGCAGTAATGCACTTCGGTCTGAAGGGTGGGGCAGCCGTTGTAACTATACTAAGACCTTAGAACTTATATCTTAAGGTGGGTGGCGCATTTACGTTGTAGATGTCTATAGGTTCCAGTAATCACTTAACAACAGGTGGGCTGTGAGCTCGTCCACCCATCTAAGCAATTTTTTTTTTTTGCATAAATCCTCATATCGTTTTCAGATTGGCGCGCTGCGTGGGGTCCTAGCAGAGCTACAAGCCAAGGCTAAAGAGAGGCAATGGAGCCGACACCAGACCAGCGGTGAACTCGACGACGGGAAAATAATTGAAGGTAGTTAAATCATGTGTACATTGCGCCGCAGGTATGGGAGACGATGCCAAAGTTGAAACTACATTATTTATTTAACTGATACATAACAGAAAGTAATTACTCAAGACAGTTTCAATGGTGTTAGGATGTATTTTAAGCATGCACGGGTTGATACCAGAGTCTTGCTTTATTATGTCGCCCAGTCATAGGGTCTTCGACCTGATAATATCTATACTCAATATCAGCTTTACGACAAAAAAAAAACTGTGATCTTGACTCGTGAATAATTTAGATATTAAACATTTAAATAGACTAATATATATTAGTATATATTAGGAGAGTATTAAGCGTTAGGCAGCGGCTTGGCTCTGCCCCTGGCATTGCTGAAGTCCACGGGCGACGGTAACCACTCTATGCTCGTCTGCCTACCAGGGTAATAAAAAAATATACATATGTACGTATAACAGGTTTGACCGGAGAGAAGACGATATATCGACGCCGCACGGAGCAGCCGCCGCCAGAGGGCGCTCCGCCGGACAAACCGAAACGGCTCAGGCTAGTTCTAGACGTTTCCGGCAGTATGTACAGGTATACATACACAAGATTATAATTAAAGTTAAAAGAAGTTTTATTTGGATTGCATATTCTCTTTTGTTTTTTATAATTAGCATTACGAAGAAATAGTGACAGATTGAAATTCAAATATTGACGCTAAAACATTTCAATATCTACAAATTAAAAAAAAAAGTCAGCTGACGAACACAAAGGAAAATCGTACTTATTCAGATGTCTATACGCTTCGATAACAACTTAACACATGAATGTTGAAGGTTATCTCTACTATCGGCTCCAAATTGTTCGATATGGTGGGCCAGTGTTTGTCTCCGGTATTTATGTTGGACTAATTTGGACTAATTGTAAAAGCCCAGGGAAATTCTAAAAAAATATATCCCCTGCATACAAAAAAAATATATATGACGTTGTCAATATATAGATATTGGCGTTCACGGATACTGTATCTAATAAATTGTGCATGAAGTACACTAAAGGTGAAATATAAATTATTAATAAGCCAATGAAATAAAAATTAATATATTGAGGGTGATTTGATATTGCTTTCGAACTCAGAAGCAACGGTTTTGCCACATGTCTAAGTTATGGGGACGAGTTTCGAAGTCGATGACTTTTAAAAGGTGAAATTCAATCGATCTTATCGATGAATCATTTATCGATTGTATTCACATCTCTAACTATGAAGTATGGTAGCTCTTTGTTTGGTGATGTCGAACTTAAATACTTATTTTGTTTTTTAAGCAAATAATAAGGCTCAAATTATTTAATTAAATTACATACTTGCGTAATGTGTGCATTTTTTTAAATATATTAAGAAGTAAAGAAAAAAAAATTGTCGATACGATACGATCCATATGAACCATATCAATATTAACCATATTATTATAAATTCCCAGACATCATTTTTTTTTTATTTATTAGGCACACAATACACATTAGAAAATAAAAAAAATACACAATAAGTAACAACAGGTAACAAAAAAAAACTGCCTTGTAACATAAGCACAAATTATAGCAATAAAATTGTACCAAAACAGGTTTAATTCGTACGACGGTCGTCTGGAACGTTCCATGGAAGCCGTGGTGCTCCTCACCGAGGCGCTGCGGGGCTACGAGTCCAGGATCAAGTACGACATGTACGCGCACTCCGGGGAGGAGCACGCCCTCGAGCTGGTCAGGGCGGACCGGCCGCCGGAAAACGAAAAGCAGAGATTAGAGGTCAGTTCTTAGGAGTAGATAGGAGTAGATTTCAAACTCGATGAAACGAAAAAATAAGTCCATAGAGATACAAACACATAAATGTATAGGATTCAGCCGGCGAGAGAATGAGACTGAACACATTAGACGTTCACAGTGTAGTGTTTTTTTTAATACAGCGCCATCTATGAGATGTTTTAATACTAACGTGTGTATGAAACCTCTAGTAGTGAATTTAAATTTTGGATTTACAATTATTTACCAATGACTAAATTTTACATGTGCTTAGACATTTGGATAATTGTATTTAAATTTTTGAAGGTTTCACTTCTACCACGTGTGATTTGCACACGTTTTTATTTTATTTTATTGCTTAGATGGGTGGACGAGCTCACCACAGCCCTCCTGGTTTTAAGTGGTTACCGGAGCCCATAGACATGCACAATGTAAATGTCCTACCCACGTTGATATATAAGTTATAGGGTCTCAGAATAGTTACAACGGCTGCCCACCCTTCGAACCGAAACGCATTACTGCTTTACGGTAGAAATAGGCAGGGTAGTGGTGCCTACCCGTGCGAACTCGCAAGAGGTCCTACCACCAGCAATACCTAGTCTACCTAAGCTGGTACCCTTAGAGTGTTATGCCGAGTGAGTAGGTGAGCTCACGGGGCTCTAATCTGATGACGTTGCTAATATTAACCGTAGCCAGAGCAGTGCTTCGCTGAATCTACCATCAGATCCGAAACGCGACCCACTGATTAGAACGAGAAAATCAGCGGGTTGGCGTTATCTCAATCTCTCGACGAGTAAATAGTAAATAAAACGTTTTCTATTCTCTAATACATAAGGTTGAATATTGACAGATAATAAGAACAATGCACGCGCACGCGCAGTTCTGTTGGTCCGGGGACAACACCCTGCCGGCGGCCCAGCACGCCATCTCCACGCTCGCCGAGGAAGACGCGGACGAGGCCATCGTTCTGATACTCTCCGACGCGAACCTGAGGAGGTGAGGATCTGCTGCCATGAGTGATAACTAGAGGTCGGAGTAGGTAGATTGATTTAAGGTCGTTGACGTCAAACGTAGAGGATAATATGGATATGGCTCCAAAATACCAGAACTTCATATTTATTGTGATATTTGTTCCGGAATTTTGAAATTAGCATGAATCTGTGTTTAAGGTGAAAAATGTATTAATAATATTAATCTACGCTACCAGTGCTAAGTAATGGTGAAAGAAATCAGTATTCTATTTTATACAAAAACATTTTGGAATAGTTACACCGTATTTTGTCCCTTTCTGTTGAATTAGAAATGACGCTTGTCAGTATGAGACAAAACATAGACAGGGCTTTTTGTTACTTTACTCATAAATATAGAAATTGTATCCGGCTCCCCGGTAACCGTACTCGTCGAACTCGACAAAGAGTTCGCCGTGCAACCTAACCCATGAATCAGCTCGCTGAGTTTCTCGCCGGATCTTCTCAGCGGGTCGCGGTTCCGATCCGGTAGTAGATTCATTCGCGAAACAATTGCTCTTGAGTTGTTAGGTCTCCTTCGGAGGCGCTCGGGCAGTTGTTAGCAAATCCCACCCCTCTTGGCTGAGCCTTTGCTCGCCCACCTGTCCTGGTGAAACTGGAAAGGCCTTCGGGCCACCAGTAAACTTTCAATCATTTGTATCCGATGAGGATTAAAAATATTATTTTTCAATTTAAAAAAATAATCATTATGGATAAAATGGCTTGTCCATAATATTATAATATCTTGACGCAAGTATATAAAATCAATTTACCTTCTCCGACTACTGGTGATAACCGACCTCGCTCATGGTATTTTAAGCTTTATTTCCTCGTACCCAGGTACGGGATTCCTCCGGAGCGTTTGGGTGCCATTCTGACCGCGGAGCCCAAAGTTCAAGCGCACGTCATATTCATCGGCAGCTTGGGAGATGAAGCCAATTCGTAAGTGTTTTTTTTTGTTAAATTTAAAGTATACTCGCGGTGGTCGAATGGCTCGTGTCCCACACGGGTATGTACCGCTGTCCTGTTTTTTGTGCCACGAAGCAGTCACGTGTTTCAGTTTGATGGGGTTCAGCCGTTTTATCATGGAACTGAGACTTAGAACCCATGTCTTAAGGCATTTACATTATTGATGTGTATATTCGTTCGAGTCAGTCGGGTGTTGACGAGCATGAATGTTATCAGTTATCAGAAGAAACGTGCTCTTGTGTTTGTAAACATTTTTTTTAGTATATATAGCTCTTGACAAATGCTTGCAGCATTAATTTTTTATTTATTGCTCAGATGGGTGGATGAGCTCACGACCCACCTGGTATTAAGTGGTCACTGGAGCCCATAGACATATACAACGTAAATGCGCCATCCACCTTGAGATATAAGTTCTAAGGTCTCAGTATAGTTACGTATTTCATTAGAAAAGTTGGTACCCGCCTGCGGGATTCGAACACCGTTGCATCGCTAGATACGAATGCACCCAACATCTTAAACTTAAGGCCACGACGACACTATGACCAATAATGTTGTAAATATAATGTTCAGACTGCTGAGGAGGCTGCCGGTGGGTCACGCGCACGTTTGCATGGACGTAGCGTCGTTGCCGCACATCATGCAGCAGATATTTGCGTCCTCGCTGCTGCAGACCTCATGATTGCACCGGAGCCATACCGGGTGCTGGTCACCTGTGGTATAATGGATGGAGATATTACCAACCAATTATTTACTTATAACCAACAAACAAATAAATAATAAATAATTGGAAACATCCAGAATTTTCCCACCTCGTTACATACATGATGCTTTAATCGAAAACTGCGGGTAGGGTGCTCGAAGCAGAAAAACTTGTCCAAGCAACCAACCAAGTATTTACTTATTACCAACCAACCGAACTATTACCAACTAATAACCAACCAAATTATAAAACTATTTAATATTCATAAACACTACGTAAAAGTCATATTTCAATTCAACAAATTTAAATCTCACAAAAGCATTGTGACATCCCAGATTTGTCCCTATTCTACCCCTAGTCCCTAATCCCCCAAATCTACGGTACCCAGAGAAAAGTCTTAATGATGGTGGGGTTTCCTGTGATCTCCTACCCACACGGATATTAGTATGATGTATACTGATCCTTTATTGTCTTCGTAAACAATTTTGTATGATCTAAAATTAATAAAACAGTGCTGCAAAACCTAAATCATTTAAGAAACACAATCTTAGAATATTATTGAAGATTTTTATAGACCTGACAATGGCTATTAAGTTGAGTAACCAATGGCCGTAAAAAAAAAGACAACTCTATTGTTTTGAATTAAACCATGATTCATTGTCCATATTCTAATCTAAAATGTAACATGTGATATTTAATTATTACTTTTAGGTTATAATATTTTATATTTATATATTTTGAAGATATATATTGAAATGTTGTAGTAATAATAATTTATTGATAAAGTTTTTGAAAGTGAAGGTATTTTAATAAAAAAACAATAATTGCATACTAACCTTTATTTTTCATCACCCTAATCCTACGCTACGTACAATTAGTATGATCTACACGGATCCTTTATTGTCATCGTATGCAGACGAGTATATGTCTCATTGGATGGTCAGTGGTTACCGTCTATTATGGGCGATGCCAGAGGTACAATTAGGTACCACAACCCTGCCTGTTTCTGTCGTGATACCCTGCCTGTCTTTCGGCTTGAAAGGGGTGGGGCAGTTGTTGTACTGTTAAAACTGAGACTTTCTTTTTATTGCCCTTGTAGGCAGACGAGCATACGGCCCACCTGATGGTAAATGGTAATCGTCGCCCATGGACTTCAGCAATGCCAGGGGCAGAGCCAAGCCGCTGCCTACCGCTTAATACTCTCCACAAGCCGCGTTTGAAGAAGGACATGTCACAGAGCTCGGGAAAGACCTCTTACCCCTTGGCCACAGCCGAGAGCGGTGCGAATTGCGGTGCGTCGTGAGGCGCGGCAAGCGGGAGCGGCGAAAACAAATGGTAGACAACCTATGAAGTATGCCACAGCTACTGGCGGTGCGTTTTGCGGTGCGTTGCGAGGCGCGGTGAGAGGCGCGTGACATCTGGCGGCGACGAGCTGCGCCATGTGCGAGTGAAACAAATGTACTAGACAATATGGAGGCGGCCACAGTTCAGAGCGGCGCGCGCGGCGGTGTCGGTGGACGCATTGAGGCATCGCGCGACCGAAACAAATCATTTTGTTTTTACCGCGCGTTGAGCTAATAAAATATAATGGATGTGGAACAATTCATTAGTGAAATACTGAGTAGACCAGAAATATGGATGTTAAAACATCCACATCATAAATATAGGCATGTTATAAAAAAAATGTGGGACGAAATAAAACAACAATTTTCTGGTACTAATGGTTTCCTAGATACTCTTGGATAGGATTATTGAAATAAAATTTGAAATTTGAATTGATTTCGTATTCTAGATGCTTGAACCGTTGCTCGATTATTCCGTCTTGATCTGCGTACGCTATTGTGAATATTGGAGTCTCCAAACTGGGAAACAAACTGCTGAAAATCTGCATCTCTGTCTCCATCACTTTCTTTTAAGGCACGAAACCTTTATAATCAATGTCGCGTGCTTTTTGTTTGCCTTTACACTTTTCGTAAAAATACGAAATTTATTAGTTAGAATACCAAACGCGTACTGAATTGTGACACTTGCCCGGGATAATATTTTGTCGAAAATTATTTGTTCCGCATTTAAACTACCCGGTGGATATGGGCGCATCAAATAATTTTTAAGAGGATAGGCTTTATCAGCAATTAACACGTATGGTAAATTGAGATTTGAACCTGGTAATCTCTGTGAAGGTTGAATCTATTAATAATCTATTTATCGGGATAGTTCTTATATTCCTAATATTCCTAATATAATACCTAATAAATAGGGTGAAATTCGCCAAGTCCTCTCTTTTTCTAACTGGGTGCGCTCCTATTCTTAATTGAATAATATCTTCAGCTAAGAACGCACTTATTTCAAGGTAATATCGTGCCACTTTTGAAAGGGAAATTTGATAGGGCTTTCTAAATACGTCCACCTCTGACGCCGCCGCCGTCGCAACTAGTCTAGCTGTGGCATACCCCCGCAAATCACGCCGCCCGCCGCGCCTCGCAACGCACCGCAAAACGCACCGCCAGTAGCTGTGGCCAGGCCCTTAGAATTCATGTCTCAAGGTGTGTAGCGACTTTCAGGTTGTAGATGTCTATGGGCTCCGGTAATCACTTAACACCAGGAGGGCCAGGGGCCGTGGCCGCCATTAATTCCAAATGATGTTTTTTGGAATTTTTATTTTTATTACACGATGCTATTCTTTAATCGTGGAAGTCATTCATGCGTCAACAAATCATGTCAATTTCGTTTGAAATATCAGTACCTGTTTGTGGGACGGTATTTAATTACCAAGACATTCGCATCGCTCGAAGAGAATGTATCGGGCGTCTTATTCTTTAGGCCTCGATGGATAAGTGTTGACCGTGGAATCTCCCTTACCTTGACCCGAGATCCGTTCCAGGCGGTGATCGGACGTCGGCAGATCATGATCAATGGGTTTAATCGGTAGTCATCTTGTAGCCTGACAAAACTCGGCCTGATGCCCCATCGGCTGGGTATCTGAAAATTGGATTCCCCAATGTTACAAAAAACACTCACTGGAGAACGGTAATTTTATTTGAGCTTTACTTTGGCAAACAGGGATTTACTAGCTTTAGGGCGTATTATCGGCCTTCCTCAAGCTGAATTCTGTAAGTTCGCCCACCGATCAAGGAGCCTTGTATATTCATTATATTCAAATACTTCCACGTAGTCCGCTTTATTTTTATTGCTTACATGGGTGGACGAGCTCGCAGACCCCCTGGTGTAAGTGGTTACTGGAGCCCATAGACATCTACAACGTAAATGCGCCACCCACCTTGAGATATAAGTTCTTAGGTCTCAAGTATAGTTACAACGGCTGCCCCACCCTTCAAACCGAAACGCATTACTGCTTCACGGCAGAAATAGGCAGGGTGGTGGTACCTTCCACTATTAGACCTAACACTATTAGACGCCTGCAGCTCTAACGCTAGGAGCAGGTATAGAGGATCTTGGTAATCTTACTCGTCGAAAAGCTCGACGCGAAATCTAACCTATAACATCGGACTGCTGAGTATCTCGCCGGATCTTCTCAACGGGTCCCCATGCCGAACCATTAGTACATGCATTCGCCAAGCAGCTAGCTGCCTTCGAGCTGTTTGCAAATCCCACCCCTCACTGCTGAGTCCGTCTTTCCTGGTGAAACTTGAAATACTTCTGGCCCACCAGCAGTCAATCCAACAAAAAAAAGAAAAGCGACGATTGAATTGCGGGAAATGTTCGCGTTATATGTTAAAGTTCTCGAGAATTATTATAAATATATACAGGAAGCTTGTTGACAACACAAAATGTTTCGTTAACGAACACAAACAGATCGTTAAAGTTTAATGGATAAACTTTTCATCGGCGAACGTTATAGAAAATTATACGAACGCAATAAAACATAATTAAGTACAAAAAGTAAATTATTGGATATTATTAAGCTTGATACAGACCGTGAAGTATAATGTTAATTTATTTTTCACACGAAAAGATGTCTTTTTAGCTATGTGGTTTGTTATTTGTATTCTCGGGATATTATGCTCCGAACACATAAAAGTCAAACACACCAATTCAACAATATAATAATATAATATTTGTACAATGTTCTATTATAAAGTAAAAAGAGTAAACAAGTCGCTAGGTACTACAAGGCACAAATTAAAACTAAAATTATAATACGTTTTACAATCAACTTAAATCGACGAGCGCGAATCTCGCAGTTTTTTTTTTATGATTGAAGGATTACTGGTGGCCCAGAGGCCTTTCCAGTTTCACCAGGACAGGTCTGCGAGCAAAGGCTCAGCTAGGAGGGGTGGGATTTGCTAACAGCTACCCGAGCGCCTCCGAAGGAGACCTAACAGCTCAAGAGCAGCTGCTTCGCGAATGAATCTACTACCGGATCGGAACCGCGACCCGCTGAGAAGATCCGGCGAGAAACTCAGCGAGCTGATTCATGGGTTAGGTTGCACGGCGAACTCTTTGTCGAGTTCGACGAGTACGGTTACCGAGGTCCCTAAGCCTGCTCCTAGTGTTAGAGCTGAAGGCGTCTAATGCAAAGGTTATTGGATCTGATGGATCCGTAAGGACGTGTCTAGGGCGTCGACGGTGACTGGCTCCTGCGTGATCAGGATTCGGGGAGTAGTCAGCGGCGGCAACGATAAGGCGATTATCATGACGCATAGCCTTATCGAAGTACCGTTCCGACGCTGACTTCATGTATTTCTGGATAGATTCGAGGCCCAGGTCGTCGTGTAGGTCAACGTTCCTCACGAACCACGGAGCTCCGACGGCTAACCTGCAAAAGCGGGATTGTAGAGATTGGAGGGTGTCTATGTGTGTGCGGGCCGCGTGAGCGAACAACACTCGCGTAAGTCATGACGGGCCTTATGCAAGTTTTGTAAAGGTACGGTGTACCTCAGGGTTCCATCTTGGGTCCACTATTTTTTAACATCTTTATCAACGAAATTACAAATCTTTTTAAATATTCTACCTGTTACCTATTTGCTGACGATCTTAAAATAATGCGTGTTATAAATGATGTGAATGATGCTGAACTATTACAGAGAGATATTGATAAATTGGTTGATTGGTGCCAAATTAATAAAATGTATTTGAATATTTCGAAATGTCTACATATAAAATTTACATTAAAACGCAATATAATACCAACACAATATCATATTTCAGGGGAATGCTTGAGTGAAGTTTCT